GCCGCTGCCGTGCGGCTGTCCCCGCTCCTGCGTCGTCGACTGCAACAGCTGGCTGGCCGCGGCACAGCCGAGCCGTCGGCTGGCGGCGGCTGCGGCCTGCGCAATGCTGGACCGCTCGCGGCGGTCCGCTGCCGGTGACCAGCAGCTGGGTGGTGACCGCCGGCGACCAGCAGCTGGCCGGTGGCCGCTGGTGACCAGGTGGGGGCCCAATCGGCGGCGGCCCGCCGCCCTCCCGCAGGTCGCCGAGCTGCCCCGGGGACGGAGCCAGGTCATCCCAGCTGGTTTTCCAACCCCGAACGCTGGTCACAAGCGTTACACGCGATGCGTAAATAGATGATTAGCAGTTGCGGGCAACAAGTGGAAATGTAAGCCATCGCATTTTCCTGTTGGCCTCGGCTAAGGCTGGTTGCATGCACCAGGTTTCCGAGGCGTCATCGGGCACCACATCTTGGTGAGCTACGGCTCCGAATACCACGCCGATCTTGATAACGGACCATGCAGAACGGAAATATCGAGTGTGCGCCGTAATGGACAGCCGAGGCGCTGTTTGGTGCTGGCCCTGATAGTTTGATTGCCATCGACAGAGGTATACTCAGATGTTGGAAAATGGGGGAGACGGGAGGGGTACACTGGAGCAGAACGTCCTTTTTCGCAAAAGCCTCCAAAAAATAAAGAAAATGCTTGGGAGACTAGTCCTTCTGACCGCTCAGTGAAAAAAACCAACTGAAAGTGGGGTCAGTTACAAATGGCTGCCTTGTTAAGATTAATAGAATGGTGTTTATCTAATCAAAGATTCGAAGGATTTTCTCGAGGCGGGTATGCCGCATAATTCCCCTTCCCCATCCACCTCCGCAGGGTGACGTAGATGTTACCCACTCCAGCCTTCCTCACGCACTGGTTGACGAAGATCTTACAGGATGCAGACAGGGATTAACCACTAGTCACATCAAACGTGCCCTCTGATCCTCTGAAATATGTAATAGGCTCCCAACCAGCTCCGGACACAGGGTTTCACAAGAATGTGGAGAAAGCGTAGCGGCGAAAATATGCGTCCAATAGCACGAATCCTGCAACTTTCCCTCCAAAAGGGCATTTCTCTCCGTGATCCCCGACCCTCATGGAAGGAATTGCCAGAGGCCGTACACGCCTTGCCTAGTCCTACATATCTTGTGCACCTTAGCACCAAGCTGTCAGTATGCATATATATACTGACCCATGTATGTAAGAAATACGCACCCAAGGCTGACTGCTGACAATGATATTATTGTCATAATCTCCCTAAACACAACTAACCACATGCCCGTGATCAAGACTTACCGCACCTGCAAAACTCAGGGACCAGCTATAAGTCAAAGTCAACGCAGTTAGGCCATTCGATTTTATTCACACCTGCCTGGGTGGTGATCAGTTAGACTCCTAAAGGTTTTTCCAAAATAACTTCCGAACGGTGCGGCATAGCCGTGCCAAACTGTGCAGAACTGCAGCCAGGTAGACAGCCAATCTTTTATAATTGAAATAAGATGTACCTTGTACGGTTGCTGATCTATGGCGACGTCAAAGTCAGACCATGGCTTTCAGCAAAAACAATTCCAGGGGAGTCGTTCAATCCAATGCTACAACAGAGTGTTAGACGAAACCATATAGCCTCGAGGCGGGCTCTGAAAACGAGACTATTGAACCAAGGATAACGACAAACTCCATTGACCTTGAGTTTGGTATACAGGTCAGGTCGAGGTCGAAACCAAATGTTTTGTACAAGAGACCGCTTTGGGGCAGTTTTTGGTAGTTAGTACTTACGAATGGGCATGGCTTTGTGGGATGGTTTTTAACGTTCTTTTCAAATTTATTGACATCATGGAGGTCAACAAATATGTTACTTCAACTTAATGAAGGCCAGGTCTTTGATGCGAAATGAACACAACTAATTTTTGTTTTGGTACAGGCATCTAGATTAAAGTTGGTTGCATAAGGAGGCCTGAGGGAACTACACGATCTGGAATTTGACATTGTTTGACCTTATACGACCCAAGCAGTGCTTACGATATCCCAGATATGGTTTTGATCAGTCAATTTTGATATTTCCATCCATTAAATGCATATCTAGCCATTAGTGAAAATTAGGTGGGTAGATCAGAGAGTGTAATGGGAGCCTACCATAATAAAATACTTTGATGTGGACTATTTAGGCAAGTCGAAGGCGCGCTAGTTTTGGCGAGTTTGAATTTGTCACCGTTTGAACGACGCCTCAGTATGTCTTTCCACAAATTTGGCACAGTAGAAAATGTACTGATGCCAATTGACGATTGCATTCCCAAACAGAAGCTTGCATGCCATGCAGCACCATTTACGTGAGTTCGTCCGTGCAGAATAATTTGACATGCATATTCAGCGTGACAAATGTATGCGGCAGTGAAACTTGATTTTCAACCACTCTTTTATCCACACAAAGGATCGACGCACTTTATCTACATTAGGTTGTCCTCATCATATCAGCTGCCTCCCCCCAGAACCCACCGCAAGGCTCGAATGATCGCGATGTTTTGCTAACTTCAGTGTTTCCACTGTTCATAGCCCGGGGTTTTCCACTTGAACACAAACAAAGCCGAGCAAAAATTTCAGTCTGAAAATTGGCATAGATACGCTTCTTCTCCAAACAACACTCGACCCACAAAACTTCCAAGCTGACTTGATTTTCTGGCTTGAAAGTTCTGTAGTTTGTTACTAAAATCTGCCCGTTCCACACCATTACCGAAAAATGTACTCCATTGGACACCCGAACATTTCAAACGCAGCAACGACTTGCAGTCTGGGCTCGGCGTTCCGGGCTCCGAGTCTAGGAGCCGTCATACTCGGGCATGGTCCACACCAGACTCGGCTTGCCGGCTGTTGGTGAGCGCAGGTGGGACTCATCTTGACTAAAGGCAGGGAGTTCGCTTGTGCGGCCACGCTCGCACGACTCGCTTTTTAAAACAAAATGTTCCAAACGTTTCTGCGTGCGTGGCTTCGGGTTCGGAGAAAAGCCGTTGCGTGTACCCTGAACCCACCACGCAAGTCGTGCCGTTCAGTTAAACGGCTGATATCGTCTCCACCTTTCGCTAGACAGGAACGCAGAGGGCCTTTTGCGCCGCACAATGCTGCGGCATGGCTGCACTGTGCCTGGGTCAATGAACCCTCGTTGCCCAGTTGCCAGCTGACCTTTCCATTTCAGTCGCGCCAAACAATGCGCCCAGTTTGGGCCTCGTACCCAGCGCCACCAGACTGCGAGCCCAGTATCCTTCCCCAGCTGGGCGTGTCAAAACAGGGACGAAAACCAACAGGAGACGGCTTCAAGCCTAAGGACTGCGGAGTACAGCCGTACCCGGTTCGGAATCGGGGTCATGATTGCTATCGGACTGGCTCGCGTCTGGCGGTCTGCTGCAGCTGTGCGGGGTCTGACTCACCACATACCCGAGGTGACTGACCCAGGTCACTCGCGAGCGGAATAGTCGACGCTGCCACCTCGCACCTCTCGCACAGTGCACGCACACTGACGATTTGCGCCTCTACCTCTCACACGGCGCGGGCCGCACAGTCACACTGACGATGGCCGCTCCCATCTCTCACACGGCGCGGGCCGCACAGTCACACTGACGATGGCCGCTCCCATCTTTCACACGGCGCGGGTCGTACAGTTGTGCCCATCCCAAGCGAAGAACCTCTTCACAAAATAGGGGAGCTTAAATCTATATTGAATTCGGTGGTTTCCATGAGTCGCGCTATGATTAATATTCCACGTTGTCGGAGAATGAGGGGAGGGGTGACACCAACACCCTTTTTTACTTTACTCACGTATTACGCCGACTGAAGCCGCTCGAAATGCTGCGATTTGCTCCGCCCAAACCTCCCTGATTGATGCGTTATTTAATCAGCCGGAGCGCGGTAGGAGCAGCGACTGGACGCGTGGGCAGTGACGACGTGTGCGTGTCGCGAGTGGGGAGCCAAGAAGGATCCGCCTGTGGATAGCTAAGCGTCATCTAGGCCGACATTTTAATGGGTGCACCAGATGTGTTTGCGCGGGAAGTGCTTCGTCGCATACCACACTGACCGTGGTGAGATTATGTGCGCCGTTCGGTCAAGTCCAGAGGTGCCGATTGGATTCCATTTTTGATTTGATTTTGATTGAAATTTTGAACATTCCTTAAGTGAGATTTAGGAATTGGATGGGTAAACAGCTTTGAAATTTTTCGTTCAGCCGGTAACCATTCTGTCCTATCGCAAATTGGTGTGCATCTTATTTGTTTGAAATGCGGCTCATTTTGAACACATTTTGATTTGGGAGCATAAGCAAGATTCCCCAGACCAAATATAAGACCGCTATCTTTTGAAAGAAATGAGGTGCGAAGGTACTTTGATAAAGGGCATCACTGTTTATCTCTTTAGGAGAGCCTGTTATACTCACCTAGCTGCGATACGTGACCACTCACTATCCGACTAAGCTGCCGTCGCCGAGCTCAGTGTAAGTCAAGTTTAGCGGACATCGATACAAACTGCGAACCGCAGATGTTTCACGAACGTTTGTGACGCACGCTACTTACCCCCGATGACCTCCTGTCTTGTCATCCCACTGTTGTGAGGGAATGCAGCAGCGCGAATAGTCACTGGGCTTCTGGCTGTGGGTAGAAGTTATGTTATGTTAAAAAATACTCGGAAATTTTTGGACAAGATTGTTTTCTGTACACTTTTTGGAGCGGACAGCGGGTCCATTCTTGGACTTTGGATTGAACTTTGGGCAAGAGCTTCCGGAAAACGGCACCTCTGGGATAGTCCAGCGGGTCAAGAACCTCGACCCCGTGCCGCCTGTTGCCAGGGGTAACCGCAGCACGCGGCATGTTACACGTCACCGAGCAGCTGATACCCGCGTCACGTGACGCCGGGCCGCGCCGCGCCGTCTGCGGCGGCCCGGCGCAGCTGCAGCAGCGCGGGCCGCCGGCCGCGGATGGGCGGCGCCCATCACGGCCGCACGTGTTTTGCGACCCAGATCGCGCCGGCCGGCGGGCCGTCAGTCGGCCGGGCTTCGCGGTTGAGAGAAGAGAGCGGTGGCGGCCAGCGCACACAGGACGCCGGCCGGCGTCATGCCCGTGTTCAGCCTGCGAGGGACGCGCCGCCAGCAGCCAGGTACAGCCACAGACCGCGCGCCCTGGGCGGTGTCGCATGCCGCCGCTGGGAGGACGGTAAGGCTCTGTAGTGCAGCTCTGGGGCGTTACCCGCAGCACAGCAAGCGCCAAGCTGTTGCGGGGGAGGGGGAGGACTAACAGATATCAATTTGTCATAGATATTGAGGCACTGTCTTAAACAACTTTACGAACGTCACTATACGCTATATTACACTTATAAACAAACTTATCAACTTGTTTGAGAATGCATTCGTGACGTCAGGCGCGTTCTCGAGCTGTGCCCTTCACGTGTCGCATGTAAGCGGCTGCTACGCCGGGCGCGAGGTCAGCTCAGTCAACAGCGATCTCTGCACACTCCCTGAAAACAAGTGCCCCCAGATCTGGCAACAGCTCTGCGCGCCGGCCGTTTGAGAGTGGGTATCTGGTTTCCAGAGACGTGTTATAAACCAACTGATATCAGCGTCCAAACACAGTGGACGATTCTTCGTAACCCAGCTATAGGGCAGATATCTTACCCAGGCGTTCCGACCGGAGCATCGAGGCCCCCTCCGATCACCCGACCGGAGCATCGGGGCCTCCTCCGATCACTCCGACAGGCGCCTCGGGGCCCGGTCAGAGTGATCGTTAAAAGATAATAGGTAGAAGCTCGATATCACCAACGTACGATTGTCTTCAGTACATCACACTCCCGCGACTTCCTTCTGCTCTAATCTGCAACCGTCACTGTGCAAAATGTTATAAAATGCTTCTAACTGTTGTATATATATGCTTGTTTTACCTGAGACACCAATAAGACTCCGATATAAAAGGCGGCAGTCAATCGTTTCGATCAATTTCTGTGACCTCTATTCGCCAAATTAAGGCTTGTCTGTGATCCTTGTTATCTGGGAGGGCTCATGTCTTAAAGTACGCGCTTCAAGGGACATTTTAGAAGAAAAGATGCCACACAACCTTCATCCTATTGTCTCCGAATGTTGGCAGCAGATATAACTATCAAATTTAAGAAGCCACAAAGTTTCAAGAGTCTGTTAAGTTTGTTTGGAAATGGTGAAGGACGAACCTTGTGGAATGGGATGGGGCGGAATCGGTTAGTGGACGGGACAGCCTTTAAGGGATTGGACATGCAGAAAAACGACTTCGGGGGCTTCATGCGTTGACAGATGATGCACCAGGGATGTCCTCCTTATTCATTTGATATTCTTCTTTTTTTGATGGCCCTTTTTTATTGACAAATCGCACGCCATTACACCATGTGAAAATTTGCACGTTATTTCCTCCTCGCGACACCAAGTTCCCCGGCTTCTTTTGAACCACGCGACAGGCATGATGTCCGACGGTCATGCTTTGTCCCGAACGGCTGCTCACCGTGCTGAAACTAGGAAGTCTGCCCAGTTTTGGTTGCAACGCGAGCGCAATGGGAGTGGGGTACGCTGTAGTGGTTAAGCAAGCATGGGCTTGGTCCAAAGGCTTTTTGTTAGGAACTAGCTTTTAGTTCCTGATTCCGGGATCATAAATAATCAGGGAACCAAGAAATAAAGGTAGAAGCTCGGTAGGGACCAGGATTTTGCATTGAATGGTCCTGAGGGAATCAACCAGGACATCAGGACAACCAGGGAATCAACCTGAACAAACCAGGAGCTAGCCTAAGGGTAAGCGGATTGATCCATCAGGAACCAGGATTCAGCGTGTAATACGAACACAGTTTCAGCAAGAACCAAGACCCATCATGAATCCAGAAATAACCAAGACCCAGTTTGGAATTATGGTGCAGGACCAGCGAGAACCAAGATCCAGAACAAAATAGGAGAACCAGCGATAACCAGGATCAGACCTGCGACTCTCGTCAGGAATCCGCGCGTAACCATAGGCGCATTCATATTATGGACGTCGTATAGGAGATAGTGTGGAGCGTATGAAGGACACCTTGTATTTCAAACATCTGTCACCTATGGTAGATAGGCACTAAACGGTGACCCGCACTGGTATTCACCGTCAAACTAATGAAATGCAGCGACTGGGATCTGGAGTTTTGTTAGTGAACCAATGGGAACTAGAAACAAGTATCTGGCGCTTGTGAGAATTTAGTTGGAACTGTTGACCAAACTCTGGTCCTTTTGTGGAAGAAGTGAGGGAAATCAAAATTGGTGTTAATAAAAAGCCAGTTATGCAAACACCAGGCTTTGAACCTGGGAGCATTGGAAAACAGGCACGTATGGGAACTAGACAATCAGTTACAACAGTTATTCTGTTTCATAGCGTTGTAGAGGAAAACAAAGAGTAGTGACAGTATTCAAGCTGTTTGGTTTCTTGTATTGGGAGGAGAATGCTTTTCAGTGTCTGAATCTCCCACACGTTCTCGGGATGGTAAGATTACGATGCGTGCTAGAGCAGTTCCTCCCGATGTATTTTCGCCTGCCACGATCCTCATTTGTAATTATACGCATCGTTTATCATGTCTGAGGGGAGGCAATCCTTGCGCAACAGATAGCTACGTTTTCAAGCCTCTTGTCACGCTGAACAGCGCGCTGATTCTTGCCATCTGCCCAGATGACGCATAAGCTCAAAGCTAATATCCCGTTAGCGACAGTGGGCTGTTTATCACCCATCTGGTCTTGCAAGGACAGACACTGGACATCCAGACCGCAGCCAGCGTTCTCCTGCAGTGTTGTCCTGGAGCACGGCCAGTCCAGGCACGGACCCTGACTGCCGGCTCCGTCCAGACAGCGACAGCTCTCCTGCACATAACATGAGGGAATGTAAAAGTTTCCTTGTCATAAGAGTAGCAGCACCGAAAGCACGGCATAAATTAGAGCTGTAATGAGTTGTGGTTGAAACCACATCCGCTGTCGCTGTAAAATCTGCCAAAGCCTATTAGCCATGTGCAGCAGGCTGGTACACGCGATAGCAAGAAGCCCCACGCTGCCTGCATTGATCACACCCTTTCGTGCGATGATGTGTTCTTGGATTGCGAATCTTATTTCTAGAACGGTGAGTGCTGAACACTTCCCGTCAGTTGAGTGACCTGGCGCAAATGCCTGCGGCAAGGATAAGTCGGAAGAAAAATGCTGCCATATTCATAACAAGTCAGATGGCATCTTTGAAACTTTTTAAGCCTTTTAAAGAGAACGGGATGCACGTTGCCACACTCCTTTTATGGAGCGCTAGCGACTACATTGGACATATTAGAGCTCAGGCCACAGCACAACCCGAACCGGGCCTTTCGTGGGGGTCTGGCGCGCTAACCATATTACTCTCTTGACGCATCTTCACGCTGTCTTACTGTATAATGCACTGCTAGCTCTGCTGCAGAGACATTGGAAATATCGACTTGCCATAGACGGTCAGTATGAATAGACACTCAGCACAAGGCTCTCTCTCTCTGTGTTTCTCTCTCTCCCCCCCCCCCTCTCTCTCTCTCCCTCTCTCCCCCCTCTCTCTCTCCCCTTCCAGCATTATTCAGTATACGGCCCATACAAGATGACTTCAAATCATATGTTTGAATACATGCCCATAGCTTTTCGTCTTGTATTTATCAATAACCATGTGAAGTACCCACTTTCTCGGTACGTGCTCTCGCGTCGGTTGCTACTACCCGGCTCTTTCGAACAACGGTGCAGTGGTCTAAGAGTAGCAGTGCAGTCGTCTGAGGTCCGCGAGCATGCCTGTGTTGGTGCACGAACATGCAATCGCAGTGAGAAGCGCAACACGATGCGACCGACACATTGCGGGAGGTACGCTGCCTTACCGTGGAAACTCGATCAAGTTAACTCCGTGCCATTCGGCATTCCATTCGGTGTGCCATTCGGTATGCCATTCGGTATGCCATTCGGTATGCCATTCGGTGTGCCATGGACTTAAGTAAGCGCAAACGCTACGTTCTATGTTCTTGCCTCAATGCGCTCACTGAGGGGTCCGCCTGCTTTCCAGCTGGTGGCGTGCGCGACAAAGAGATGCCTTCGGCCAAAGTACACGTCAGCGCAGCGACCGACCGTGCCAGGACCGCCATCAGCGCCGGCTCAGGTGAGTGCGCCAGCGCCAACTGACGCTATCAGCGCGCTTCTCGTCAATCGCCATTTGTCACGCTGCTGCGGTGATTGTGCGCGCAATGCTGTAAACGAGCCACCCTAATGAGCACACTTATGTGGATGCCTTGCTAGTCGTCTCGCACGAGTACATATTTGCATTGTCCTGCTCACACCACGGTGGGGGACCGTCCAGAATGCTTCGCATCGTTTCTGAGAAAGGCAGGCGCTTTGTTCGAGCTTGGCTCCGGGGCTGACCTTGTCCGCCAGCTTTGCAGCCCGGCAGCGCTGAGGCGTCGGTCTGTTTTTCGTCTGGCGACACTGCTCGCGGCGGAGGGGGTGGGCGCGGCAGCACAGACCGTATCGACAACAGTTATTACGAGGAAGACTGCGGGCTGTTGAGTCTTAGAGTCTCACTTTTACTATAAGGACGTTTTCTTATTTGAGCGGCTCGAACCAGCCATGTCGTGTCGCGTTATAGAAAGAAGCTGATATCTGGTCAATGATCAGTCAATGGCTAACGCATTGCTCAGCAACAAAATTCTTTAGAAGTTATGATTTATACACCCTCAGGCATTTGCGTCAGGAGTTTGCGAGCCAACTTTTTATCAGGCTGATTTTACTGCAACATTGCCATCCCTATACGGTTTGCCCCTCCATTCGAGTAGCATGGTAAAGAAAAAACTCTCGAATCGCTGTCAGGCTAGGGGAATAGGATCGAAACCGGACCCACATCCTGGCGTCAAAGAAACATGACACAAGCCAATGCTGATGGGGGAGAGAACGGAGAATCGTGCCAGCAAACACGCCAGTCGATGTGTGTGGGGACCAGCAGACGCCATCCAGCACAAACCGTGGATCTTGGCCTGGGGTCGGGGTTCTCGGACAGCTTAACGTGGCTGCAGATCCCAGGTCTGCAACCGGGCTTATGCGTGGGTGCAGATCATGCCGAAATATTTAAAAGTTTTTGAAGCACAACAAGAAGTGGGGCGGTAATGCAGCTTGAAGTATGCGAGCTTATGAGGTTGAGAGCAAGCACGTGCCATGTGGGATCAATGCCTGCGATTTAATTTCTGAACCTTCGATAAATATTCGCACTTGACCTGACCTGCGTTCGGTGGCAGCGGCCATGGTAGAGGTCAGGTGACGTCAGAGGGCGGGATGTAGCGTGCCGAGCACTGTGACACGTTAAAGATTACCAACCAAATTCTGCCGTTAACCATAGCTCGCGCCAAGCTCTGCTTAACGAGAGCTCAAATCCCAGAAATCTATTCATTGAAAAGGTCCAGCTCAAATATTACCAAAGAACAAAAACGAAGCTGGCGAGATGTGAGGGAATGTAACATATACGCATCAAATTCCACTGGCATGGATGTTACGTTCAAACTCGACATGAACGCACGACACCCATGCTTTCCACCACAGTCTAAGTTATATTAAGGTCAAGTTATGTCACAGACCTAAATCGAACTGGTATAATCTTAAAGGGAATGCTTCACATTTGAAGACAGTGAAGCAAGCATCAGATATGTTGAAATAAGCTCACTTGTAATTAGTGGCATGCTTTTTAAATGGAAAAGACTGGTCTAGACAGCACACATCTCTGCTTGATAAATATGCTCCCCCATGCGTCAGGGTTTGGTCACGTCATCGTACCCCGCACAACATTGATTGAGAGCCAATTGACGGCCGTCATATTTGGAAGTCGCGCTCACGACCGCCAGATATGAACGCCCCGACTATGCTATTTTCCGTGTCCTTGAACGACGCATGGCTCATGGAATGGCAGGATTTGAATGACGTTATTATGAAGTCATGAAAGACGAGGTGATTTTGAAATGCTTTCCCCGAAATATCTTTCCCAGTTTCACGGGCGTGTAGCTCAGAAGCTAGGTCTTTAGAGGGGCAGGGTTGTGAACAGCACGGGAAGGTCTTCAAGATGGCTGTTTCAGGTCAAAACCCCATGCAAACGTGGAACGCTCCCTTTAATTGATTGTGGATAATCCCCAGTGTATTTTGGGGTATTGATATTGAACTTGAGACTTGTTGCACACAATGAGCACAAATTCATATTTGTTTGATAACCTTTTTGGGCGATGTATGCGTGCCTCTGTTTCATTCCAGCTTGTCATAGTTTTTTGTTGCTTAGCCTGACGTGTTAAATAAACAAAAATAATATTGAAGGCCTGCATAGGAACGTTGCAAAGGTCATTCTTTTCGTCAACCTGTCCAGCGTTCTGCTCTGCAACCGATTAAAGGAATGCTCGACGATTGTGTGTAATTTCTTGTCATAACCTGACATAGCAGATCACTTGCCAGCCTAACACCTTAAAGCTGCATACTACTGGCTTTTCGGCATGACAACGTACCTGCTTTTGGTGCCTCTAGCTCATTTAGAAACGAAATTGGACATCCAGCTTTGTTCGTTACGCTTAACTCAGCGTAACTAAAAGAGGGTTTTCGTCCAGTCTACTAGGTGCTTAACGACATTTCTAAAACGAGAGGTCGTAATTTATTGACGGCCCCAAAAGAACTGCACGCTGCAGGCGAATATATCGCTAAACATCACTGCGGGATCCCAAAACTGTCTGGCACGTAGGTGCGCCAGCCAGGCGGGTCCGACACATAGGTGCGCCAACTACTTGTATCTATCATACAGATGCGCCAGCCAGATGTGTCTGACACACAGGTGCGCCAGCCAGATGTGTCCGACACACAGGTGCGCCAGCCAGATGTGTCTGACACACAGGTGGTGTGTCTGACACCTAGGTACGCCAGCCAGGTGCGTATGACACATGTGTGCGCCAGCCAGGTGTGTCTGACACCTAGGAGCGCCAGCCAGGTGTGTCTGAAACATATGTGCACCAGCCAGGAGCGCGTGACATGTAGGTGCGCCAGCCAGGTTGTCTGACACACAAGTACGCCAGCCAGATGTGTCTGACACATAAGTGTGTCAGCCAGGTGCGTCTGACACAAAGGTTCACCAGCCAGGTGCGCCTGACACGTAGGTGTGCCAGCCAGATATGCCTGACACGTAGGTGCGCCTGACACATAAGTGCGCGAGTTAGGCGCGACTGACACAAAGATGCGTCTGACACATAGGTGCACCTGACGCATAGGTGCGCCAGCCAGGTGCTCCGGAAACATAGGGCGCCATGTGGATGCGCCAGCCAGGCGCGCCTGAAACATAGTTGCGCCACATAAGTGCGCCAGCGAGCAGCATGACCGAGAAACGGGTAAGATCACCTTTTCCGGAACCGATGTGAACAATTTCAGTCTGAAGTGTTCAGGTCTTACGCCATACTTGGGCTACAACTGCCAAGACCCCAAATCTTGGCAAACTTCATCTGTTTTACTGAAATTGCCAAGGCTGACCGGCGTCAAAGACAGTCATTCTGCCTACAATACTGTTTGAAAAATAGCACGCGGATGCATCAGGTTACCTCCACCTGCCCATTTCACAAAAGTTGGTCTTTCCAACACATTAACCAAACCCATTGGTATCGATTGAAAAAGGTGTCTGGCTCGATTCGCTCAGTTTTTGGTATGTCCTGGCATAACCGACGTGACGACCGTCAGCTCTCACCTTTGCTGTCTTGCTGCTTGCACACCGCCCAAGGCGTGTTATTGGTAAAGTAGCTACTCAGTGGCAAGTCGCCTTTGATCCTTCGTCAGTTGACTGCCAGGTGGGACTTAAACAAAAAAAACAATCCAACACCATCTAAATATGGATCTAGACTGGCAACCGTGCTCCCTTAGCCGATCGCATACACCTCAGAACGCCTGGCAGTTTGGCCTTCTGTCGCATGTTCTTTCTCGCCGCCTCTGGCCGTGGTCAGCGGCGGGGCACGCTTCCCGGGCCTTTATCATTGGCGGCGCGCGGAGCAAAGCCTCTCGGGCCCGGGCGCGCGGGGTGACCTCAGCCGACTCTGTGTCACGTCGCACTATCAGCACCGGCCGCCCACAAAAACGGCGGGCCGGCCTCGGAGCGGCGGCGGCTGCCGGCGCCGTCACCTGCCCGCCCTGCCATGTCTTTGTGCCGTGGCTGAGTCAACCGTGCAACAGTGCACAGCGCCGCACGGCCTGCCGCGCCGCGCCGTGCCACAGATGGTGCCCGGCTTTGCGTCCCTCCCAGCTGCCCCAGTTGGGCGTCGGTCGGCCGCCGCTACACGCCGAGGCTGGGCGCGTCTCGCGTGCTGAGGACCGGCGGCCGTCGCTCGCCGGCAACCGTGCGTGAGGAGAACGGACCCCTGGTGGGAGCCGCGCGTGAGGAGGGTGGACCGCTGCCACCTGGACACCGAGCATGTACCGGCGGCGACCCCACGGTAGGCAGCGACCGAGCCCGGGCTCCGGCTCTGACTCTGGCTCGGACTTCGGCTGCGTCTCTGGCTTCGGTTTCAGCTCCGGCTCCGGCTCCGGCGGCAGCTCCCGTCGTTAGGCAGGAGGTCGACTTGTCTCCGCCCCCCGCCAACTACTGAACGGCAGAGCGCTTCTTATCTACGGAATGATTGAGACGAGTCCACAGTGCCGCGGCTGCCATAATTGCTCAGCCTGTCGCCCTCATCTGGCGTGTAAATGCGGTTGCAGCGTTTCGGTCAGTGAACCCTCCGGCCCGTGTCAGATGTTCGTGACTCCTGGTAGGGACTAAATGGTGTTTGGCTTTCAGCTATGTTCGCATCACGACCCGAGGCTTCTCCTTGGCATTGCTGGGATTCAAACCGGGATCTTCTGAGTGTGAGTTTGGCGCCCCACCACTGGGCTATCCGGGAAGGACGATCTTTTAATGCTACAACTTGGCGTCTTCCGTCTCCGGAATATTCTGAGGGAGTGCTCGATATGTGGGGCTTCGAACTGAACCAGTCATTTCGAAGACCATTCGGTACATTTTACGGCCCTGCCCTTCGTAAGAACTACATGCCTCCAGTCTCTGGGCTACACGCACTTGAAGATGTGCAGACTATGTCGGGGAGATTGTTTCAAGGTCACCAAGACAGCCATGACGCTGTAATAACGCCATTAAAATCCCCCTGTTTAATTGACCATGCTGCGATCAAGGCCAAGAAACATACAATGGTCGAGTCGTTTATATCTGGCGTTTGCGAGCGCGCTTTCGAGATATGACGGCTGTGAGTTGGTATTAAATCTGTGTTGTGCATGGCGCCGTGCAATAGTATATTGAGGAACACCTTATTACACAGAGAAATTGTGCTTTCTAGACTTGTCTTTTTCACTTAAAAGTATACCAATAGTTGTAAGAGAGCTTATGTCATCATATCTCATGCCTGGTTCAGTATCTTCAAATGTGGAACTTCTCCTTTTAGACTCAAAACACTCAACAACACGCTCGCAAAGATTACTGACGATTAAGTTTAAGCTTTTTCGAGGTCATTTAAATATGCATGACGCCATAGCAATCTCGTTTAAATTCTGCCACCCTATAGACATGCGGCGTTAAGGCCACGAAGAATGCCATTGTCCAGCCGCTCAGACACGGACACAATTTCCAAATAAAGTGGCCGTCGAATAGCTCTCAGTCAATGCTGGGCCAGTTATGCATGTTTTAATCACGATTTGTTGGTAGTTTAGCTTAGAGCCCTTACGGGTGGAACTGATCATTTCAGGGCTGTCATTTGAAGAATTTTCCGCCAATTGAAAGTCATATTTGGCTGATGATTTGGCTGATGATGATGATACACTTCTTGGCCTACTGATAGGGCTGTTAGCCAATACCAAGCGTGCTGCCTCCTTGATGTTTTGAACCCTAGCGTTGATCTCTATCGATGGTGGTTATCTCCTGATGGTTATGGGAATCCCTTGCTGCTCGACGATCGCCTTCCGACCACGTATGCTTTGCCACGCCGTGACTTAGTCTCACCCCGGATGGCAGCATTTCGGTGCTCTTCCAGTCTGACCGACAGCGGTTGACTCGTTTCTTCTCTGTGGAGAAGCAACGATGAACGAGGATCTCTGTTTCTTCTTCGATGTGGCATGACGTTACGTAGTTTTTAATATGCGCTTCAAGAGGCCGTGGCCTGACGCTGGTGAGTGTTCTCCGGATCATTGAGCTGCTTCTGATATCTGTCCTGTATCGTCCGAAATTCGTCTGAGCTCTGACAAGCACTCTCCCGTTGAGTCATCATTGCTGATGGTATTAGCGCGGTGTTGAAAGCCTCTTGCGATGCCTTCTTGGCTGCTGGTGTGACTAAAAGAAGTGATTGCGGTGGGTTGTTGTTTGTTTGCGATAGGGGTTACTGAGGTTATTTATAACAATTCCGACATTTTAGGCAGTTCGCTCAATTTTTCATGTTGGTCGTCTCTCAAGTTTTGTGATCATCGGCTATGCGTCGTCTCAGAAACGGACAAAAAGAGCAAACATGTATATGTGTGTGGTCCAAATCTCCCCTTACAAGGACTTTTTCACCCGCACTCATTGACGGCCTATACGGGGATTAAACTGACACGCGTCGACGGCTGTGAAGCAAGCTCCCACAATGTTGTGCCCATCCTAACACACGAGATGCGCGCGATGGTCCGAACCATTGTCCCGTCCGCGGCGCTTCTTCCCGACGTGACGGCGCACCACTCCTTGTTTTTGAGAACTATTCGAATCTGATATTCCTGACAACACACGGGAAGGCCCTTCCATTCCGAGCAAATAAACCCTGAGTGACCTCCGGAACTATCGGCGTTGAAAGTGATTATCACGACAATAATGTCGTTGATCGGTGTTTTTCCTGTACTCCGCTCAGAACGAATACCCAGCCATGACAGTGCGCATTGGTAGATGAATAACTTTTGGTTAGACTGAGCTCATTTTATGTTATCCCCTTATGCGGAATGGCATTAAGTTAAGCTATAATTTATCAACCCATTCTGCATTCCGGCCACCTTGTCCGTGCGTTCGAGATGCCCAGCATGAAGTGTGTTGACTTGGCGTGTTATATTCACGTTATTCATTGTAGAAGATGTACTTTCCTCTTTTCGTCGAACAACGCTTTTTCGTTTGCAGAGTGCATATTCATGAAAACCAAATTAACCTTGTTTTCTAGCAGGAGCCCTAACGACCGGCAATGTTTTTGTTCCTGCAGCTGCGCTGCGACCTGTTGTCAGCACTCCGAACCCTGCAGAGCGTGCTGTATCCGACGACTTGCGATTCGAACGTGCCGTATTGGCTGCATTCGAAACAGTTCACCGCGTTCCGAAACTTAGCAAACCTAATGGGCTTACTTCGACTTTTGCATGTCTATCCCAAGAATGGTTGAACTTTCTTTGATTCCATATGTGATTTCAGGAGAGATGTTTGAGACGCACATTGTGAAAGACCACATGGTGTTAGGACGACGTGGCCGTCCGTTGTTTTATGATTATACCCGTCCAGTGTCTGGAGTAAGCTACACGTTTAGAGCATTAGTTGTGTCATTTACGCCTCAGTTACATTTGGATGATACACGATACAAATGAACTACTAGGGACAGATCAAGGCGCGATGAGGGGAGGTTGTTGGAAGCCTGTCATTTAGGTTTTGAATCCACGCAATTTGTGTTTGTCGAAAACATTCTTTCTAAATGTTTTTTTTTTGCATTTGTCATCCATCTCTTCGCAAAGTGGGTGGTGTACGCGGAGAAGCTTCAATTATTTGTGAAATCCAGGTACTCCTCGCGTTGTATGTCCCTGCAATCGACACTGGCAAACAACAGGGCTGTGTGCATTCAATAATACGTCGGATAGGCACATGCACACATATTGTAATGCGATGCGTGTTTCGGGTGCAGAAAACAATAGAATCAAACATATCATTCTAACACCATCTTGTCTTCATCTCAGTGAGCGCTTGCCAACATGTTCCATAATTGACATGCCAAAAGATAGTCCACGTATTGGTCACTTTTTAGTCCCCATGACGCAGAACAAGTCCAGAAAATGGCAAACGTCTGGCTCGTCGAATTGGCGCTTCTTGGCATACAATTCCGCATGCGAATTGTATTTAAGAGCTATTCAACTTGAATATGAAGATAACCCTGAGGTTAGTGCCATGTTGAGCCAGCCTGATTGCTTCCCTCCGAGGAAAGTCTGCTGCAGGTGGCTGCATTACTTTGTGGAAGCGCTCGTTGAATGAGTCATCAAAACTGAAACGCCTTCATGTGATTACGTGAGCTGTTCTTTGGTCCTCGAAGGTCAACACACAGCGAGGGCACTTAACACTGTCATGGATGGGGACATTTTATATTTTATAGTTCTGGAGGATGTCTGATATTTTATAGTTCTGGAGTACTCATGATTTCTAGCATCACGCCTGACATATAGCTTCACGTCATGCAACGCCATCGATTTTCTTGATATGGACATTGGAACTGGGAAGGGGAGAGGGGGTGAGGGAGGCAACTGGCTCCACTTTTCTTGAAGGCTGAATGAATGCCTATGGCGATGCATTCGATGTGTTGACCTTAAACTATTTAGTATCTTCGGTCTTTTTCACATAGCCCGCTGCTGCTGTACCCTCACATATATCTATGTTAAAACCTGCGGTAAGCCAGATTCGCCATTTCGACTGTTACAGGCACAGCTTGAGAGAACCCCTCCTCGCGGTAGTGACATGTCCCCCCTGTTTGCAGCAAATGGCCGGCCACGGACGGCTGACCTGGCCTTGACCTCTGGTCAGGTCACGCCGTACTCTCGCCTCATCAGTCAGCTTCGCAACGATGAACGTCTGATGAAGGAAATGACCCTGGGGAAGCGGGTGGGCTTCTACCGCTTCTACGGTGACCTGGGCACGGGCAACTTCTCCCAGGTCAAACTGGGTGTGCACCAGCTGACCAATGGTAAGTGGCGCGGGTAGCACTCGCCTAATCACCGCCTCCATGGTCCATGTTCGGCGCAGATGCATGCAGCGCACTGTCACCGTCTGTTACGGAGCAGTCGTCGTCAGATGTACCGAGCTCTGCCGGTCTTCTAGCCGCTCTGGCAGCACCGTATTTGTTTGGTTTGCGCTATGATCAACATTACCCTTGTCCTGCGAGGGCGGCGTGGGCCTCCAGAGCGCCGCTAAGATTTTGCTGATATAGCTCCCCGGCGGTTGCAATAAACACAGGCATGATAAATTGTTATATAGTGTTTAAAAATAGGAATTCGAAATTTCGGATGCCTGACAGCGTTACACATCCTATGAGAATTGTAAGTTTCTGATCTGAATGCTTTACAATCTATTAACTGCTGTCCCGAGGTCATATCAAAGACATTTTGCTCGAGATGAAAAATATGCTTATTTCTGTCAGAATATGAACTCCAAAGATGTTTTCTAGGCATTTCAGTTATGCTGCCGCTCCGAAAAACATCAGTATCGTTCCAATATTTTTTGTGGGCCAGGCTATGCCCGACCATGGTAAATAAGACTGATATTGGCGACTCTATTTTAATGCTTCAAGGTCATAGCATTTAACTTTAATGACACTTTTCTCCCGGTGTGAGAAGAGCTTTCTAACCCTGCCCTTCCTGTTGACATGGCCGTTAGGTTTTTGATATAGCCATACGGACCAATGCAACAAACGCACTGTCCCATTTGACTTGACATGACATATCACAGGTCACATGTGTCAATGTCCCCTAGTGTCCATTTGTTTTTTTTAGAGATCCATGGTTTGATGCATCCGAGAGACATTCATCTGCGCCTTCTTATGCATTGTCGCAGCACGTTTAGTTTGAGATGACAGGTGTTGATGACAGGTGATGGAAGTTGACGAGAACTTCCCATTGCCGTTTTCTGCGTGGCTCTTATTTGCTTAGGTCTTGAAATCTTAACTGGGCCTCTGTCAACCCCACCATCATGGGAAATGAAAAACTCTCGTAGGGAGAGTGGAAGAGGAACATCGTCCAAGGATCCCGCCACGATGCACGTTTTCCAATGGTCGCGTCCTTGCCCTCTTCAGTGGAATCAACTGGCCAGACAAACCGCAAACCGCGTGGGCGGGGCGGCTGGACCATGTCACTCCTGATGACGCTAGGCGTGCCGCAAAGTCCACACGGTGACGCGTGGGCGGCTCCGCCTTCGTCAGCGCCCCCAGCTGGCGACCGTCCGACGCGCAGCCGTACGGCCTGATATTCATGCCAGCGCCGTCTCACCTGGGTCGGATGCCTGCGCCGTCCAGGGCTGCCGGGGCGGTGCCGCTACGGAAGCTCAACGCTCGTTGTAGATACACAACACGGCACAGCACAACCGCACACAACACGGCACAGCACGGCCGCACACAACACGACAGAGCACGACCGCGTCATCGCGTGTAGGCGGTGGGCCGATGCTATCAAGACGGGCGGCACGGTGAAAGCACGCCAGTGTAATCAAATATGAAGTCACCCATCAACGCTCAAAGTGAAGTTTGTCGTCACCGTTACTGTCTTGAAAAACGCATGTCTGGCAAAACACGTTCACGGTCGATGCAAGTGCAGTCTTGAAGACGGCGAGCGCGCGGGCTCTGTGGCATTGGAGAGCCATAACTTGACTGGACATAACACAACTTGACTTGGTTAGCGCCGCTGACGACACCACGGGTCATTCCGCGCGGCTGTGACAGCCAGCAAGCAGGACCACTGCAGCGCCATCCGGCCGGTGATATATGAGTGATGCCGTCCCAGCGGGGGTGCCGCTCCTTCCAGCCGTCCCCGCCGGCCGGGTGACGCCACACACTCGAGTGGTGCCGTCCCACGGGGGTGCCGCTCCTTCCAGCCGTCCCCGCCGGCCGGGTGACGCCACACACTCGAGTGGTGCCGTCCCACGGGGGTGCCGCTCCTTCCAGCCGTCCCCGCCGGCCGGGTGACACCACACACTCGAGTGGTGCCGTCCCAGCGGGGGTGCCGCTCCTCCCAACTGTCCCCGCCAGTGGCAGCCGCCAGCAGAGCGCAGGTCAGCCGAATGGCCCAAAGCCATGCCATACGCGCGTCAGTCGTGCGTGGCAAGCCACCGGAGAGCAGGGCGCAACAGCGGGAACAGGCGGGCCACCAGCGGGGGAGGGGGAGGGGGGGGGGGATAGCGACACAGCGCGTCGCAGGACTACCCAGGTCATCAGGGGGCTGTTGGCAGCGTCAGGTGCTGCAGGCGGTCTTGTGTTGCTGGTCTGGGAACGTAATGAAATCGATGGGCCAGACAAGGCGGTAGTGCTTCCCGATCTTTTAGCATTCCCAATGGTATAAAAACGTAAAACATGGATTGCTGCTACTTCCTTTGGAGGGCCTTGTATTTAATGGATGGCTAACGGCAGGTCCTTCAGTCTGCTTGAACAGACCAGGTGATTGTGTGCAATGTTGGTGCAATAACACTCCGATATCTACATCGGGTGTTTGATGATGGATTATCCTGGACGACTAGCATTGCCCAGTCCCGAGTATTGGACTAGGCCGCTGTTTACTCATGCGGCTTAGGGGGACGACAGCGTAGCATTTCGGACGCGAGGCACAGCCACACTTTATGTAATTATCTGACCCCAAATTATTCCACTGGCTGACAGAACACGAGGCGAGCGTGAGAGCGCCACGTTAATGCTCACGATACGTCCACCGCGGCCGGCACTTTAATAACCCGCTTTCAGTGCCCCAGGAGCGATCCAAATTAAGCAGACACGCGGCGGCCGCGGCCCTGGGCGCCTGTGTCCCTGACGGCGGCGTGGGGCTTCCAGCGTGAGCCGGCGCCAACTATGGCTTTCGCTGGCGTGCGATATACGGCTTGCGAGGCCTAGGACGGCGCGACCGGCGGACGCGTACGCCGAATATGAACGCCGCCGATCGTCGGCGACGGCCGAGCGCTGCCTGCTGTTGCGGGGCTGCCGACACGCGGCGCGCACAGAAGTGACAGGCGGGCGTCACGGAGGCCGCGGTGACGGCGAGACCGGAGCGGCCGAGTGGAGTTTCGACCGGCGGATCGACCCCACGACCGTACAATCCATACCGGCCAAGATGTTGCGTCGGCGTCTGGCCGGCGCAACGTTTCAAATACAAGAAGCGCTTAGCGTCGCACGTTCAGAAGAAATGCTTTGGCGTGGTACTGGGGAGATGATGGACAATGGGGAGCACAGGTTTAGCAAAATGTAAATCTGATGCAAGTCCCTCACCCCCACCCACCCACCCACCCAAAAAAGTAAATCAACGGATATGGTTCACTTCATTTCGAGAGAGCATAGCTCTCTTCTTATCTTGTTTTCTTGTTAACTGAAACAGAAGCCAGCAACTAACTGAAACAGTCACCGCCGGAACATGTCACCGGAAGACAAAATTCTGTTAGGAATTTGAAGCCAGTCAGTTGAGAGTCATTCAACTCAGGAAACCAGGCATTAAATGGCTGAGTCGAAAAACCACCGGTGCTATTAACTTTGCAATGGTTTGGTGGAATGAAGGTACCCCGTTTTAGTTCCGAGGCAGAATGAAGTGGACGTAGATTGCAGATCGAAGTGAGATAAACATTGTATCGATTTATATATATATATATATATATATATATATATATATATATATATATATATATATATACATGTCGATGCAATGAATGGTCATATATATGTGGCCATTCCATGTTCGCTTGGGGTGTTCAACTTTTTAAGAACCGAGTAACGAAAAATAGTGTAACGTGGTTTTAAGCATACGCGCCCCTGAGCCTTGAAAAACAAGCGCCTGACGTTACAGTCTCCATAAGTAGGCGGGATCAGCCTCACAGCTAACGCCAGGCGGCAGCCAGGAGACGGAAGAAAGAGATAACGTATCTGAAAGGAACACGTTTGAACGCTTTATGACTTCAATTCCCACGTTTAGAAGGGGTTCCTAGGGACACATTTCATATGTGCGATTTTTAGACTGATAGTGAGAACGGATTAGCATTCAAAGCACCGCGAACTAATGCTGGAATCTGGTGGTGGGACTGGAAACACAAAGGCAGAGCTTCTTTTTGTCCTACTCCTGTAACTGTTAATCTGCTCAGAGGACGACCAAAAACGACATAGTATGCGCCTCAATATCACTTTTAACGGGACAAATTTGGTCCAAAATCTTCGGAAGCATCATTTGACAACGGTCGCCCACCCGCGTCCGGCGCGCGCCGCCTGGTGTGAGCTGCGGCTGCCGACGCTGCTCGGTCTGACAGAAACTGCGACCTTGGCCATCGGTGTTCCTGCTCCTAAGATTACCGACGCGCAGGCTCAACACTTTGTGGTATTAGTTGTTTCAAAAATCGGTTCTGAAAAACGGTGGAAGTCCTCAGTCAAACATGGATGGGTTGAGCTCATTTCTTGCCTCATTTCAATCTTGCTCGTAGTTTTGAAACATCGTTTCCGCTGTTTATGAAATTATTCATGTTCGAAATGTGAGTCCCGTCGATTTAAGATCAACACGTTTGGCCTTCATTTTGGCCCATTGGATCAGAGAATCTTAGGGGGGTGGAATAAATCTCTCCATGTCAGGTATGATATTTCATAAGCACACGTAGCCAGAAACTCATTTATTATGACTTGCATTGCAGCACTATCAGCTCTGACTATTATCCACTTTCAGTTTTTGGATGACCATGATCTAAAGAAGTAACATATATATCTCAAGCAATTAGAGGCGCAGTTTGGATTTTAGTTGTTGCATTTTCACCATCTGTTTTCACCTGAGGTAAAATTTTGTCAATTGAGCTATAAACATAGAAACAGAAACGGCTCTGCCTAAACCTAGCAATATATGTTCTTCGCCCACGGCCAAGAGACAGATATGAACGCCCCAGCCTGCTTCTGTTATTTATGTCCCGCATGTGCCGCGTCGTTTTCTGCACGGCGACGCGCCGTACGCTGTCTTGGTTATCGACGCAGGCACAGAGTTGCTGATACATATCAGGCACGTACACATACCAGCTCTCCCCTTGAACACATTTGGGTGTATCCGCGCGCCTCAGTGCAGGAGCACATGTATTTCGGGACAAGTAGACATTATAATCAGATAGAAGAAGACAGCGATGCTGGTGCTAGTTCGGTTGCCCATCCACGCTTTGCGTCACCGAGCCGCGGTGTAGGCCGTGCACGGCGCAGCTCAGTCGATATCGGCGCTGCTGTAGGCCGGCCGGCCGTCGGTGTTTGGGCAGTTTCTGGGCCAACGAAGGTCGGCCGGGCTCGATACGCACGGTCGTCGGCCGCGGCGGCCGGGACCGGGACGGTGCCCCTGACCGAGGCGACGGCCCGGCGGCCGCGGCCGGCGGACGGGAGCGCCCGGGCGCGGCGCGGGCGACAGCCGGCAGCCGTCGTTGCCCCGTGCGGAGCCGGGGGGCGCGCCAGTGGGGACGGTGCAGAGACCGGCGACCGCACAGCGCTGGGACTGCAGTCACACCCGACGCTGGCAGGCCAGCGAGGCATTAGTGGTCATCGGTGGCAATGGGCCACTCCCCTAATAGTTCCTGTATCGACCTGTCGTGCCGTCATGGCCTCTGGGGCTGGTCCTTGTGTGTTCCCGGAGTGGTAATGCGGCGCTCCCTAGCTGCTAGCATGTCTGCTTAAACTGCGCGACTGCCGCGCATGTGCGGCACTGCGGGCCTCAAATAGTGATAAGCCTTGAATATGAATATATGTTGGATAATTGGGTGGTCATGGTGCCTGGCTGATATAGCCAAGGAAGTATGGTATATGAGTGTAGATTAGCTGTGTGTATACAACCGATGTTACATTGCATCGTTGTGTATACAATCGACCATTACATTACCATTACACACTGGTGGTGATCTCGGCGCTTTGCGATGCACTTTGGATAACCGTGACTTGACGGCATGTGCATCGCAATGCACACCCTTTTCAAGATACCTGTTTGTTCGTACCTGCAGCATTAAAAAATAAAGCTATTCCGAATGGTCTATATGAGTGGTCTTGGGTTCAGAGTATCTGCTAAGCACTCTAAGCTTGTGCGTGTACCCAGAACCCATCACCCAAGTCGTGTCGTTCAGTTCAAGGAATACTTTGCCTCCACGCTCCCGCCAAACAGGGGTGGGGTTGTACGTGCCGCACAATGCTGCTGAACGGCCGCCCTGCACCAAGGTTGACCCTGGTTAGCCAGTTGCCAGGTGACCTTTCCATTTCGGTCGGGTCAATCAACGTGCCCGCTCTGAAACTCGTACCCAGTAACGCTGGATCATGAGTTCAGCATCTTTTCCAAGGCCACGGAGACGGAAAAATTAAAGATTCATTGCTTCTACAATTTTAGCGAATTTGATATATGAATAATTGTGATAGGCTCTGAATTACTGTAGGCAAAGCATAGTGCATGCACCTTTAGACATTAAGGTAGTGACGCAAAACAAAGAGACGAATTTCGCCTCTACCACGCTTTTTGCCTTAAACTTCTACTGCATAAATGCTTGGAAACCAAAACCGAAAATGCTGAAACTAACTATTTATACAAATACAAAGCAATACAAAAAGGATCGGTATCGCAATGAACATGAAGGCCGAGCAGCTTGAGCATGTGTACCCATCCCTGTTTTCACTGCCATTTCCGTTCGCAGAGCGAGTAGCAGTCAAAATTCTAAGCAAGGCCAAGTTAGACCAGAAGACCCAGAGAATGCTGGCTCGCGAAATAGCCAACATGGACAAAGTTCACCATCCAAACATCATCAGGTGAGATGAAGGAGTGAATGGGCAAAAAAACAAATGGACGACGAACAGAAGAATCATCAGCGCTGTACGTGACAACCGCCCTTTTTGGTTGTTCAGATATGCTAAGTGGATGTACACCAGTCAGCACTATGTTGCCCTCTCTCATGCCTTGCAGGTATGAGGAGAGCAAATCGTTACTGGTGACACGCGAAACTAGGTGTTTTTTTATTAGAGCTCTTTCGACCAGAAATGATCGTTTCAGGGCTATGGGATGCAAGAAAATGGTTAAAGGTGGAGCAGACTCGCATGCGCCTGGAGGGCCAACCGCCGGGCTTTAACCCGCGCATGCGCGTTGGGCACCCGGTCGGGGTCCCCCTTCCCGCGGGGCTCTCGACCCACTCGTGGCTGACGCATGCAGCCTGCCCCGGACAAGCGGGGTGTTGCGAAGATGCAGAATGAAGCGAGATAGAGGATAAGAGGGACGGATGAAACTATGTGTGGGTATGCTAGCAAGATAAGCAGAGACATAGCGAGCGAGGAGGTGAGACATAAAACCTAGCGCTCGTTGCTCGACGTCCCGTTTACGCTGCGGTCGGGCAGGCTCGCTGGTGGTGTAGCGGCCCACTCCACACCCTGGTGGTGCGGCATCTCACTACACACCCTGGTGGTGCGGCATCTCACTCCACCATCGGGTGGTGCCGCATCCCACTACACACCCTGGTGTGCGGTATCTCACTCCACCCTCGGGTGGTGCGGCATCTCACGCGACCCGCTGGTTTTGTGACAGTTCACTATGCTACTCAGGTGATGCGGCGACTCACCTTACGCTCTGGTGTTGCGACAGTTCTCTAGGCTGCTCGGGTGGTGCGGCGGCTCACCTTACGCTCTGGTGGTGTGACAGTTCTCTAGGCCACTCAGGTGGTGCGGCGGCTCACCTCACGTTCTGGTGGTGTGACAGTTCTCTAAGCTACCCGGGTGGTGCGGCGGCTCACCTCACGCTCTGGCGGTGTGACTGTTCCCCATGCCGCTCAGGTGGTGCAGCGGCCCACCGGGCTCCTCAGATGACGCCGCGGCCCACCCGGCCTCTGCGCCGGACGCGGCCCGGTCTCGCTGCAGGCCAGCGGTTGAGTGGCAATCTAGCGGTCAGCGACTCCCGGCCCGTGATGCTCGCCCGGCCAGCAGTCGGGGCGCCCGAAGGCCCGCGTGCAGACGCTGCGATTTATTACCGCATAACTCCCCCCCCCCCCCTCCCGCAGTCGATGACGACCATTTTCACATTTACATAAGCGCGATATGCCATCGGCAGTCGGTACGCCCCCCTCCCCCTCCGAAGAAGGCACCGACTATGTACACAACCGCGTTGAAAGATCAATGTTTGCAAAATCCTCTCTCAGCCGAGTCAGTTAATGCGTTCTGGAGGCTCGTTTCCAGGGCATGTCTAGATGTTAGGTACAATCAATTTGCAATGCAAATTACTTGAAGACTTGCTACCACTTCAGCATAAGCATTACCGCCAAACCGTACATACATCGCTATGGTTCAATTACATTGTTATCGTGCTAACTCGATTGCGCCTCAAGGATAGCCCGTTTCCAATTCAGTGATGTTCGGTCAAAACATCCTTGATTATCTTACATCCCTTACCGTCTGATTGGACATAATTATGACCAAACCTTGCCCAAACGCAATGAAGTCTACGTTTGCATTTAGCATGTATCCTATCCACAGCATAAATATTTTACCCTCCTATATATTCTGTGCCATTTCACGTGCACTTGACCAGCAGGCTTTTTCGGCGTTCCCAGCGGGCGGGGCGTCGGTCGGAGCTGGCCCGACACGACACGGCGGGCTGCGCCACCGGAAGTGGCCGCTTCCTGTGGGATTTCCCGCGGGACGGCGCCGGTGCGGGTGTCGCCTCGGTCGCCGGTGCCGATCGCTGCCATCTACATATAGAGTGTGAGGCCGGATGCGGTGCCAGCGATGACATGACGACCGCGGCTTCGACCATCGACGCCACGTGGGCAGCCCCGGCGCCCACGCGCTCGCCTGGGCGTAAAGGAGGCGGACCAGCACTGCCATCCGTGCGACCCATGCACCAGCGTAGGCTGGTAGCACGTGTTGGGTTGGGTCGGATGTACCCCGCGTCGGACCCGCCCCCGGAAGCGGCGTGGTCCGGCCGTGCGGGCCGCTCAGCAGACCGGCTAAACCGCGCAAACTATGCGGGGTGGAGAACAAGTAATGGAACCGTTACAAACTTCTTGCCTCGTACAGCCTGTAAATATTGTTTGCACATTTCCTATGCATATGACGTCATTAGTTGTCATCGGCGCAGCGGCGCCTTTGATTTGTGGTGATCAAACCAGTGTGGACGCGGCCAAACTGTAATCGGGAAAAGATGACCAGGATATGGTATTCCAAATAAAAAACGTGAGAAATCTGCATTGTACGGGTAAAATAAAAAAATGGGACAAAACCCATTCGTTTCTTCATACATTCATATTTATCTCGTAAATGACACTCAGCTTAGAGTTTATTTATTCCCCTGTGATGTTTTTGTGAAGATCAGAAATGCAAGATTAGAAGGAAGACGGATCCGGAGTCATATCGCATTCAACTTTTATTGAGTCTGCTTACCATTCTACCGGTAGAGTGCGTCTAACATAGTTTAACTAACTTCGGTTAGAAACTTCTAAAAAACGAATACCTACTGCCCGAAATCACTAGGCATATGGAGGAAGCGTTCTAATGAAGCAAGGTCGCTTCGGACCAGAGTTCAGGCCGAATCATGTTCAGTTATGTCAAGCCACTCCAGAATATTCCATCTCATATAATCTAGACCAGGCACAAGCCTCCCGAAATATGCATGGAATGAAACGGCATGCCGCCAGACCAATCCTGTGACCTGCGGGATGTGAGCTAAGGCTACGCAGCTCCTCAGGTCAGATCGCCCAGAGGGGCGCGGTCCGGAGTCGCCGGCCGCCGCCAGCCAGGACTCGGTCGCACTCCTGCGCTCGGCCTCGACAGCGTGCCCGCAGCCCTGGCCGTGACCCTGGACGTGACCGGCGCCTGTCCGCCCGGTCACCGGGCTGAAGACTGGCACGGTGGCGTGCCGGAGGTGCCGCGCTGATGAGGGGGGCATTGGCCACCGGCCCGGGACTCCGCCGCACTGCACCTGACGGCCTCAGTCAAGGTCGACATCGATTGCAACGGACGGCCAGCGGCTCCGTGATGTGCTGTGAGCGTCAGGGTAGCGGCTTGGTGACGCGCTGCATGGTCAGGGCAGCGGATCTGTTACGCGCTGTAGGGTCAGGGCAGCGGCTAGGTGACGCGCTGTAGGGTCAGGGCAGCCGCTTCTTGACGCACTGTAGGGTCAGGGCAGCGGCTCGGTGACGCTCTACATGATCAGGGCAGCGGCTAGGTGACGCGCTGCGTGGTCAGGGCAGCGGATCTGTAACGCGCTGTGGGGTCAGGGCAGCGGCTCGGTGACACGCTGTAGAGTCAGAGCAGCGGCTAGGTGACACGCTGTAGGGTCAGAGCAGCGGCTAGGTGACGCGCTGTAGGGTCAGGGCAGCGGCTAGGTGACGCGCTGCAGGGTCAGGGCAGAGGCTCCATGATGGACGCGTGTTGACGTGACTCGCACACGCCCTGATGCTGGAGGGAAAGGCTCGCTAGAGTGATGTGAATCTTGGCATGCGCTTCCCAGCGCCGGGCGCTAGGTCTCGACGTTTCCACGTTGCTTAAAATGATTGCTCATACGCAAAAAACGTGCTGCCTCAATACATTGCTTTTGGGTTGTTATACGAACATAGTTAAGAAACGAAAAAAAGTTAAGAAATATTTATGTCACACTTGTTATGGCGTGGCCCTATCGCGTCGTAACAAATGTAAGACCGACGAGTTCACAGCAGCCGTCGCTGAGTGTCACATGGCAAAAATTGCACGCTTTTAGGAAGTTTTCCCCTCTACCTTGCGGGCATGTGCGAATCACGCCGTCACACGTCAATCACGCGGACGCTGACCTGACGATCACAGCGCGTCACCGAGCCGCTGACCTGACGATCACAGCGCGTCACCGAGCTATTGACCTGAAGATCATAGCGCGTCACCGAGCTGCTGACCTGACGTTCACAACGCGTCACCGAGCCGCTGACCTGACGATCACAGCGCGTCACCGAGCCGCTGACCTGACGATCACAACGCGTCACCGAGCCGCCGACCTGACGATCACAACGCGTCACCGAGCCGCTGACCTGACGATCACAACGCGTCACCGAGCCACCGACCTGACGATCACAACGCGTCACCGAGCCCTGACCTGACGATCACAGTGCGTCACCGAGCCTCTGGCTTGATGCTCACAGCGGAAAGCGCATCACCGAGCCGCTAACTTGACCTTACAGCGCATCACGGAGTAACTTACCTGACGCTCACGGCGCACCATCGAGCCGCTAACTTGACTTTACAGCGCATCACGGAGTAACTTACCTGACGCTCACGGCGCACCACCGAGCCGCTAACTTGACCTTACAGCGCATCACAGAGTAACTTACGTGACTCTCGCGGCGCACCGCCAAGCCGCTAACTTGACCTTACAGCGTATCACGGAGTAACTTACCTGACGCTCACGGCGCACCACCGAGCCGCTAACTTGACCTTACAGCGCATCACGGAGTAACTTACCTGACGCCCACGGCGCATCACCGAGCCGCTAACTTGACCTTACAGCGCGTCACGGAGTAACTTACCTGACGCCCATGGCGCATCACCGAGCTGCTCACCTGATCTCACGACACATCACCCAGATAGATGCGTGGAAAGGCGCGGTGCCTTTCCACACAGATATGTGGAAAGACGGATGTGTGGAAAGGTGCAAAAACTGTCTTCTGGCTGTCTTCTCCTTTTTTCACATTTAATCCTTATTTCTGCCGGGAGTTTCACTTAATACGCCATTATGATTCTGCAAAGTTAATGGCTTAGTGTATGTCAATGCAATGGGAGGCCGATGCAATTAGTCATGATCTGTTGTTATTTTCATTACAGTAGTGTTTTATTACATGGTTTTCCAGCCGACTGCAAAGCACAAACGTCTTGTGGATGCCCGAACTGTCGGTGTGAACTCGTCTGCTCATTATAGAGAAAGATATAATTAGACAGATCTCCGGGAATTCCGAAACCCCCTATATATTGGCATATTGAATACAATTTAGCAATTTGGGAGCAAACGAAGTAATTATGTTTGGCACGAAGCATGTGCGTACGCTTGTAGCACTATATGTGCGCCCACTTGTAGTACTTCACGTCGCTTATGCGTACATGTAGTATATGCAGGAGGCAGGCGAATTGTGGAGGCGTGTGGAACGAAGTTTTGCGGTACAAACAGAGAACGACGTAGGCAACTCTAAGCAATCGTATTGCTGTCTGCTACCTTAACGACACATCCTGAATCTCGCATAATTTAATACAAACTGACTTACTTGCAGTTCTTGAATGTTCTGACGTTCGCTTGGGATCTTTCCTGAACAAGAGAATGAAGGATCTAGATGGTTTGAAAGCACAACGTTGTGGTGGCTCTGGCGGCACTGCTTTGGTGGCCTCACCCCAGCTCTTCGGCAGGAAGATCCGCTCCAATTATGAAACGTTATCTTATCATTTTCCTAAACCTTGGATGGGTTCAGCCCTCAGCTCATCAACATAAGAAATTCCCGATTGTTAACGTCGTCATGAGGACCGTCATCGTAGCTGCCACTGCGATGAATTTCTCTCCAGTTTCCCAGCTTCACGGACCAAGTCTAATTTCCTTCCTTTTCATTTCATTTATTTTATGACGCAGTCAAAGACCGGAATCCCAGACAGGATGATTCTGCTCGCAGACGGGCGCAAGGGATTGACATATGGGTCCAGTGCGCCCATGTGTCCAGTGTGTCCGTCCCTTGCCGAGGTGTGAACGGAGCTGTGACAACAGCGCCACCCTGCCACAGGCTGTACGAGGTGCTGGAGACACTCTCCAAGATCCACCTGGTGATGGAGCATGCGCCTGGCGGCGAGCTCTTCCACAAGATCACCACTGAGGGTCGGCTATCAGAACGGCGGGCCCGGCCCCTAGTTGCACAACTGGTGTCAGCCGTTCAGCACATGGTGAGCCTCTGGTGGTGTAGCTGGCGTCCGCCGTCCAACACATGGTGAGCCTCTGGTGGTGAAGCTGGTGTTGAACGTCCAGCACATGGTGAGCCCCTAGTGGCGCAGCTGTTATCAACCGTCGAGTATCGACCGTCCGTGGTGAGCCTTTGGTGATATAGCTGGTGTTGAACGTCTAGCACATGGTGAGCCCTTAGTAGTGTAGCTGGTATTCGCTGTCCAGCATACTGCGAACCTCTCGCCCCAAACAGGGGATGGACACGTGGCCGAGGACACTCATGTTATGACTGCTGTTTGAGGCGTTGTTTTGTCGTATCATGCTGATTAACACATACCAGATAAAGAACCTACTAGATGTTGACCTACAAGCCATTTGCTACAGCAGTCGCAACAGACTATGACTATTGGTGGACGTGCTATGACGTTTTCAAGTGGGTGCGTCTTTTTAGGGCTCAGCACGATGACCGTGAATTTCGTTTTGTCTGTGATGGTAGTACACAGTCATCAGAAGTCATTCAAACAGGGAAAAATCATACCAAAATAGTTAACATTGAGGCGCCAAATGAGGACTTGGCCCGCTTTCAAGTACGGGTGGCAGAGGCAAGCCTGGGGATGGGCGTGGGGCAGCAGAGGCAACGGGCTTTAACACTAATGGGGAACGAACACATGGTTTTGTCTCCCACACCGCCTGCATATCGCATGTCAAGTTTTGAGCCCCAGTGGTTACTGTTGGCGATTTAAGGTCGTGAGCTGTTCACCTGAACTATGTCCCGCACTGCACCATCCACGCACTCTTGCGGCTGTATCTTGTAAAAATGGGAATATGCTGTAAATTGCTCAGCACTGCTAATCCTTTTCGATCCGAATTATCGCGGGCTTCCGAATTATCAAGGGCTTCATACCAACCTATCTCGAATGTTGCGGAAACATGCGACCGCAGACAGAAAGTTTGGGCCGAGCTAAAGCCGTTTTGTTTGCCGTAGCCCAAGATCATTTTGCGATATGGGAATTAACTATGGTGCTTCGAATGGTGAAAGTTTTGTGACGATCGGTCCCATAGGCTCCGAGAACTGAGTGATATTCATACAAAGCATGTTTAAGCTGTGCAAAATGATGTTTTTAAAGCAAATCTAAGGTATCGTCTTCTCACACTGCCAAAATCCTAAGCTCATTCGTGATGCATACTCTACTGAGGTTTTAGTGGTAATCGTTTTGATAGATCCCGAAGGCTCAGTAATATGCCAGCACATTGGTTTGTGATTTAGCAGGAGTGATGATATTCGTGTTAGTATTTTCCTATCAGCATCAGGTCATCGTATATAGCAAGTCAAACTACTCTGATGGCTTGCAATATCGGCACGTCGTTAAAAAACTCAATGCGAGAGGTCTATCAAAAATTGGTCAAACTTATTATTTTTGACTTGACCGTGGGCCACGACTTTCAAATTGCTCAAGGAAATGAGCAATGCCGCATCGGATGGCGTTTGTTTTCGAGTGATTGGCGTCATGATTGTTGCTAATGCAAGAAAACAATGTAAACAACCGCATGTCGTGTTCAAGAATAACTGGATGCTGGTCCAATAACTTTTGAGAATTGAGCTGAGCTGAGGGCACAACTGCGACCTTTGAAACGACCTTAGATCACCATCCATTTACAAAGGGATATAAAACAATGTTGAGTGGCAAAATGAATGGTAAAGGCTTCCTGGTGATCATTCATATTTGCTTTAGTCCCGAGACACACAAGTTATTCGTATGCAAGACAGGCCTCTGGCCACATGTTGACTTCGACCTGGTCTAGGCTACTTTCCTCGAAAGGCGACATGGAACCTTAAACAGTGCACTAAATGGCCAAAGTGTTGCGGTATTACTTTAATAGCCTTTAACAACCGAGATGTCCGTTTTCAGTTGAAAAAGACTCGCATTACAGTCATGTGACCTGGCTTAGGGGGCACCCACACGGCGCAGAGTTAGTCGGATGGTTGGAATTAAAGAATAAAGGCTTGGAGACCACCGGTCTGCTAGTTTTGGATCCCGGCTGCCACGTTGCTGAGCGTGTCCACCAGCGCAACAACGAGACTGTCTGTCAGCGTCAATTATTCAGCTGTGAACGTGGCTATGTTTGTGTGTGTGTGTGTGAACTCGTCGTGCCTTTCTCCCATTCTGTCAAATGCATGTATGCAAAAGTTTGCTTGCCCTTGCTCTGTCATGTCATTACCACTCACTGCCATTGCCAACGTCATGATTAAGAAACAATCGATGGCCTTTCACAGCTGCTACGTTTCACGGAACGTGCTCATAATCTGCGAAGTGCTCACTCATGTTTCCACATTTTGGTGGTGCGTGTTATTCCGCAGAAGACATGCTACCTGGCATGACTATGCAGTGCACTATCCAAATCATTACAGACGTAATGGTGGACGTGAAACTATTAACTCCTGACTAAAAGGAGCTCATGTGAATGCGTGATGATGCCAAGCGTGCATGGTAGCGGAAAAACTGTCTTGATGACTCGCAACAGACACATTGTCTTTACCTCACCTCCGCTGTTAAATACCGCCATTCCAGCAACCAAGCTCAGCGGCTCAGTGCATGCATGTCCAATAGATCTTTAACGCGGCGTTTAACCTTATCTTGATCAAATGTGTATAGATCGACCGCTGAATTTCATTACATAATCGCTAACCTGATTGCTGAACCAACTTTTTATTGTGAGTGGGCTAAATGTCAACTTAACGAATTAAAAGAACGATTTAACAAAAGCGGCAACCATACAAAGCCAATAAATATTTCAAATACTTATAGGTGATTTAGATTTGACTTCCTATTTTTTCCTTTTTTCTATGGAATTGTTTTGCAGATAATGACAGCAGTCGTTTCTGCTGCCGTACCTGAATTGTGGTTATGATGTGCTGGATGAATGGTCCATCCACTGCCACGAGTGCCACCCGGCTCCATCTCTGTTGCAGCACCTCAATAACATGATTCACCGCGACATCAAGGCCGAGAACGTATTCTTCTCGCGGCCGGACGTCGTGAAGCTGGGCGACTTCGGCTTCAGCACGCTGGTGTGCGAGCCCGACCAGCATCTGACCACCTTCTGCGGCTCGCCGCCGTACGCGGCGCCCGAGCTCTTCCGCGACGACTACTACACGGGCGCTGCTGTCGACGCGTGGGCACTAGGCATCCTCATCTTCTTCATGGTGGCCGGCGCCATGCCGTTCCGCGCCGGCACGGTGACGGCGCTGAAGCGGCAGATCTTGTCGGGCGCGGTGACGATGCCGGACAGTGTCAGCGACGACTGTCAGCAGCTGCTGCGCGGTCTACTGCGGCAGAGTCCGGCCGACCGGCTCTCGCTGCAGGAGGTGGCCGGCTGCGGCTGGCTGGCCGGCCAGGCGCTGCCGCCGCCCGGCCAACCGTTCTCGCTGACGCGCTGGGGTGAGCACACGCCGCCCGGCGCCGACCACCTGGAGACGGCCACGCGCGCGCGCCTCCAGAAGCTCGGCCTCGAGTCGGAGGCGCTCGAGTCGCACTGGGAGCGCGGCGGCCGCAGCCCGATCACCGGCGTCTACCGCATCATGATGCACAGGCTGATGCGCGTGGAGGCCGGCGAGCTGGTCGAGTCGGGCTCGCCGCTGCGGCTGGAGTCGCGACCGACAAGCGCCGGCCCGGCCCCGGCCCCGACCACCGACGCCGCCGACAAACATGCCAAATCGAAAACGTGCGCAATACTGTGATACGGCGCGGTTGGCGGACCGGCGGCCAGGGTCAGCCGCTGTGCCCGCTGTCGCCATGCAGCTAAAGACTATTTTTGAAATGTGGACTGTTAGACGTGGCGTATGCTGTCCAGTGGTCACACTGGGCTCAAGCGCGGTTGTGAGCCGAGCATTATATTTTTGTGATGTGATATGCCCTTGCCGAGCACACTCATCCGTGCGCGACGTACATATCCCGCGCGCGGTACGTTCAAAGCACGTGGTGGTCTGACCGTGCGGCACCGCCCTCGAGCTCCCTTCATTCCCGGTGGAGCCACTCCTTGCGGTACATGCCCGCGTGCGGACGAGGCGGGACCTGGCGCGTGCTCTGCCTCCGCATGCCGCCCCGAGGAGGCCAGTGTCGTCCGGTGGAGCGGGCGCGCTCGTCGGGCGAGTGCAATACACATACCTCTGGCGCGTGACCGGTCCGTTACGGCCAGCCCGGGAGCAGCTGTGGCGCCAGGTGTCGGCCGACGGGTCACGGCGGTGTGCGCGCAGAGCGCCCAGGGCCGGCCACAGCTGCTGCAGCACAGCCTCAGGCGACGGCACGGCTCAATGGGCCCGACACGTGCCAGGTCGGAGGCACGGAGCTCGATGACGTGTCACAGAGCTCTGGCAGGGCTCGGCGCCTCGGGGCTGAAATAGACTGGCGCAGCGCTCTGACAAGAAAGCCAGCCGCAGGCATCGCATGGACGCTGCTGTTGCATTGATAACCGCCATTTGCAGTCAACGGAAGGGCACCCGGATAATTAGTGCAGCAGCTAGTGATGGCAGCAACGACGAACTCACACATCCAGATAATTACACCAAGGTCACAAGCCAGTGGCGCAGACAGCTGTTGAATCGGGGAAGTCCTTAGCTTCTGGTAGGCGACAAGTGGACTTCCTCAAAAGCGAAGTGGGGCCTTCCTCACAAGGTCGCTCCCGCAATACGAACGTCGGCTGACCTGCAGGCGGCAGTGTTTACAGTCGTCATCAGTTCTGACAGCTCACACCCCCACCCATCAGTTCACACCCTTATCGATCGCGACCGGAGCGACCTTAGCCTTGATTGGTCGGCATTTCATTGCGTGATAACGAGACAGTAATGTCGCACTTTCGCTGAAAAACACACACGCAGGAGAGCGTGGAAGGAAACCTCACACCTTGATGGTTTCTGGCTTACTATAGGCATACAGGGGCACGCTTTTTACATTTCATTGCGAGTGCCCAGCAGGCAGAGTGGCAATATTTGTCCGGGAAGCCAACAGCCGACACAGTGTGACACGTTGACGTGCTGCAGAAGAAGTGGTTCTCATGGAATTAATCCAGGCTTTTGCAAAAAAGTGCTAGCTGCCGATTGTATCACCCATACCGTCAAACCGTCATAATCACGACTGGGACAAACGTTTGGGCATCGCTGAATAGCCCTAAGCCAGTTTTATCATGCGTGCTTATGATACCACCCTCGGCGCTGCTCCATCATCAACATTCTTAAAACATTATCGCAATTTGCTCCCCCGCTGTCCGCCACGTGAGTGCAGTGGCGGATCCAGAGGGAGCAGGGAAAGGGGCATGAGGCCATGACCATGGGGACAACGCGACCAAAGAGGCACCAGAATACCATGGTGGAGGGGCACCAAAATCGTCATTGCGGATCCACGTTACCTTTATTTTAAAGGGGCACCGAATTCCGGGAGTACAGCAAATAACACCAAATTCTTTAAAAAATCACAGCATTTTAGGGGCACCACGAGTGAATGCGCTCCCTACCCCTCCCTCCTGCTTCCTTAGGCCCGGGGGGTCCCGAGGGGCACAAAACACCGCTCGGAGTCGACGATCAAGAGTCCGATTGGAGGGTGAGGAAGGTAGGGTGGACTTAAGCCAAGTTAAGTAGATGTAAAAAGGCTCACGTCATGGCAGACTGCTTATTCTTAGGCAATTTAGGGACTTTTATGGTATTTTGTGGTATCTTTGCACTATTCGAAAATTTTACCCGCTTCACCTCTAGTTCTAACTACGTTAACCTGCTCCTGCGCCGAAAGCAGCGCACTTTATGTTAAATGATGCTGAATTCTTCCTATTTCTGGTTCATTCCTTTGTGGTCTGGAGTGATCACGTAATTTGTGGAACATTTTTTAAGGAAGCTGTGGAATTGTACCGTCTGCTAACTGGCAAAACTGGAGCGTAGCGCTCCGCGCCGAATGCGAGTTGTTGACATGACGGTTGCGGGGCGTTGTATTCAGGGTGTTGACGGTGTTATCCATTATTGATCAACATTTTTCACTCAGCTGCATTAAAACTATGTGAGAGGAAGATAGCATTTAACTAGCTATTGAGGTGGCCGCTGAAGTACTTATAAAGAGTGTTGTGGGCGTATCGCAATCATCTATGGATGCTGCTCATCGTCGTCCCCCAGTGCGATCTGCGGTTGGAGTGGGCACCCCACAGCTGCCTTATGGTGCCGGCAAAGAAAACTCACATTACGTTAAGGGGATGTGAATGTCATCCTGTGCGTTCTTCCTTTACAGTCCATCGGCATAAATTGCATATCATGAGATGTGGTGCAAATCCATAACATCATTGCACCTATGTATAGTGCTGTATTGTATTGTACAGTATTGCATTGAGTATTGTATTGAAAGTATTGTATACTACTACACTATTGAGCTGTATATTTGACTACAGTATTGAGCTGGGGTGTAATGTCCCAGAGATCACTAAATGAGAATGATAAGATCACAACATTTGTCCTTTGGCTTAGCCATGGAGGCCCCAGTCAGTCAGGGTGTTGACAGCGGTGATGACTTCCACAATGACTTATGGCGTTCCCCGGCAACTGGACAGCAAACGACACCATTGATTCATGTGGTAAGAAAAAAAGCGAAATGAGGACCCCATAGTTAACAGAAAGAAACCCAAAGTACAAGGTGAGTGAAGCTACCTGAAAGTGAGGTGAAATGACAACAAACATTTGATACTTCAAAGGAAGGCAGCTTTGTAACAGGTGTCCTCAGAAATAGCCAAGAGATGGATCATTACCATTCTCTTTTAGTTCCAGCTCGACTAAGATATTGCTGTGCCAGTGAATCGGAAATCTGTCAGAGACGCATGGCAGATCTCCCGTCCGATATCCCGGGAGTCCGGGAGTCATGGTGTTCCTTAACGACGCAGTCGTATCTTGAAAAAGACATCGTCAGAGCATCTGGAGGCGCTGGAGCAGGTGTTGCAGCGCTTGTCGGACGGCAGCCTGAGACTGCAAAGGAAGAAGTGTCGGTTTGGCGCGTCGTCGGTCGTCTACCTGGGTCACCGCGTCGAAGCCGACGGAGTGAAGCCAGCGGCGGATGAGACAGAGCCACGCGAAACGCTCCAGCTGCTAAAGAACTAGCGGGAGCTGCACTGGTGGCTGGGTCTCGTTAATCACTATTACAAATTTGCGGAGAATCTAGCCACGGTGTACAGCACCGTTGTACAAAGTGTTTAAAAAGGGTCAAACCTGACAGCGGGATCTGAGCAGATGAAAGCTGTTCTGAAACGTAATGGCTGGCGGTAAGCTGCAGTACGGCAGAGGGCGCGAGGCTCTGGTTGAAATGTTGTAGAGGCGCTGATGTCACGGTGTGGTCCTGTCCCGCAGCTCGCAGGTGATGCGCCGTAACATACAGCTGCCAATGTGAGTTACATTGATGTTATTTTGATTGATTTGATGATTATTTGAACTAAACACCGTCATAAATTTTGCGATAATTTTGTCGGTTCACATGCGGAATGTGTCGTTTCCTTTCTTCACTAAACTGGCTGAGTTGTCATGATGGCGGGCACGGCGTTGGTTGATTCCCCTCGTGATTGGCTGATCAGGCAACAATGATATTGACGGAAAGAAGTCTTTGGTCTCCCGAGCAAAAAAAGTTTCAAGCGGGGAAGGATCTACTCCAACCCCTTCAAGCATTAGCGCAACGTCCCAGGTCTGCGCAGGCCGTCCTGGATTGTGTCGCCTGTCCCTATGGCCTGGGTCGCTTTGTAGGCGTTGTGGCCAAACACCTCGGGTAGCGCCCGGTGGTCTGCTGTCCACGGCCACCAGAAAAAAGAGCGGTATTGATCGCATAGCGACAGGTTGTACCGGCACTGTGCAAAACTTTCGCTTCTATCTGGCAGGCGGGAAGTCTTCTATCCGAAAGGACCATAGGTCCCTATTGTGAATGATAGGGGGCGCAGGCCGCTCCTCATTCCTGGCGTTGTCGTAGGCTGCATGAGGGATAATACTTTTGTTGGGGTACAAGTACAAACTAGAGTACGTTCCACGCTTGATACGCGCAAGTTTGGGGAGCAGTTTGAACACCGCCCCCCCCCCCTCTCCTGAGGATTTTTCCAAGATGATTTCCGGACGACGCAGGGTAGCTGCGCCAAATTTTGGTTTGGCATCAAACATTTAGATGTGGTTTGTACGGTCGCTGACCTACAGAATATCAAAATTAGGCCATTGATTCAGCGAAGTCAATTTCTAGGGAATCATTCAATTTGATGCAACAACAGGGTGTCAGACATATATCTCTGAGATACTGTCTTACGGCAACACAGCATTTCATTGACCTAGGATCAGGTATTAAAGTCTGCTGGCTTGCTGGGCCTGCTGTGCTGCGGCAGTTTCTGGTGCTCATTTGGAGTTTATTGATAACAGGAGTCGTATCATACATCTTCCGTGAACTTCTTAAAGGTTTGGATAGGTCACTGACCTGAAATAACCTGTGTCAGCATTATGTTTTTGGGAACATGCTGCCTGACGTAATTATTATCGCATATATTTGTGCTTATTGAAGCACAAAACTCAAAGCAGTTTGTATGATCTTAGTCACACACGACCTTCGAAAGGTCAAACAAAGTCACTGACCTGATATGACAATGCGACTTTTTTACTTAGAACAGGTATCTAGGTTCTGGCGGCACTTTGGAGACCGAGCTGAATGTTTGGCCCATGAATGAATCCCAACCTTGTTTGACCTTATCTGACCCGAATGTCATGACCTTGGAGCCTCAGACTCCGACCCAAGTGACTTCACGTACAGGCACGATTTGAGCAAAACCCGAAGCAAGCACGATTTGAGCAAACCCGGAGCAAGCACCTAACAAGATACGAAATCCCGAGTTTTGCTGGTTGCAACATGTTCGCTGAAGCTGCAAACCAGAATCATCAAGGGGAGGTAAAATGCTCATACAATAGCACACAAGCTGGCTCGACGTCATATGACATTCGTCCGCGGCCGCCTCGATTGTAAAATATGTCAACATTCATGAACAATTAGACAATGTCTAGCATTCAACATCGACTTATGACAGACTCCAACGGAAACAAAACATTGCCCGTTTTCGAGATGCATATAATGATTTGGAAATAGGTAACTTTGGCTTGCTTAAAATGCCTTACCTAGGGAAAACGGTATTCTGCTATTCCCTGTTCCTTCACAAATAGCCCCCCCCCCATATTTCCGTTTTGGTTTCGAAAGAACAAACATTCCGGCCGAAATAGATCCAGTACATCTCCGAATTTGGGACAAAAAATCCTGAGAGCTTTTACTCACTAGCATTTCCGTGAGAGGCAACTGACTGCCGTCATGTCTGGAGATCGTGCTCACGAACACCAGATATGAACGACTCCACAATCATATCTGTATCGGCTTTGGTCGCCGCATGACCAGTGGAATGGCACAATTTGAAAGAGCTGAGGTGGCCTCATGGATGCCTGGTGGACCTTGAAATAGTTTGCTTGGAAAGGTCTGCACATATTCGCGGGCATATAGATCAGAAACTACAAGGGTTTATGTCCTAAGAAAGACAGCGTTGTGAACGACAACGACTGATCTCCTAGGTGGCTGCTTCAGGTTATATCCCATACTGATGTGGAACATTCCCATTAAGCTAAAACTTCATGTCATCTCGAGACACAGTCACCAAGACAACACCTCTGCGACAATACCATCAGTGGAAGAATGATAGAATTCAGTTTAAGTTAAATTTTAGCACATAGGTGCATATCTGACACATTCCGAAGTTTACTCTAAAATCTTGGCCTGAATTTTGTTATATCTGATATATTCAACCTCCTGCTAACCATGCCATTGCTTGGACCTGAATGCAATAGAAATGATGGAAAAATTATGATAGGATCCATGAATGGAGGGTACTTTGATCAAATGACGTCACAAATCATTAAGCTTCAATGTCAAGGGTGTATCGGCCACGCCGGTCTTTTGATTGGGCATTATGCGCATGACAGGGATTGGGGATGATCTGGAAGGGAAATGAGCATTCTCTCGATGTTTCATGTGTCGGGGATACGCCGAAGAGACAATCTGAATGAACTAATAACGGCCTAGCGGGTGCGTAAGGCCAAAAATGACTAGGTGTGCAGGGCTTTCATGTTCATGATGTGTCATTGTCTGCCAACGCTGGCAGTATTACGGATATATGAGACGGATATTAGATCATCAGAGCAGAAGTGAATCCATAGACGGGCTGATCCCGTTCAAGAGGGAGGTACCCAGCCAGAGGAGTTCTCATAGTGCGGGAACGGTGGCCACGAGACGTTGTGGAAGGTGCGACTGTGCGAAGCTGGAACATGATCTCGTAAAGACGCTTACGAAGGATGTTGTGCCAGGTGAACTCGGCAAAAGGATCTCGACCCTAAAATCCCCAAGTGCTTTGCATCGGGAAGGCAGGCTCTCCTTAGGGGCAAAGATGCTAACTGGGCGATACTAGGTATGAAAAGCAATTTTGGCCCACAGGGCAACAACGTACAAGCTGTGTGCCGTTGTCACGCTCTGTGCTAGATTAAGCTGGCATAAACGATCGGATTGGCCTTCTTAAAAGAGGAACGGTGCGCACAAGAGGTGTGGAAGACGCGACTCGGAGAAGTCGTCACAGGACCTCGCAAAAACGTTTGCGAAAGATGAACTCGTTAAAGACGGCACAACGATCCTAGTTATGAAGTCCCCGGACATTGGCATTGGAAAGGCAGGCCCTCCTTAGTGGCAAAAACGGTACCTGGGCGATTAATTAAGACAAGAGCCACCCTGCATTGAAGGCAAGGGCGTTTTCCTATACGCTACGGCCCGTACCTCGAATGACATCGGACGCCCGTTTGAAACGGCCTGACGTGACGGTACAAGGAGGAAATGACGTTGCAAACGTGGGCTTAATGTTTCTGATATACCCTAATTTGGCATTAACCTAGGCAATATTACTCAGCCCAGACCCTGTGTGTCATAGTAGGGGACTAGAGGGACCTCATTATGTTCATCTCAATCTCACATCTACTCCTGCCCAATGACGTTACCTTTGTGTATCACAGGATTCGGTCAGCGTCGCATGTGTACGGTTATGGAACGAGCACGGGATGCAGCACATAACGGAGTGCAGTTTTCTTTGCAAGATGGCCAGGCTGCATGGGCAGATGTGGACACTGCGAACATTAAATAAAAAAGGGCATAAAGAAACAAAACAAAGGTCGACATCGACCTCGCAAGATTTCAAAAGCCCGAAAACCACCTCACAAAACTGCTGCGAAATATTGCAGAACGCTGTAACCACCGATAACCGCAGAACTAGCATCAAAGGCACCCACTTTGTTTGTCATTAGCGGCTTCCGGAAAGACGAAATTTCAATGCTGAAACCTGGGAGTTGCTGAAAATTTGCAGGATGCTGGGACACCATTTGGAGCGTTAAGGAAGCAAGGTAAAGCCATAAAGCGCCTCCACTGTTTGCACAAGGCACACGAGCTCCTAAAGGAAGATTCTGGTAATGTTGCAAAGAGCTGCAGAATGTTGCAGAAATGGTTTACAGCCAAAGGAGGCAAAGTGACATCCAAGAACCACCTGCATTTTGCCATCAGAACAAAAAGCCCCTAAAATGGAACTTGGAAAAATAGGAAAAGTTGCAAAAAGTTGCATGCCCAAATTGCTCAACGCACCCCGTTGCAACGCTACACGCACATAATTAATGTTGGAGAGGGCCGTAAAACGGTGTTGTCGATATCTTAATTCGTGTTTTAACCAATCTGAGCCCTTTTAAAACGGCTCTGCCATCTGAGTGGCGCTGCCAGCATTCCTGCAGTCTGCAGCCGATCTGCCTCGGGCCGTGTCCGCCGGCGGACGCCACCCGCAGCCGGTCCTCCTCGGGAAGGGGGGGGGGGGCGTCTAGCAAACGTCGCTCGCAACCGGTCCCCCTCGGGGGCCGTGTCCGTCTGGCGGACGTCGCCAGCGTCCGCCGGGTCGTATCGGCCCGGGTTTCCGGGCAACGTACGTGGTGCGGTCGCGACGGCCGCGGAGATGCCAGAGACGTCGCGCCCAGCCGGCCACGCCAGTGTCGGGCGAGCTGCGCCGGAGACATCGCGCCCAGCCGGCCACGCCAGTGTCGGGCGAGCTGCGCCGAAGACGTCGCGCACAGCCGGTCACGCCAGTGTCGGGCGAGCTGCGCCGGAGACGTCGCGCCCAGCCGGGCACGCCAGTGTCGGGCGAACTGCGCCGAAGACGTCGCGCACAGCCGGTCACGCCAGTGTCGGGCGAGCTGCGCTGAAGACGTCGCGCACAGCCGGTCACGCCAGTGTCGAGCGAGCTGCGCCGGAGACGTCGCGCCCAGCCGGGCACGCCAGTGTTGGGCGAGGTGCGCTGGCCTCTTCCGCCTAGAGAAGAGTGGACAAGCAGTGCTGCCGGACTGCTTGGAGCTTGCAATGGAAGGTACGAGTCCCGTCATGCTTACTCGCCGGACACTGAACGGAAGATGTCCAAACTGACTGTTGTAACAAGGGGCTTCATAAGTCTTATGTCATGCCAGGCATAATCATGCGTTACTTTGGAATGAGCTATTTAACGTGCTGAATGCAAGTCCTCATGTGGATTGAGGGAAGAACGCATTGTTGTTAACCAGCAGCTGGTCGTGGTAACGGGTTGCTAAAGTTGCGAAGGTAACATTATTAAATCAATGCGGTTTACGTTTTGCCTTTTGACCTCAGGTGATTATTTCGAGAGACAAGTTAGCGCCACACAGCGGTCCTTTCAACAAATGATTACGTTGTGCAACTTCTCCAAACTTTACAACAGTTTTAGCATTTAGTTATCAATGGCATAGCTCTTAAAAGCCACATGTAGCTGAAAATGTTTTGGAGATATTTTAAATTAAATGCATGAAAAGGTGTATATGCAAACAACTTACATTCACAGGTCATAAGCAAGCTAATGAGTGCGCGGGCAGGTGTGATACGAATTTGTTCCCTCCTGAAACCTTTCGAAACTTTTTCAAAAGATTCGGTGGCATGTCTGACGTAGACGCGACAAACCAAACTCCTATATTCTGGCTGAAGTTCTGTTCATAGATTTAAAATACTCACAGAGCTTTTCTTTCCTACTTAAAAATGGTCCACAATGGTGCTCATGGCCCCCCAATCCTTGAATGAAATGATCCTCAGCGCCCACCTTGCTCGACATAACACCGCTGTGAACAAAAATGGCGCGGCTAGTATTCAGCACCCTCGACCGATCCATGCCGGTCCCACCCCGGCATTATTCTGGAATTTGGCTGAGCTAAGGTGTCGATTAAAGAAAAGGAATGTCTGAAAACAGTATCATGTTGTATGATAAGTTCAATGATTTCAATCAACGTTGTTTAGCTGTTGGATGCTACTGGAATGGCATGCAACCAGTCGTTTCCTTGCCAAAGTGTTGGGTCCATACAAAAGCTTTGTGAAAACCTCGAACAAATTTTGCATCGCATAACTCCTTCGTAAAAACGGCAATTACATAATTTCTGACATACCACACGGACATCCGCAGCTTAGACTTATCTAGTACTATACGACTAGCATAACTTGCCTTTAAGCCCGAATACGATATTTAGTGACCTTGAGTTCGATTACCGGCCGGTCTGAATTTTTGTCCATTCCGAGTTTGACCGTCGAAAAAACGTTCTCGCACTTTGCGCTTCAAAATTTAACTTTCAGTTTAGGATGTCCCCCAAGACTGCAGTTTGACCCCTCTAATCCTGATTCCCCTCCACCACCTCGTCCCCACCAGCCAATCTCGGAGACCTAGTTACACTGATGATAACAACGACGCAAAACTCCTGCATCTCACCGCCGGAGACGTGTGTTGACGGCACGGCGCGGGGCCGCAGGGCCATCAGCTTCGGAGGCGTATGGGGTCGTGCGGAGACTGACCGGACGTGTGTTGACGGCACGGCGCGGGGCCTCAGGGCCATCAGCGTCGGAGGCGTACGGGGTCGAGCGGAGACTGACCGGGCGCGCCGACCCTCGGCCGGTGACCAGCGACGCGGCGTCGCGGGTCTGCCTGCTGTACGGCCCCCAAGGTCAGCTGTGGGAGAGCCTGCTCAGAGACGAGCTGCAGAACGGTGCCGTCAGCCGGGTCGAGGTCACCAGCTACGGCATGGACCAGCTGCTGCCCCGGACCGACCCGGACGTCATCCAAGACATGGTCAGCTCACATCTGCAGGTACAGTCCCTCAGCTCTTGTTTGCCCATGGCCTCGCCGACGTAGCTCGCACCTGCTGATACTCGCATCTTGCTCTTCTACTTCACTCTCCACACTTGCAATGAATGCCATAAGATCCTAGCTCTAACCTGCCGGTTCTTTCTCCCAGAACACATCTGCGCTTATGATCTTTCACCTTTTACCAGCTGGTATGTATCCTTTTCTAGGCACGCAGCTATAGTTTTCCGCCCTTCTTCTCCAGATAATATCGCCAATAGCCAACCCGTTCGAGCAATCGTGTAACTGACATTATTTGGCGAAATCTTCCGGAATACAACTCACTTGATGCACATCAGCTATCAAGTCACCATACTAATAGATGTGCTGTGTGTTGGGTGAGCGAAGTGATAACAGATGCGAGAGATATCGATCATCTTTATGTCGATAGTATAAAAACCGAAGATAATGAAGCCGAGGACCTTTGGTCTCACCAAGGCATCAGGATAGATTTAACGCGATAGGTCTGATCAATGAATCGAAACGTCTGGCTTTCTTTAAGATGCAATGAGTTAAGTTTTTGGGGTCTGTGATCAAAGTCTTATGTATATATAGCATATACACTACTGATATTCGTTTCGGTAAAGGCATGTTGCCGAAAGATCAGCGCACCTACATATTCTATGAGCAACCTTCAACTGTACCTGGAATACAAATAAATCACTAGCAATCCTGGTCACTGGCACAAGGGTAGCGCGAGCTTCCACCTGAACCACCTCATCGGCAAACCCAAGAACCTGCCGTGGACTGACCTCCCCACCAAGAGGAACGTCCCCGATATTCTCATCGACATCGACGAACATATGTTCAACGACATATATACGACTTACATTCGTCCTTTGTTTGATTATTGTAGCGTAGTATATGACAGAGTTTTGACAACTGGCGACTCCCTTAGACTTGACAGATTGCAGTACAGAGCAGCAAGACTTATCACCGATGCACTCTACAGAACGCACACTCGCGCACTGTTCGACGATTTGGGATGGAACACTCTGCAAGTCATGAAGAAACGTACACAAAATGACGCTGTTCCACACCGTTATCTTCAACCAGCTGCCAACAACAGCCAACAAACGTCACTACACTTATACGTGATACACGAGCACTTGGAGCAGGACGCCTACACGCAATACAATGACACCCACATTACCACCGAACAAAACCTCAACATACGAAAACTCCTACATTCCATTGACTACGACAAGATGCTACCAACTCCCGCCTGTTTTGTTCGTAACAGAAGCACTCAGCTTGTTGCATAAGCCGTGCTGTTCCCGTGTGCAAAAGTGGCTGGTTTCAATGAACTGGTTCAAAAATGGCAGGGTAGCTAACAATGCATGCATATTTAGTGGCTACCTGGAACTAATTACCGGGTAGCTTCCAGTGGCTACTGGAAGGCACCCGGTAATTATAATTGTATTTCTTTATAATATAAAGGAATACAATGTGTATAATAGTATACCTTTACATATTTGTATATATATATATATATATATATATATATATATAAAGGTAATTATATTCCAGTACACGACGAAGTTAAATTTGATGTCTACATCAGTATTCAGTCGGTTTTCTTAAATACCGATCTTTATTCTCAACTGCAATACTGCCGAACACCGTGCCAACAGAAACCTGTTTGAAATATGAATCAAAAAGGGATCAGCAATTCAACGACGAACGGAGCTTTGTTCACGTTCATGTCATGAGTGTTTCATTAGTGACTGACATTGACATCGGCATGAGTCAAGAATAAGATCAGCAGTCCGTCAGCTACGCTGCTTTTGTTAAGATTCATTGACTGTAGATAATCGTTAAGAGTTGAGGATGACGACAGGTCAGCTTAGCAAAGTGGCCATCGAAGAAGCTATCCCTTTCCATAATGCTACTTTGGCTTAGTTTTCTAAGATGACGGATTGTTGCAGATTTGCAGTTTGCAGGTTGCAAGTTGTACCCATCCAATCCATTGGCGTGACACAATCATACACACATGTGTCATGCGTTGAAACATTGACGTAGAGCATCTGAATTTCGGGAGTCAGGTAGCAATTCTCTCATCTCCGAGAAAAAATCCAGCAGAAACAGCCAGAAAACCAATCTAGACAACAAGCGTCACGAACGATGGTCACCAACAACAACAACATGGTCACCATCATGACCACCTTCTAGTGGTCATGATTTTGAAAGGAACTTGCAGTACACATAACTATCGAGGCTCTGTCGCGTGCTCGGTCGTTTCGCAGAGAGGTACATGAATCACATGTTCGCCAGCACAGCAGACGACTTTTCCTATCCACAAACATCGAACTCCTGACGTGCGGCGGCCGTTTGTGAGAGCACGAATTACCAAGCAAACTGCGGTATGCTTTGAGTTAGAACGGGTTGACTCCGAGGACCAGGGATGGTAAAAGTGTACCCTTCGCCGCCGACCAAATTTTTGGAGGAGAAATTGTTGTCAGTAGCGTATTGCAATGCCATATGAAAAAGGTTATTAAAACCATGCCCAGTAGCGTCATCAAAAATCAGCCTATCACCGAAAGGCTCCTCCATCATTGCAATTTTCAATTTCATGCACATAACCGAAACGTTCAGTCATACACTGCTCTTGAACAAATGTCAGGATAAGTGCTGGTGCTAGGAAAGCGTGCGCACCTGCCCTAGACTGATGATATAGCCCAATCACGACGGGAGTTTTCTTCCACACTCGGAATTTTACGGCGCCTCACGTTTTAACTCGATCTACGGCTGAATTTACTTCCCTCAACCGCAAAAAAACAACAAAGGACCACGATAGCCAGGGCAGCAGAATGCGTGGCAGATTCCGAACTAGTAGCAAACAGGACTGGAAATGACGTCAAATGCCATGCCCCGTTATGAAAATCACACTTGCGCTTCGACCCCCATCACAGTCCTCATCAAACTATCTACCATACCTTAGGCACGCTCCAAGCCTGGCGCGACATTTTTTTGAATCGTGGGCGCCTCTTGCCATGCCCCAACAAAACATTGTATCGAAATTTGTCGATTACTTCACATCAGGCGAACAGTTCATTCTGAACCAGCTACTCGCCCTGACAAAAGGGGGTGGGGGGCAATGTGACGCCCCCCACCCATACGGCTTTATGAAGATATCAATGCGGCATATTGTACAGTCTTGCTCAAATCTTTGGTAGCCTCTGGGGCATCCATTGCACGCGTGTTGACACCAAACAAGTGCCCCTAGGTATTCTGGTTTCAGAGAAGCGATGTTTTTTACAACCAGTGCAAGACGATTCAAGGCCGGCGAGTGCGGCGGGGGGGGGGGGGGGCAAGCCACGATTCTGCGGACCGCGCGCGGAGGGCTGGCACTATTACATGAACGAATCCCTACATTATAATAGAGGCTCTAAACAGATAAAACTACATGCGATTGTACTCATAATTAAACATGTGGCACGCCTCGTTATGTTCCATGTCACTTCACTGCATGGTTTCGTATATATGAACATGCAGAGCTGATGTTTGGTTTTCAGGAAAATTTGACCTTCGACTTGGTCTTGTTGGGTCTGTTAACAACAGGAGACTTATTACCAATCGCGATATCTTGCTAAAGACAGTTCACCGTTTGCTGACTTTTTTGCGAGGCCTTACCTTTCTAAGTTTGCAAACGTCGAAGGATAACCCCCGTCCCCCCCCCCCCCCCGCCACCAATCCGCGTTTCAAAAGCCCGTGAATCAAGGTAAAGGCTCAAATTATTGGCTACCAGCCTTTTTATGTATTTTATATATGCCGGTGTAAAAATATGCATTTAAAGATAGGTTAGGGAGTAGTGAAAAATTATGCAATGCAACCCCAAAATATGGATGTCTTCCAGATTAGCACACTTATTCACAAACTTAGGGGAATGGTTAGAGCCCTGAATTGAATAAGAAGTAGGAATACCCCTGATTTGAAGATCTATATGACTGATAACCATTCTCACTCAGGACAAGCACAAAAATGGCATAAATCTGTGGTCTAGAACCATTATCACGTCCTGTTATTCTCCTTCATTAGAAGTGCCTTCATGTGAAGGGAAAGAGGCTTCAACATAAAATCTACGGTTGTTCGAAAGGGGAAAATGCTGGCAGGTTGTGACTGCTTCGGTGAGTTAACAGCTTTTGGGGTGTCATGAAAAGGTGGTTTGGATAATTACAGGTCAATTTCTACTTTGATCGGATCCCAACGCCGACATACTGTCAATACCTCTCGTCGCTGGGGGCAGTATGCTGGATCACGGCACAGTCAACGAAGTAAACAACGCCAGAAATTAAACCCTCGGCAGGTATTCATGATGCTGCAATGCGAATGCCACTTGCAAAGTTGCAGCACACTGAAAGTCACCGCCCAACTCATATCAGTCGCATGGCAACAGTTGAAACACGTCTTTGCGGCCAGATGAATCCCCATATCTAGATCTTTTTTTCAGTTCTTTATACCGTCTAGTTTGGGATACTGAGAGTCGGCTGTTTAAAACAGCAAATCGGCCGGCCGCCCGGGCGATTGGAAATAAATAAAAATGGTCTGTCACCGACCTGTCAGCGAGTCGGCCGACCAACTAAAAATCATAGGATACTTTTGTCGCCGGGCTAGAATGAAGCCTAGGAACGATACCAGGGTGCCGTAGAGTACGGTAAAGAGTTTTTACAGAAACGTTTGCTTGTGTTGTGCGACAAAATGCATTACCATGGAGGCATAATATCTATATATGGAGACCTCATATTATGTTTGGCATAGTGTGCTGTATTTTTCCGTCTTGGCTGTCACCAAAATTTATTGTCCAAATGCATGTTTGGCACCAATCTTCACGTGAGGTGATGCATTTTTGTCCCCGACCTCATCCACCGAATCGACAGGTTTGACCACCCCTGACGACGATATACGAAAAGCGACATGGAGACGGCAAAAGGTGATTTGACTTTGCCTTGCCCAACGTGCCATGTCGACCATACCAGAGAGGGTAAAAACTCCGCGTGGAAGTTTCAGCTTCGGTATGTAACTGCTGTCCCATCTTTATAATAAATTGCTTTATGTAGCGCACCATGCGTGGAATCAGCCATGGCAGACAAACCACCCGTCGCACATCGCGAAAGGCGGGGGAAAATGGCAAAGGTGAATACCTAATCCTTATCCGGTGCGGCCGATTGGAGGACGCCGATAATTCCCTGATTGCGACGCCCCATTGTGGCACTGTCCGTTCGAATCAATGTTGCATTTTCAGCATAAGTGAGAATGCTCACTGCAGGGGCGGGGGCAAAAAATGAAGTGCAAAGCTATGGAGGAACAATCGCCAAGGTGTCATAGCCAATCATAAATTTCGTTTCCAAGATGACTTGAGTGAGAAACGTACGTAGTACATTATTGTCGTAAGAATATGTGCCGTACAATTTATAGCATGTCATGATAGCTAAGAATTTGTATCTTCAAATTATCGTAAACTAGAGCAGAGTATTGCGAAAAAGGGCTCCAGTGGTGCTTTTCTTCTCTAGGTGGTCATAATGACACCGGATCTCTTGCACATGATCGAGGCAGAACCTCAAATGGGTCGCCTGTTCCTCCGAGACCGCACGATGTGCCTCCTTGTGGGCGTCACCGAGGACCAGATTTACGACAGGAACGTGGAAGGTAACCGCACGCCAGTATTCTAGACAATGCATGATGTTCGATCAAACAATTTAGTATGCTGTGGACCACATTACATAATCCCTGCAATTGCTGCAGCTGTGTGTTTCTGCCATCACTGAAATGAATACTATCTATAACAGCTCTCCCATACGCATGGAACACTCCTTTTTCGCTGAAAACATCGCACAGTGCACCGTGTTGAATGGGTGTGAATGAGGGTTTTCAGTAAGGCCCGAAGTTTTTTCTTCTTTGGCTGTTGATTAATTTGCATTAATTGCGTCAATCCTTCGCTATTAGGTAAATTTCTGATGCTACTGATGCTTCTGATGCTAGCTACTAATTGAAGCGGTGTATCTCAGGTCTGCAGTCGTTTCCAGCGTGGACAAAGCACACGGCAAGAAATGAAGATTGGGACTGTTTTTCACGCTTCATTTCCACTGCATATGCAAGTCTGAACGACATCCAGCAACATACAGAACAATGTATGAAGCAAAGGTTTTCGGTCGCCACAGGAAGAGACGATGAAGTGAGTACAATACAAATATCTAACAGCATGACCACTCGGCTCTCGGCTAGCTCAGCCGCTCGCAACTAACCCAGCTGCTCGATAACATATGAAATGTGAATGAAGCGGCTGCGACCACTCACGACTGGCGCACAATAGTTGACGATATTCTGCACGCGGGCGATCAGTGTCACATCACACGGTACGTACAGGCTCTTTAAGGTAAAGGCTATGGTGTAGCTTCCCATTCAGTTGGAGTTCTAGTCCCCCACTCCCAATCCAACTTTTAGAAAAGTGGGGTAAATTTGCGGAGAAACCCATTTTGGCGTATTTCGAGGCGAGATGCTACGCTAGATGTTAGACATTAGGTTCCACGCTGATCTCCGTTTCACTTTTCCGTTTTCCGTGTGTTCCGTTGTATCCGTTTAAATATTCGCCTAGTTCGCAGACAATCTATTCATTAGCGCTTCCATTTGTGTGTAGTTGTGCCGGTGTGCGCGGCGATAGCCTGCTGTCCATGTCCTGTACGGGCAGGCGTTTTGTCTGAGATAAATGCATCTGGACAGCTGGGTTGTCTCTTCCGCTGGCATCATGTGTCGTGTCGATAGGCGGCCTTTCACTACCGGCTATGTTTGATCAGCAGACGCCGGTATTCACTTTTGGTCCTCCGCGTGGGCCAGGTTTGACTGGCACCTGTTGTGAGTTATGGCCAGGCTCCAGCGTGATCAGCGCTGTCCTCTGTTGTGTGCTGCCGTCAGGGCGGTGTGGTGGTCTACATTCTGCTGAGTGAGCAGCTGCACGGCACGGACCAGGAGCTGACGGCCTGTCTGCACGGCGATCCCGCCCGCCTGCCCGTTACCCGGCTCAACATGGCCAGAATGAAGAACCCCTACACCGCTCACTTTGCCCTGACAGGTGATTCACTTCGGGCGGGATGATGGGCATGTTCTCCCCCCCCCCCCCCTCCCCCACAGCCAACCCGTCAATTTGACGAGGCGCGTGCCTTCTGAGACGTGCGTCGCTCGGAAATGCATAATAATTTATCGCTTAACGCCGAAAGCTGCGCTCCATGGAGAGAGCAGTAGTCCAGATCTTTCACTAGGTGTGTATGCTTATTTCTGATTCCCTGCTGCTTTATCAATCTGCACAAATCCTTCCAAAATTGTCCCTGTCTCCACCGGTTATCGATAATCATCATTAGTGCACCTACCAGTCTAATGAGCCCGTGGGCAGGTAGACCAGCCCTTCTGGCCCTGATTTGAACGCCCTTTTTGAAAAGTAATCAAGAGCTGAAAACCCGCTACCAAGGTAACGGAGTTACAAAGGGCCGCCCATATACAGCCTTACGCAAAACCAAACACCCTCTGTAGGTGTTGACTGTCGAGGATAAGGAAACACGAAGTCTAGCGAATGTGCAGGAGAGTGGCCTCACAAAGACCAAACAGCCATGGTCCCATGCCATCCACCTTCTTCTTTCCCCACCCTCTTTTCTTTATTGAATGAACCTACAGCACACCATCTCACCGCAAGCGTGCCGCAGCAGCGGAGACGTGGCCAAGGGCGGGGTGTAGGGGAAGGGTATGTGAGGATGGCGGGGGGAAGGAGGAATGCGCGCTAAGACAAGATATTTATTTTACAGGAATTCGGTGAAAATTTGCAGTGCGGAGAAACTTTGAAGTTGACCCCCGTCGCTCAATCGACCATTGGCTGCCCCGATGATATTGCATTACAGTTGTGTCCACCCCGTAGCTGGATCGGTAAGAGTTCGTGACTCCCATCCCAACCACGCAGTGGCAGGGTAGCTGGGCTTGTGCCGCTTTGTCGTTTGCTATATGTCCTTGGCTGTGACGGCCTGTGGCTGGTGTGTAAAGTGACGAGAAAACCAGAACTTTACATAGTTTTAAGCTGTTTAAATACACACATAGACCATTTTTAAGCTGACTGGGTTTACATTGGGACGGTTTAAAAATGACATCTTAATTCTGTCATACGGCTGAGTATGACACGTTTCCGTCTAAACTTTGCTGTACTTAAGTGGGGCTTTCGAGGCCTCTTCATTGGTTCATCGTCAGTTATGATAGTTCATTGGATGAATTCAGCGTTATGGGTAAAATAGATGTTTGAAGGCGAACAGGCCATTTAGCTGAATCTGAAAATTGTGATGAAATCTGACGAAACATGTCGCAAAATTATGTACGTGGAAGATAGATACCAGCAGTGCCCCAAATACACCCTCGTATATCTATGAGGACGAATGGAATGCCTATGTGATTCAAACTTGACCAGTGTAGGTGATGCTGAAATGTCAGTTGGCTACGCGTCAAATGCGCGCAAAAGCTGTTATACTACAGATTAACGGGAATGCTTCACAGTTGAAGTTATTAAAGCAAGCACCAGATATGACGAAACAAGCTCATTTATCACTGTTTGCATACTTTTGAAGTGGAAAAACTGCCTCTAGATCTAGAATTGTGTTGTCCTCTAGACAGTGCAATTCTCTGCTTCGTAATGCTCCTCAATGCGCGACGTTATCATGGCGCCAATACGCCATGATTACGCCGTCGTAACTTGAACAACATTGATTGAGAGCGAATGGACGGCCGCTACATCCGGAAATCATGATAACAAACGCCGAATATAAACGCCCCGGTAAGTATGTTTTTATTGGCCCTGACCACCGCGTGGCTTATTGAATGGCAGGATTTGAACGACGATCCATGACGTCACGAATGCCAAGGTGACCTTGAAATACTCTCCTCGGAAGGCTCTCCCCATTTTCGCTGGCACGCAGCTCAGAAACTAAAAGGTCTTAGGTCTTAAGAAGGGCAGGGTTGTAAACAGCGCCGAAAGGTCTTCAAGATGGCTGTTTCAGTTCAAAACCGCATATAAATGTAGGACACTCTTAAGTGTAAGCCGGGGAAGTTAAGAGAGTGCACAAATATGGAAAGCCCTCCGGTGGGCTCACATTATACCCTACCTCCCTAAAAACGTTGTCTTTGTAAATTCGTCTAACAGGCTCATCTTGAACTATGCTGTTTTCACATTTCGATGCCCTTTTCGACCAGTCTGATTAGAAACTCTCTGATGATGAAAAGCCGAGCACAACTGCAGAGCGTCTTTTAAACTTGGAGCAATACAAACATGACAACGTGCAGTATGAAAGGCGAAAAAGCATTTGCAAAAACTGTTATATAATATCAGGGACATGGCATGACAAAGAAAGATGGGCTTTTCACTCTGCCATTGTTAGACGGGGGCATAATTTAGTCCTGATTTCAAATGCACGAAAACTGGAATAAATGAGAACGAATTCAATCGCTTTTTTCAGGGCTTTCAAAGTAGCTCATAAATGCTACCCCTGAAGTGATGCAAAAGTTGCAGTTCATGTTTCCCAAATGCCCTCATTGCAGCGCTGCATTACTGAATATTAATCCACAAACGGTCCAGTGGGCCGGGGCAGGTCATGTGCCGCCCGGCCGGGTTCACCCGGCCGGGGTGTCCCTGGAGTGCCAGTGTTTGACAACTAGGCGCTAGTGAAGTGCGGCGCCGGTCTGGGGCAGTCCTTGTGGTGTCGGGACGTCTGGCTGAGCGCCAGCGTTTTGCAACGACGGCAGAAGTGAAGCAACAGCCGGCGTGAGTGTGCGCCTCATGATGTAAGCAGTGCTTTATGCCCTTTTATTTCAATTTCGAAAGAGTCCGCTTAGCTTCTGTTCGTCTTTTGGAGCATACCGTGGGCAACTTATTTGTCGACGCGAAAAATTCCGGTTAGATATGCCTGTGGTAAGCTATGATTATATGTAGATGTCAGAGAGCCAGACACTTATCGAGCCTGAGATTGGACATCAATTAACTACAAAATGACATTTGCTCCAACCCCTTTAATCTGTCGGCAAAACGGCCGCTGTCCGGGACTGCAGCGAACAAGATCGGTTTAATCCATGGCCAGTACTGTGGCCAAGCCGGACTTTACGGACATGGAGACGAGGCTTGGCTTGTTTGTAGGGCGAAAGAGATCAAGCTGAAAGATTCTAAAAGCGATAGGTCCTGCAAAAACCGTGCTCGCCGCTAAAAGCGTTTTCACTTTGTAGTGTCATACTTTACCATTAATGTCGTGTAATTAGTTTCACGAGTAAGCTTGTCTTTATAATGCAGTAATTCAGCAAAGTTTTGGTGTAAGCAATGGCCCAACAGTGAATACCATATGACAGCGATTTCATTGCGGTAGTGCTTTTTGCTCATGGTAGCCGTCTCGACCAATAATGCCAGCCGTTTTGATGCTGGTATTATTGGTCGGGACCGAAAACCATGAAATGCTGTAAGATCTATCAAAATCGATAAACGGAAGCAACCTCGCTCAGTCGCCGTGTGCTTATTCGTCGTTCACCTCTCCGTGCTCTGTGACTTCGTCCCATTGGACCAGCTTTGCAAACGTAAAATGGCGAGCAGATACATAATAACCAAACACTACTGCTTTCGAAAAGAGATTCATTCGCTACGTCGATAGACCTGGCAACAAACAATGCTTTCGTTTACTCTAGTTTCCGTGCATTCCAAAATTGGTACCAAATTAAGCCCCGGCCTAATAATGCTAGCGTGAACAGCGCCGCAGGATGCCATGTGGTACGCAATGAGCGTGATACTGGATGATGTGATCAGGTACCTGTACTAACAGTTCAGGGATATTTGTTATTGCTTCCCCGGACCAATGGTTCTTTATTTTGTACTTATGCACTGGAGGAAGGGAGGATGGGGGTGGGGTGGGGCTGAGAAGAAGATTGGCATGTGAGTACGAATCGGTAAACGTACATAAAGTGACGCCTCTTGCCTCCATCCTGCTTATAGGTTTAAACAACGTCCTTTCGTTACCGGCAATGTCCTTATTAAACCAATATTTTTACCGCATAGTGTGTTTAGCTGAACCGTAAATATATTGCAATTATCGATATCTAGTAACGAAGGTATCCAGTAATTAGCGACATGTGTTTATCAGAATCTCCGAATGCGCGGAATGCGTTTATTTGTCAGTACATTGTGCTGATTTACTTTCATCATAAACATTAAAGGCGATCGACATACGCTGCTGCACTTTTTGTGGTCATGTGAATGGTGACTGCACTCCTCACAGCATGCAGTCGTGGTGTGTTTCAGATGAAGAGTTCCGGGGGCTATCAGGTGTTGAAATTATGCACAAGGGGCAATCGTGGGGGATGCAGCCCGTCCATCGTCCGAGCGAACTGGAGGCGGACGCCAGCTTTTTGGACACTCTCACCTCACCGATAGAGTTCCTCTGTCAGGTATGTCATGCACAAATATTCCGCAGCGGGTGGACGGTAGCTGCTCATTTTGCCACTCAGCAAATTCTGCAGTAGGCTACAATTTCAGAAGCTAGGAATGTGCGGTGGATTTTAGAGCCCTCAGCCGCTCCATGCATAGTTGATTGTGGCTTGAAACTGTTTTTGTGAGGTGTCAATTTTGTGTCAATCATTCTTCTGTTTCCTCGTTGTGTCAATCATTTATAAAACCGTTATTCACCTATTTTCCAGCATTCGTTTTGTCCGTTCAAAGCAATAATCTGCTTCTACCAATTTATGCGCCAATGTATAGTTCATTCACTTGTATCGGCTCAGTTTGTATTGACCTTGCTGTAACAGATACTATTTTTCGCAAAAGGGCACAAAACAAACCCAAAACGAAGTACGAGGAAAGGAATGCATCATGTCCGGGGCGAATCTAGCCTTTTCGTTTGACGGAGGGGGGGGGAGGGGGCAAACAGAAGCTGAAACGAGCGGCTCTCAACCACCCTGGGAAAATTCTAAAGAACTTTACTGGGAGGCAAATCCAGCATGCGACTATGCGGAGATGGTTGTAATATTTTGCTAGACCCGTTGAGAGCCTGCTCTTCATGCGTGGAGTCTTTCGGAGAAAAGCAAATGTCCAGCTGCCGTTTATGCTATATTCCCTCCAGCTGCATACTTTTGTCTTTGTGCTTTCGACCCATCCACACCATTCAGATAACAGACAATACACCTTCCTAACGTTATTTGCGCGACTTAGCATCGCTTGCATCGGAAATATAAAATTACATGAACGGTAAGGTATATTTGGCAACTAAGGAGGTATTTGCATTCCCCCCACTCATATGTTCAAATATTGCTTGCGAACATTGACGCCTCTGCGACTGAAGACAGCCCCCTGCAATACGCCAGAACAGTATCGCGGAAAACTGCAACAAACTTCAAATGGTGCGGAAATGCATTGCTCAGATCAAAAGTGAACGAAATCAGACTAGTGTTTCGGAAGAATTCGGACGGGATGTCAGTTTCACGGAAAAAATAATTGCCCGGTATATCGTCCTTAGGAGAGAGATCGAGTTGTGATGTGTACACGGCTGAAAGCCAAACATTGTCCATCCGTTCTCAGGACTCACCAATGCCTGACGAAAGCCGGCGACTCAACAAACCGGCCGTTTTGTACGAACCCATACGTCAGACGTGGACGATAGTTCGAACAATTATGGCATCCGAAACCAAGAATGCTAGTTGCAGACACTATTTTCATCATTGTGCATCACCCATCCAAAAGTGTGCAAAATCGGCCAGTGCTAAGCGAAATTAATTTTCCGGTTTGCAAACATGCTGATAAAAAGTACAAAATGCGCTTTTTCCAACCTTGATATGGTTGTTTCTGCTCAGTTTTGGGAGGGGAAAAACATAAAAACATAGTTATGCCCGCATCGTTTTTTTTCAGGCAAGAGGTCAACGGTTTTTGCTCATTTTGCCCTTTCCCTGTAACTGCTCATGTTGGTCTATGCCCCGACACCGTTCTCACTCCTCGCACACCAGCGAAGGACGCAACATCACCGTGGCTGGTGAGGGCAAAGTCTTACAAAAATTGTGATCGAAGTTGTGTATTTCTATTGCTAAAAGCGGTGCGCTATGTAGTTCTGTCGGCGAGCAGAACGCTGCAACTGGCAACTGACAGCCTATGCCAATTTTTCAGCTGACGGTTACGCCGACAGGAAGCACCATTCTTCGGAAGCTGCGACTCACAATTCTTGCACGCTTTCAAACAGCTCTCAACACGCGCTCGGTGGTGGTAGCTGAGGGTATTTTTACCCCGTAAGATTTTCTAGAATGCCTTCCCAACGGTTCGGCGCGGCGGCGACAAGCCTCGTGAGCGTATAAAAAGTTAAATAGTCGATCAGTTGGTGTAACAATGCATGTGAATATAAACAGGCCACATATCTGCAAAAGATCAAAGTTAGGCCATGAATGCCAGCAAAGGAAGTTCGTAGGGACTTTTTAAAGCTAATGTGACAGCAGAGTGTTAGACAAAGTAATGCATCTCTGGGGCTGTTTTTAAGCACCTAAGAAATTTACTTTAAAATCGGAACTTGTTTCACTGATCTTGTTGTGATCAGATCACGTGCAGATCGAGACAGGACAACTCTTTCACCTGCAAACTTGCCTTCTTGGATAATTCTACCTCAGTTCTAAATATTTGACTTAAAAGGGCGTCAGCATATTTCTTCTTTTGAATCCATGCAGAGAAGGGAGGTCGTAGACATAAAACGACCCGGTCATCCCGGCCTAGGGTAGCTGTTAACGCCAATTTCACATTCGAATGTCAAAATGACAGGAAGGTTTTTGATTATTTTGATTTTATGAAGGTCAGATAGGGATATTGACCTGATATCATCCGAACGATATTTTTTAAAAGAAAGTATCTCAAGGTTAGGGCCGGGTTCGTGAGGAGGTCTGAGGGCACTTTGACGCTTATCTCGAGTTCGACGTTGTTTCATTTTATTCGACACGTAGCCCGAAGGTAAGGGCCTGGAGATCCTTAAATGTGGCACAAATGAGTTCGCACAGAGTCTTACCTACCCGGCTAATTTGGCATCTAGTCTCACGTTTTTATATCCCGGTGGGAGGGCGGGGGGGGGGGGCAAATGGACTCCTCCAAATATGAGCGCGTCGTATTCGACCGACCACCCAGGCGCGTGTTAAACAGGGCGAAGTTATTGAACGTTTTGGAGTGTTTTATTTAGCCCGTCCGATAAACCCGTTAAGCAGACAATTTTCATAATGCAAAAATTAGCTGGAGTGCTGCTCGAAGCCTGGTCAAGATCCGAACAACGTGCGGTTCGGTCGCAGCCACACGGCGTAATCACTATTTTCGTAACACGACGTTATCACTAATCACTAATTTATTTCTGATGCAAGCGCCCGCAAACTCTCGCCAACGGATAAAGCGGAAACTGACTGCCAAGGCTATGCGAAGGTGGCATCCAGAAACCACGCTAAAGTTGCTTGAGCTCAGAGTTCTTCGATCAATACGGACGCCAGATGTCGTTTGAAAACAGCTCATGGCCTTTTTACACACCTATCTCGATATCCTACAGGCCCTTGGCATCGAACCAGGCGCAAAAGATGAGCTTGACTGCATTTTAGAAGACACATTCAGAAAGAACTGTCCACCGGGGATCGAGCACCTATGCTTCACTACCAACTTAGCCAATATTGAGCAGGGTACGTATTCTTTCTGCTTTAGAGGCTCATCTCACCGAAAGTGCACGAGCGCTTCCCATGACATCGACTCATTTAGCCACTCAGCTTAGCAACGGAAGACGCATCAAAATGAAACTTCTTCTGCTTGAATATGCACTGCCTCCAAACAGGGCTCCTTCCGCTTGAACGCGCAATGCCTTAGATAAATACAATGCCCTCGTAGATTAGAGAGCGCAAGAGGCCTGGTCTAATATGTCGGCAGGTGATCACATGATGATGTGCGGGCTCGTGTGCCTGCGCGCGTGCACGCGCGCGTCATGAGGGTTACTATTTTTGACTTCGATGCGGACGCAGCGTGTGCTGGAGTGACGTCGGTGGGGCGCGCGGTCGTGCTGCAGCGGACGCTGTGTGTCCGACGCTGCTGCACCTGGCCGCGGCGCACGGGCTGGGGCAGCTCTGCAGCCGGCTGGTGGACGCTCCCGGCGGCGAGAACGCGCTGGCGCTGCCCAACAGGGACGACCAGCGGCCGGCCGACCTGGCCGCTGCCGCCGGACACCAGCTGCTGGCCGACCAGCTGCGTCGCGCCATGGTGAGATGAAGGCATACAGCCGACACGCAGCACCTGAAGAGGCGTGACGTCACATGGAGAACAGCAGGACATGACGAGATGACGTCACCGTAGATGATGGGCATAGTTAGGCGGCGTCAAGGTGGGCATAGCGGGATATGGCAAGATGACGCCACATTGGGCAAGGCGGGGCATAGGACGGTGACGTAACATTGGTTATGGTGGAACATGGTGCGCTGAGATCACAGCAAATATGACGGACACTGGTAAGATGGCGTCAAACTGGCTGTGACGATTGGCGGGCATAAAATTGTGACGTCACAATGAGTTTGATGAAATACGCGACGTGACTCCAGGCTGGTGGCAGGCATGGCAAGATGCAGTCACAATGGGTGTGCTGTGACTGCGTTACACGTGCTGGTGCGGGGTCATGGCAATGCGCTAAGTATTGCACAACTGAGCATGGTGGGGGAATTGTTTGGGGTACAAAAGGCAGCGCCGTGCAGCTACACTAGGACAGTGATGCCAACGAGTGTGTCCGACAGGGGTAGTGCTTACATATGACAAAATGACACACCTTTCTTGATGTGGTATCGCAGAGCTAAAGCGAAGCATTCAATATGAATGTGTGAAGCCATCTATCTGTAATTGTATGAGCTTGAAAGAATAACCAAATGCCCCGCTTTGTCATTTCATCTTATGAACACGTTTTTCGATCCATCGGCATTTGACGAAAGAGAATAATGACTGAGCTTCCTTGTTAAGGTGATCACATTGTCATAAATGCTTCACGTAGACTGGAGTGTGGTACAGTCAGTTAAAATGTGCCCAAATGTTCCAGGAGTTGTCCAACCTCTCCAGCATCATCCCAAAAGTCGAGGAGTGGTCACAGATGACCGAGGAAGACTTGCACAACAGCTTGACTGGTACTTATATATGCCGTGCGGGGCGATGGCGCGCCGGAAGAATGCGATAAATTGTGGCTAGTATCGAACATAACATTTATGCAGCAGGTTTGACATTTGATGGTCATTATTGATGACAACACTGCCCATTCGTGCCTAAAAGAAAAAACAGAAGGGAATTTTCGAACCAAAGGCTTGGGAACGATATAGCGGCCGTGCGTGCTCGCATCTTACGTAAGCGTAACCCTGTCTGTGCCTGCCTAAGGGAGGGTTTTGAACTGCTGCGAGACATGGAAGACTGCTATTCGGCTACCTCTGTGTGGGACAACCATGTGATGCCTGAGACGTGGCTGTTTGCACACCTCCATGTGAAGCCAACATGTGGGACGTGAGAGATGGCTGTTTGCACACCTACTTGTGGAACAAGCATGCGAGACTTGAAAGTGGTTGTTCGCACACCTCTGTGTGGAACAAGCATGTGGGACATGAGAGATAGCTGTGCGCACATATTGATGCTCAGTAAAATTCGCAAAGCTTCAGAGCCAAGCTCCAAAGCCCAAGGTTTGCCATGTATTATAAGAAGCACGGTGTGGGCAACATATGTCCTTCACAAAATAGGTGTCAGCAATGTGCACTTACTCCCGCAGCTCACGACTGATAGTGAACACCCCATTCCAGAATACCTGAAACCTGACAGCCCGGGTCTCGAAGGCCAGGCACGAGAGGCCCCGGACTCGCCCCAGTACGACATAGCTGTCGACGACAGGAGGGCGGCGTGGGATTTCTCCGGTGCAGTATTGATCCCTATGTCTAGAATGTGGCTGTTTCCTTCTGCCTCTCGACCCTGGCCCTGCCGTCTCTTTTGCTGTCTTGATGTCTGGCTCGCTGCAACACTTTTGCCATCCGATATATCATAACTGAGTCAGTCTTGAAATTGCGAAAATTTGAACGTAAATCTGGCCAGAAGCTGTCAAGCTTGACAACTTCCCACATTCCTCCTTGCAGACGACACAGCTCTCGAATTGGTTTGCTCTGCTCGGTGTAAAGCCTCAACCTCCGCCAGCTGCAAAAGTGGTGATCCTACGTCTGGTCGAAAATCGATAATTTTAAAGAATTTTACATTTGTATATCCCACAGACGGCTCAGTGCTTGACAGCTGGGACCAAGTGAGAGACCGTTGCGAAAAAGTCACCATCCGATGCGCCGTAGATAATTCCCTCGTGCAGTTGCGAAAATGGTGACCCTAGGCCTGGCCAGAATTCTTCAAGTTTCCTCATTAAAAACTCTTGCAGATAAGTCACATCTAAGAAACCTTCCAATCGCCGCAAAGCCTACACCATTTGATGCCCACACCAGTTGATCCTCTCCTGCTGTTGCGCAAACGATGAACGCAAGTGCGGTCAAAAGCTGCCAATTTTGACGAATTTCAAAACTTAGCCGCTTTAGAGTTACCATTTATGCAACCGCAGAGTGTGTAACTTATGGCCCGTCGAATGGTGAGAGCCGGCATGGGCCGGACTACATAACAACAACGCCTGGTCTTGAGAACCAATCACAGCAATCTGTTTGTGATAGGTTTTCCAATTTCCCGTCTTGTTTAGTAAAAGACTCCATGCCAATTGTTGTTCTGCCAGACACTTGTATACTACGAAAATTGTTCCATTTGCATAATTATGACGATGTCAAATAAAAATAGAACATTTTGAGCTGCCCTACATCGATACCTGTTTCATTTGCATGCTAACCTTGCACAATCAACTGCAAATAGTTTGTATGCGTGATTTTGGATCTAGTGACAGCTTGTTGCACTTGCCCTGAACCCACCATTAAGAATCATTCCGGATCATGAAATAATCTTATCTCTTATCCGTCTGCCAGACAAGACAGCGGAGGGTTTTACGTGGCGTGCGCTACCGTCAAAAGCGTGCCATGTGCCAGGTTGACTCTCCCTTGGAAGTTATCAGCTGGATGTTCCCATGTCAACAGAGCCAAATAGTGTGCCCTATCTGGGACTCGTACATAATACGAGTGACTTCGGGGCCTGGAATCCTTATCACAAGCGTCGATCTTCTTAACGGGACTTTTTGTGATTTTCTTCTTTACCGAGCACACCCTCTAAGTACACACTCAATGGAAGGAACCGAGATGCTCGGTTCAGAACGGCTCCTTACAATCGGAAACATTCTCCTGACAGAAAATAATGCCTTCGGTCCGAATTTGAAAGTTATCGATGCATGTGGCTGAAATTCACACAGTGGACATCAAGGAGTGTTGCCGCCACTGTGACGAAACCCGATCACTGCATTGCCCTGCTGAGTGGCTTGGAGTCCTGGTAAGTACATCCGGTCTCCTAAGTCTGCAACCACCAGCTCTTGGCTGTGCAAGTCAGCAATAACAGCTCCGGTACCATCCGCAGAGGGCGGCATCTTTGCGTCGTTTGACAGTCTGGCGAGCGGACCCTACCTGAGGATGCGGAAGAGAGGTCAGTGTCTGGCTTGACACTCCACCTCCTGATCCGAACAGCTGTGCCCACGACCGGCAGATCGCGGTTATCATGGTTATCGCAGTCATCGCGGTCGCAGTTCCGAATGTCAGCTTCAACTCGCTGTATGCCGAAAAGCCACAGTAAAAATCATTGCTGGGCTGTGCATGCAATTGCTGGGTGTGTGTTGGTGCGCACAACACGCCAACGTCGCTCCACTTGTCAAGGCTTCAGAGATCCACCCCCATAGCGCGCCGGTCGGACGCCAGCCGCGTTCCAAGGTTTGTGAGGCACCGGGGCCTGTGCTCGTCGCCAGCTAATCAATGTCGGCCATGTCCTGGCAGCAGATGCCAGAGCCCGAGGCCAGACCCAGTCTTCCGCGCAGTCCGACGGCGCCTGCCGGTCGCCGCCGGCGCAGTCCGACGGCGCCTGCCGGTCGCCGCCGGCGCAGTCCGACGGCGCCTGCCGGTCGCCGCCGGCACAGTCCAACGGCGCCTGCCGGTCGCCGCCGGCACAGTCCGACGGCGCCTGCCGGTCGCCGCCGGCACAGTCCGACGGCGCCTGCCGGTCGCCGCCGGCGCAGTCCGACGGCGCCTGCCGGTCGCCGCCGGCGCAGTCCGACGGCGCACTGAGCGACCAGTCGGCAATGCCAGCAGCTGACGACTGCAGCGGCGAGGCACGTCCTCCGCCAGGCGACGGACGCTTGCCACCCCTCAAGCTGCCGACCGATGTACTCCACGTCACCCCAGAGACAAAGACCGCGCTGCCGGAGGGGGCCTATAGACCTGCTGTCAGTAAGTGCTCTTCCTAGTGACTTTTGCTAATATAGGCATTAACCATAGTGGTTTCCAGGAAGGACTGACATTTATTGGATATTTAATCATTGCACGCGGGGGCGCTGACGGTATCTTAGAGAAGAGGGGGTGTGGCACAGGTTTGATAAAGATGGCCCTATTATGGTGAAAGGGCCAAATATGACCGTGTTTGGCCCACTAGATTTCGTCGGGCATGATGTTCTTCGCTTTGTTATTATGCATACCTTCCTTAACTGAACAGAAGGCATAAATTAGTACGTTTTGATACCAATCCAGGCGTATGTTTTGCCTTTGCAATTTCTAGATTGATGTTAGCAGGGATGAACATTTACGAAACCACGAAGCTGAAAAAGTAGCAGCAAACTATCTATTTGTCATGTTGCTGTAATAGTTAATCTGTTCAGAGGGTGGCCTCAAAATTAGCAAATGAAAGATACGGCCCAGTGAAATCTTTAAACGGTACGAAGTGATTGCAAAAGGTTTTACGAAGCATTGTTTTACAACAGTGGTTTTTCGATCCAACCTGTTGAACACTAAGGACCCTTCCCTTTTCCTGTCAATGGGCCCCGTGCGTAGAACGCTGGGGACACCTTATTTTTCCCGGTCAGGGGCTGAAGGGCCATTCCGTCCTAGTGCGCGGCGCGCTGTGTGCCTACTGGCTACCATCATAATAACACGGGCAAAGATAACTTGGTAATCAGGAGGCGGTTAGAGAGGTGCATCACACATTAGTCCCCTTCCTGACGCGGAAGGCCCTCTGATCCGTGACATTGGCCCCCAGGTCGACCCAGGGGCCTTCGTTGAAACAAAGCGGTCCATTATCGCCATAGGGGATCCAGTAATTGGCCAAGAGATTTCAGTTTGGCTTAGAAGGAGTGCGCCACATGATCACTGTGTGCAGTTCGCAGCCCTGACATGTTAGGACCTTTACCCTTCTAGTTGTTTAGCTATACGCCCGCGAATATGTGCAGACTATTGCCAAGGTCACTCGGGCATTTATGACGCGATAATAACTCCATTCAAATCCTGCCGTTCCATTGGCCATTCGGCGATCGAAGTAAACAAAGATATCATTGTCAAGTCGTATGTATCTGGCTTTGTGGGCACGATATCAAGAGACATCGGCTGTCAATGGGCTCTCAATTAATACTCTGCAAGGTACGATGACGCAATCAAACAATGACCTGTCGGGGAGCATATTTACTGAACAGAGAAATCCTGTTGTTTAGAGCAGCATTTGCCTCTAAAAAGTATACCAGTGGTTGTGCGTTACGTGCGTGCGTTAGTTGTGCGTTAGTTGTGCGTGCGTATACCAGCGCGTTTATTTCGTCATATCTGATGCTTGCTTTAATATCTTGAAATGTGGGGTATTCTCATTAATGAGTCCTTGGCTGAAATGGGATGCAGGGCCCCGCTCGGTATCAGGACCCTTGATTGGCACAGGCATCTTCCATTGCCTCACAGAAGAATATCATCTCATATCAAGTTCTCATATCTCATTCCGTTGTTGCATTGTTTCGCATTCCATTTCAATGTCACATGATCTCGATCAACGCGAGAGGTTCTGTGACCTTTGGAGTCCTGTCCCCGCCCCGGTTCAGCAAATGCTACCTGGCCGAGTCGGGGCCACTAGCCGGCACAGGAACGACTGGTCATCGCTGTGAGTCTCTGACCCACACATGGGTCTCTCATTGTTTCAGGGGCCCCTACCAATGCAAATCTCGGGCACCGGCTTGGGAAATGGCCCCCAGGGCTCAGATCAACACTGAGCCGACTGTTTGGTATTGGTGGTGCCCGGCCTACAAAGAGGCCCTCATGGACCTCGGGGAGCCTCGATCGGCGCAAAGGGCCCTCTACCAGGCATTTAAGGGCTCGGCCCTACGTGCCGAGGCCCGTTAATACGACATTCAGCCAGCGCTTCGGGCCTTCAAATCGGGTCATTCATCACCAGTTCTGAGGGGCCTTCACGGGGCGCGGACATAACCACGCTGCTCACACGTGATTATGTTTTCCTGGTCAACAGTTTGACATAAACGTAATTACTCAGGACGTGCACGTAATAGCTTTTTATAAATCGTGACTTGATTCCTTTAAAGGAAGCCGAAGAAGTTCTTTTGCCTTCATTAAAGGCAGATGACTATATTTATGAGCGTTGCATGTTTCCACCGTCATTACATGATCTCGGTCACGTAATGCGGCCGAGACATGATCTCGGTCACGGCTCGTCGCATCCAGCAGATGCGTGAAAAGGCGGTAGAAATGGTTATCTGCAAAGAAAGCATAAGGTGCTGTCTGGCAGTCTGCGCTGACCTGTTCTGAACTGAACTGAACTGAACTGAGCTGAACTGAACTGACCTGACCTGACCTGACCTGAACTGAACTTAACTCAAATGAACGAGCGGAACGGCTCTGAGCTGAACGGAGTGGTTTACTCGCTCCTTGGATCTCTACAAACTGCAATCGTGTCCGAGCATAGGTGGTCGCACCCAAAGACGGTCGGCTTTCTTGCTTGCCGATAACACGCCGTCGCTTTCACCGAACGCGCGATTACCGATATAAACATATGTCCATGGTGTACGCTCAGTGCCATTTTTGCATGTGTCGTACGGTCGTTGCGCACATCGTGCTTCGGGAAGGATGTCGCCTAGCCGGGCGCAGAGCCGCTCGGCTCGATCAGCGGAAGCACACAGCCGCGATCGCCCTGTCGCTTCCATCCTGTCGCGACCGCCCGCCCTGGTCACACCCGCGCGGGAGCACTGCCCTGCCGCGACCGCCTGCCCTTGTCACACCCGCGCGGGAGCACCGCCCTGCCGCGACCGCCCTGCCGCGACCGCCCGCCCTGGTCACACCCGCGCGGGGGGACTGCCCTGCCGCGACCGCCCTGCCGCGACCGCCCGCCCTGGTCACACCCGCGCGGGAGCACTGCCCTGCCGCGACCGCCCTGCCGCGACCGCCCTGTCGCGACCGCCCGCCCTGGTCACACCCGCGCGGGAGCACTCCAGAGCCCAGACTAGAAACTGACCTGTCACTTTACTGTCGCTCTGATTTTTGTGCATGTTTTTGCAACATTATCTAACGGATTAATACGATTAGATTCGCCACCATAAGTGTTATGTTTACAGTTTAACTCTTCAGTGAAACTGACAGAGAATCAGGACGCTCAGTGTGATAGGGGAGTGACGAATCTGTTTCTGGACGGAGTCGGGCCTCTTGGAGGTCAACGGGTAACCACGCTCACGGAACACTCGTGTCGCGGCCGGCGCACTTCCGTCAATAGTGGTGACAATACCTGAACCTTTGGAGCGGCTACAAATCTTGCAACACGGGTCGGACACCCTTGACTTAGCAACGCATGCGTACATTTTCAGATGAACGCGGCGAGAGGTGTGACGTACAGACCTTCGGCCAACAATTTAATTGGTAATGACCACAACACGCTAGCTCAGTTCGGCGGACTGTGGGAGTGGGGGAAGACATAGGCTCATAATCAAGCATCTTAATGCTAGGCTCTTCCAGGCAGGGCATTTCGATGTGCGCGTATCTACGACATATTAAAAAAGTCGGATGATTGGTACGCTGTTATCATGTCGCGCGTTACATTTCCACATTCCTTTACACCATTGGAAGATTATCGCTCATCATATGACACGAGCGTTGCCACCTAATTTGTCCGATATACCATGCTGTGTGCGTAGCAGTTCTCATCCTGGGCACAACCGTGATTAACATTCGATTGATCCCGGTCATGATGGTTTTTGACGAGATTTCTACTTGGTCGAACTTAGTCATAAGCTGACCAAACGCACCAAATCAATGCACAATTCACAGTATTTGTCACAGAGCCACCAATCCTGTATTGAGACCTGTTTTGCATCATCAAGGATTGGAGCGGACGATGGTAGGGGTGAGGAAACAGGTCTCTATCGGGCCTGCGCACTCAGCCGCTGTCAGGTTGATGACGTGACGTTGCGCAAATGTTTTGTGTTGCGTGCGCTGCGTGTTTATTGGCTGTCTGTGCGGTATGTATTACCAGACTGTATGCGTGGACGTCTCCGCCCAGCATATGCTTCGTTGACCGCCTATCTTTAGTTTGCAATGATGCAGTGCCGAAACGATGTCTGCTGCACTACCTGTTTGTATCACCCACTTATACTAATCGAAACAAAATGTCCCAGCAGAGTTCTCAAACCTCTCATAAATCAAACCTCGCATACATCTGGCGCTGGAACTTCAAGTGCAACTAACGCGATCTACGATACAGAGATCAGCAAGCGGTCAAAGCTTTGAAGAATATGGCGGTGGTGTGGTCCAAGCTCAGCCCATCGAAATGTGCGAGTTCAGAGCTCATTGCAGCGATACATGGGAGTCATTGACTGCTCTCGTCTTGCGAGGCCAGGGCACCTTGCGACGATGAAGGACACGTCATTCCGAATGGTGTCATCGACAGGACGACAGCTGTCACTGGAGACGGAGCTGCTGGAGTTACTGCACGACTTCAGGAACAACAAGTACACTCTGTCGGAAATAAACGCTATCGCCCTATCGTGGACCACCCGCAAAGACTTCAAGGAGGCTATCCGACAGGACAACGAGCGGAGGATCCGGGAACGCAACAAACACCAAAAGCAGGACTATTTGGGACTGTTCAGCAAACTCTTCAACATCATGACCCCATCCAAACGTGAGCACCTGGAAAGCTTGTAGGTGGAGTTATACGGTGTATAATGTGCGTTAACTGTAGGCTCAACGTCATGAGCCACCTTAGCCTGGACGTGAAATAATTACCATGGCACGCGTCTGTGTTTTAAATGTTGACCAATATAAGCGTGCTTTCGTGCTTGGTGGACGGAATTTTAAGGAAAAACGCCAACCCCTTCGCACACTTTTTCTGAACACCACTTTTGGGAAACTTTGTGAACCACTCTACTACAGGCGATCATGACTTGTTACCAATCAGCACATTTTCAAACAGAAGCCGTTCATCTTGCTACACTTGTTCAGAACGTGCCACCTGTGACGGGGACAGAAGCTCTGCGGTACAGTCAAGCACGCTATGTTTTACAGGTAAAACCAAACAGGGTTGCCCAACCTCAGCGGCATACCAGGAGCACAAGGTCAAGAAATGCTACAGGCAATACTGCCCGATGCCTAGAAAAGCAACCTTCCAGTCATACCATCAGCATCTTGCCAAGGTCAGTGAGCACGTCAATATGTGCGCTGATGGTATCTTCTAGAGACCAGAGATTAAGTAAACCGAAAACCGACGTGGAGAAATACGATTTTCGGTCGACCAGTGGTGATAATATTTTGGATCAGTAATTTCTGAATGTCATGATAAAAAGTTACCTAGCTTGGTTAAAATTACATGAATAAGTCAACAATAATGGGTAAGTGTAGTGCATCAAACTGGTTTTGTGGCTTAACTGCATACCGTATGTTTGATATGATATTGCTGAGCGTGTGTGCTTGAGTGTGTGTCCCTGAGCTGTGTTTCATGTGTGCCTTCGATGTATTGCTGTGTAATTATCGCTACGCGTGCCCTTCTTAACATGTCTCTCCTTTTTTCTTATCGACTTGACACTCAGAAAACCTGTTTTATGTTGGAGAGCGTTTAAACGTCGATACATACATGCATACATGCCTTGAAACAATTAGTCTATAGCTTTGTAGATAAAATGAAGAAGCCAGTCAATAAAATAACTGCTTCACATTTGTATGGGGTTTTAAATCGAGACAGCCATTTTTAAGATCATTCGGACCAGTTCCCAGCCCTGTCATTGTTAAAAGGAATGTTTCACATTTGAAGATATTGAAGCAAGCATCAGATATGATGAAATAAGCTCACTTATAACAACTGGTATACTTTTAAGTAGAAAGACTGCCCTAGATACCAGAAATTTCCTGCATAGTAAATAGTCTCCTTGATTACACAACATTGATAAGCCATTGACGGCCGTTTTATCTGGAAATCGTGCTCACGAGCGCCCCATATGTCCGACTCGACCGTTACCTTTTTCGCAGCCTTGGTAGTCACATGGCTTATGAAATGCAAGATTTAAATGATGTTATTACGATGCCATAAATGCCATGATGATTTTAAAATACTCTGCCAGAGAAACTCTCCCTATTGTCGCAGGCGTGTAGCTTAGAAACTAGGGGGTCTTAAGAAGGGCGGGCCTGTGAGATGCACTAAAAGGTCTTCAGTATGGCTAATTGGTTAAAACCCCATATAAATGTTACACACTGCCTTTAAGGCCTGAAACGCTCTAGTTTCTGAGTTGCACGCCAAAAAAGTGTGCAGACAGTTTCGTGCAGAACGCTTCAAGTTCATTTGGTCATGCATGACGCCATACAAACGTCATTCAAATGTTGCCATCCCATCAGCCATATGGTGTTCAAGGCCCAAAGAATAGAATCGACGAGTCGTTCATATCTGGCGTTCTGAAATACGATTTCAAAATATAACGGACATCATTAAGTTTCAACCAATGTTGTGCAGGTTGTGAAAGTTTTAATCCCGAATCGCGTTTTGTGCTACATAAGACAAGGTGTTGTACATTAGGGTGTGTCATCGAGGGGGTTAATCTCTTGGAATCAAGTGAGACAAAGTCTTTCCTTGGCACACGGATTTATGATGAAACTTAATGCCTGTCGCACGGCATCATTGCACCATTCGGGACGCGAGAGCAGTTTTTCCTTGATAGACAAAAAAACTGTATTAGATACTAGCGCCACCTATTTTGCGCACTGGGATCATCCTCCAACAAGCATCAAACTTGCCACTTTCCACACTACTTGTACCTGATGGATCAAGTAGGAAATAAATGTTATGAAGAACACCAGAAAAACATTGCCAAAAAACTTAAGCTGACTTTTTAAAGTACATTGATTTTTGGTAAAACCCAAAGTTGCGCAGTTATGAGCTGTTCTAGCCGACGGGGATAGGTTAGGGGATAGGGGATAGGTTAAATGTTTCGATTGTTAACGCATCATGTTGACGTTGATTTACAATTTATATGGTTGTTGTGAGGCGATATGGGTCTGTTAGTTTACTTTGTCCGTTAATGAAACATTACTTTCGAACAAATACTTGCATAAGCATGTCGAAGGCTACCCGGTCGCGCGCAAAGCATTTTGTGATCAGCCACCCGGCTCCGCTGTCCCACCACCAACTGCCGACTACGGGAAAGCCTTGAGCTGCATCAGGTGGCTGAGCGAATCGAAGAGGAATCTCACTAATACCATCTTCAAGACCGCGACGGTAGAGATCATGAAACTGTGGACCAACGAAGCGATCCCCGTTCATGAGCTAAAATATGTGGCAAAGTTGATCCAGATGGATTGCTATCATGCCAACGGAGCTATGAGCAAGAAATTAAAGAAAGAAAGAGAGCGACACAGCAACGCCGCCACTGCGAAATACAACATGCGTTTCGATGTCGCGAAATGCAAATGGTAGTCTCAGCGCAGCTTTCCATGCCCAATTGCCTGCACAATGTATCAAGAGGATGTTGCCTTGAAGGGCCAGTGCGGGCACCGGAAGCTTAACCTGGGGTCGTATGACCGGGATGCGACCGTGACTAGGGAGGCTCGCGAGGTGCCGGGGATGGCCACACAACTTTAGGGGCGTCGTGGATCGGCCGCCAGTGAGGCGATGTCTGCTGCTGAACCTGAATCGCCTTCCCCGCCGACTGCTGAGCCCGCGCCGCCTGCTGAACCAGCGCTGGCTGTTGGTGTTGAACTCGAGCTTGCGCCGAGACCAAGCGGTCTCGGCGTTGGCGAGTCAGCCGAGAGCAGGGATTCTTACGCGGTTCCGCACATGGTAGTTGGTGGCGACGACGCCGATTGCTCGCTCCGGTTGAGATCACTGCCACTGCAGATTGTAACATGAGCGACCTGACTAACGTCGCTCTGGCGGTTGACAACTACGGTGGCTCGAAGCGGGCCGTTGCTGCTATCATCAACGCCTTTCAACAACACAGCAGAGGCGGACTAGCTACTTGAAATTAAATACCGTAGATCGTAAGAAGATCTGCTACGCAAGAGACAGAGCAAGGAAGGAGACGGTTCGTTAAAATGCTGATGCAATCCACGAGTCAGGGTTGACCATCTTCTTCTCCGACGGCCGCGAAGGCGGGAGATACATGAGCCACACGGAGCTAGACGATTGCCGTCGAAAAACACGTGCTTGTCATCGCTGAGCTAGGCAACCGCTACGTGACTCATTTTACGTCCGAGTTCGGCCGCGCCTCGCACTTGCTCAATGAGTTACATTCCGTGAGCTCGTAGTGCGACGGTCACATCAATGTGCTCGGCTGCGATAGCACGGCCGTCCACACCAAGCGATAGGCGACGTGCTCCGGCTGCATGAACTGACTACCGAGTCACCCGTACACTGGTTCATCTGCCAGCTGCACAGTAACGAGCTGAGCCTCCTCCATCTGCTGCTGATCTTGGACGGCACGAACCCGGGATGTATTTTTTTCTGGACCTATCGGCAAGACCTGCGCTGGAGAGGTCTGGGAGAGGGACGATGTGGCATTCAAGCCTATGCCGGGGCACGTGCCAAACCTGCCGGTCGACCTGATTCAGCAGCTGAGCACTTACAGTTGCTGTACCTTTTGGCCTCGGACGTTCAAGACGGATCTGTCCGAAACGTGGCAGCCCAGCGGCGAATCGGACCATCGAACCATGTCAGGTGAATATGAAAACATATTATCCTAGAATTTATAGTAATAGGTGTTTAAATTTCATCAGTTATTAATTGATATTTCATGCACCCACTGTTGAGCATATATGTATTACCATACCTTGTGCCGTAGTATGTCATTTCATTTGCTCGTTGATTCATGCTTGCTAGTATATTTGTTGATATGCATTCCGTCACATGTAAGGACTCTGGATATGAGGATAATTACATACACTAAAGAGACGCAATAATGTTTGTATGATCTAATGATCAGTTTGTAACGAATTGCTCTAATATATTCGCTTTTGTTTTCAAATGGTTGAGCTGGTCGCTCGCATGCTCCTAGTTAACATCTCTACCGAGACGTCCAGCGACACTCCAAGAACCTCGTCCAGTGCGTGGTCGGCCACTGTGTGCCGGTATGGTCCGCCATCCGGCAGAACAGCAGCTGCGACTTTGGCTTACGCAACTTGTTCCCAAACATCGCGCTGCTCCGCGAGCTGCTGCAGCAAACATAGGCCATGGTGCAGCCAGTCCTCCAGCGTAACGGGTACTGGGTCCGTTCGGAACAGCTGCTGCTGGACATGGTATGGGATGGGAACCGCATGGTCCGCGAACAGGCAGTTCCGATCGTCGCGCCGCTCGTGGGCAGCAAACCGAGGGTCTTCTTCAGCCCAGAGTCTTCGCCATCCCAGCGATAAACTTCGATGCCGTGAGGTAAACCGAACTGATCCCCGGGCACGAACCAGTCACACATGCTCCACTGCGAGACCTCAGCGACTGCGAGCAGCGGAACAAAGCACAGGCTCCGCTGCTCATCTCATCCTATCTGGTTCACACTAGGAGTGCGACCAGCGCCGCACAGCCGAGGACGTCTGGGGCTGGAGCTGAGCTTCGGCAATATGTGGAGCCCAGCTGCGACGGTATTCCTGCTGCCGTGCGATCTCCAACAACGCGCATTTTGGGTTTCCAGTCTGTGAGGAGCTGCTGTTTGGGCCGGTGCATCGAATGCGCAGGCTCGGCAAGGAGCAAGATGTACATGGGGTCACCCTACTCCCTGCTCCACGCCCGTGGTATAGGCTGCAGAGCTTGCTATATGTATTAAGTTGTACACCAGACAATATATTCTGAGTCATATGCTACGCATGGTTTTGTTTGCATCATGTGAGTTGTCTTCGAGAAGCGAAAGTCTAAAGCAATAATAACCAATAACCTGGTACAACGTGCTCATACTCAACAGCACATAAAGTTTCCGCCATATGGCAATCAATCGGGCAATGTCTGATCCGCATATTTGACCTTAGACTGTGGCATTCTCGTATGACGGCTTAAGGAGCGCTCGGTTACATCGCTTCCATATTCAAATGTATTTTGTATCGCTTACTGCACACGGCTTGGTGTTACATACGGCGGCGGGCGCCGCCAAGCTCAGGATGACTGCAACGCCGGGCGTCGGTTTACGGCGATATTTCGATCGGCTCGCCCGTCACGAGTTTAAGTTTTTGGGAAAAGCTATTGCTATGCCGTGTACTTTTGAACTCCTGCGCCAAAGAATCGCTTTGCCTCGCTTGATTTGGTTTCTGATGACACACCCTATTGTACACCCTTGTATTATGATGCACACAACGCGGTAGTTATTACGGAAGTAAGGCTTGTAATGGAATAACTTGAAAATAATACACAATCACACGATATTTGGCGCACGGAACACCTCCAGCACCGCGTCAGTTTCCTCTCGGGAGATTTAAGTACTAAAGGTGAGTGCTAAGGTGACACTTTTGTACGGTCAGTTTGGCAGCACCTCAGCCTCATACAAACACCCCGCGATGTAATCAGGCATTGGCGTATTGATGGTCATATTTAGTGAATGTAAAAATGTCTCCTCTTCAGCAATATGCTTACAAGTGTACCATTCGCCATAACAGAGCTTATTTCACCATATCTGGTGCTTGCTTCTATATCTTCAAATGTAGAGCATTCCCTTTAAAGACTTGCGTTGAGCTACCCACTAGCGCTATCGCTTTTACAATAGTTCATGCAACCTTTCTGAACCACTGCAAGTCATGAACGTCACTGGAATGTTTTTTCTGGGTTCTGCGAGAATATTTTGGTTCGTGGATTGTAATCAAAAAAAGGAATCGAAACATATATCTGTGGTAAACCGATGTTTGCTCTAAGGCTTCCATTCATTTTTCCTAATCGATTTCACCTGGAGATGTTTATTTTTATTTTTTCCTATTTATTTCCGTTCCGTCCGGTTTATGTCGGTCACTTCCGCTGGCACCCGATATCGTCTGATCTACAAACAAGTAGATGGGATCGATCTACTTGATCCCGTCCAGTGAGGATCGGTCCAGTCGGGGCCCGTTTGGCCCGTCCGGTCTGTCCGGTCTGCCGGGTACCACCTAGGCCCGTATGGCCTCATAACTTTATGTCAGAAAAAGGCTTTCGGCTTTTGGTTTCTTCGGCATTATGAAGTGAAGTTCTTGTATGACATACCACCTTCAATGTGCCGGGAGGTATTGATTCGATTTCGTTGTAATACTAAATAACGTTTGCGTTGACGACGATCAGTATTTTGAGCTATGCTCATACTTGGAGACTTGAAAAAGAAAAGCCAGCTAAGTGCTGGTTATTTTTACGCGCGCACCTCAACAGCTAAAAGGACACAAGGTTCGTTCGTCCTCAGAACCCACCCCCGGAGCCAAGAGGCGTTCCACTCACGCCCAAGACGCTGGCCTCCGCCGACGCTGACGCCACGACCACCACTCTCCGCTTCGTCTCCGCTGCCTCAGCCACTGCCACTGCCACCGTCGTCGCCCACACCGCCGAAACCGCCCCGTCGCCGACTCACTCGGCCGACTTGGAGAGCATGGTCCTGAACACGCCCCCAATCCTGGTGCCGCCGCTGGTGTCAGGCAGGCCCGACTGGGGCTGGAAAAGGGACGGAGCTCCGGCCGCGCGGCGATCGCCGCCGCCGCTGCCGGTGCGGCGGCCTATCAAGCGGCCGTAAAGCCACGCGGACGCCGGGCCCGGGTGTTGTGACCTTCCTTGTGATAGGTGTGCCGTGGCGGATGACTTCGCGTTGGCGGGCTACGTAGCAGAGCACGTGGAATGCCGCAGATATTGGGCACGCATGTATGCCGACCTCGTGAACTGGAAAGGCACATCAACAACATCCCAGCAGTGTTCATTGGCAGTAACCAGCCGTAGTGTCTTCTCAACACCTCAAGCCGAATATTGACGACGGACTAGGCTGTTTCGTCTCTTCTCTAGGCTAGCCATATAAACACTAAGACGACCATGTAACGTTAAAGGGCCATGTTAACATGGAACGGCCATGTTATATGATAAACGTCCGCAAACATGCAATCAATGATCTTGATTTTTAGCAAGTGCTGCATAATATTTTGCCGACAATATTTGGACCATGATTCCTGTCCCACTCGGCTCCCGACATCAATATCAATGAAACCTCCGTCTACAGGCGACGGTGAGCTGTTTCAGTGTACTCAGTGTGCCCGTGACATTCATGAGACTGGGTTGTGACATGCGCAGTAGGCAATGATCAGGTCGTTGCAAACAATACACTGAGTGGCTGCAATATGCTGTATATTTTGACATGCGATGCGACATGAGTATCAAGTCATAAACTTGTCATTGATGTGCATATTTTTCCGGACAGCATCAATCCTCAGTGCGTTTAAGATTGGTTAAGCATCCTTGGTCACTTATTGACATGTTTTATGCAAGAAATGCTGAGAACTGGCGGGTTAGACTCTTCACGTGCAAGCCGTCCTTAACGCATGCGTAGACTTTCGGCTGTGTGTGCTGCACGTTTTGTGCGCTAATTGTTTTTTTTTTTACCCGCAGAAACGAGCTGTCGGTCTCCACCATACTTATTTTGTTGAATACAGCGCACGCTGTCGTATGAATTTGCACAAGCATGACACCAAGCTTCCGTCAGCACAGGTACGGACCCAGACTTGAAAGGCGGCAGCGGGCCTGTGTCGAACTGAGCCGAATACTGGTGCACAGTTGCTGTCCCATGTCATAGGAAGTACACACTCGGCGGCAGCGGGCCTGTGTCGAACTGAACCGAATACTGGTGCACAGTTGCTGTCCCATGTCATAGGAAGTACACACTCGGCGGCAGTGGGCCTGTGTCGAACTGAACCGAATACTGGTGCACAGTTGCTGTCCCATGTCATAGGAAGTGCACACTCGGCGGCAGCGGGCCTGTGTCGAACTGAACCGAATGCTGGTGCACAGTTGCCGTCCCATGTCATAGGAAGTACACACTCCACCGTGGCTTCATGCACAGTAAAGCAGCTTCACACCTAAGAAGTAAAAAAACGGACAATACTTGTACATTTCATGGAAATGTGGGGTGCTAATAGGCGAATAACTACATAAATCAAGGAATGGGCTTTTGAGACTTAAGTATATCACGTAACAGTCATACCCCAAGACCGGCTCTGCATTACGATCCAAGCAATTGCTGCATCTGGGGCAAGACTACGGAGTCTTGAACCGAAATTGGTGGGAAAGGATAATAAGGATAAAGAAGCTGAACGGATATCGATTAATCCGTACCCACATGCACTCATACGGGCTGCGCTGGCGGAGAGAGCGAATAGCGCACGCAGCGCTTCCAGCGGCCGGCACGCGAACTAAGCCGGCGGCTGGTCCTCGAGAGCCGCATCAAATAAACAGAGCACGTGGGTCAACGAATGTTTTGTAACACATTCTGTACGATTAACCTTATATTCAAAAATGTTTCAGTGCATCCAATCTTACTTGTGTGCGTCTAGTCCTTCAGCTATGAAGTTTCACGTCCCGTATTTGATGCGCCAAGAGATGACTTGGGTACACGGCAACGCTATAGTTCGGTGTGATGACAACGAAATTATTTGATGCATCATCCTGCGTTCTGTCCTCATTCTCGCCTTACCCTGCATCCTCGCGCGGCCCGTCTGTCTGGGGACACCTGCCTGTCAGCTGATTCAAACCCACTGAGTCATAAAGTGCGCGTGAAGGGTGCACTTGAATATTATTCGGTTGAACAATTATCAACAAGTATTGTGGATAGTGCCATAACTGTCGATCACACTATCCTCATGCAATCGAGACCTGCCCACTTGCCCGACATACGAGACCGCCAACAGTGTGCCGACCGTTGCTAGTGTCTGTAAGTGTCGAACGTATCCATGCAAACAGCGCCGACTTACTTGCAAATAAACGCGTACACTTGACCTCTCGACCAGGTCAGGAATGAGCTTAGGCGGAACGTCAGAGGCTTGTCAGGTAGCTGCGTCATACGTTGAACAGGGTTTTCCGAGCAGGGAATGGGCTTCCATTTGCCAATAAAGACCAAGCCCTTGACTTTTAGGAGATGTCACGGCCGAAACCCATTCCTTACCTGGCTAGAAAACGAAGTGAGTGCTGTTGGTTACAAGCAAGTCGTGGTTGCTTGCATGGCAATGCCTTACAACTTCGACGCGCTGTTAACAGTCTTGCATGTCGGGCCGGTGGAGGTCTCTCGCCGAAATGAGAATGGCGTGATGGACGCTGATGTTTTTTGACAACATAACTTGTCAATAACTGCACAATCGGCTAATATCCAAGTACCCCATTGCTGCGCGCTACATGTCTCCTAAGGCCGATCCAATTGGCCCAGTTCAAGAGCCAAGGGCCGACTGATCGTATTATAGCTTGTAGGGCTCCTTGACAGACGCGTATGACGCACTTCCATGGGCCGTGGCAGGCTGCTACCTCAACGAGCGGAGCCTGGGCCCATAAGTCTGCGAAGAACTGGGCCCGGCTGCGTCATACATACTTTGCCAATGGACAAACGCGGCCCGGGCCGGCTCGACCTTGAGTGCCCTGAGGCCAGGAGGGGCCGGGATGAGGCCGGTCAGTTTGGCAGGGCGGCCCGAGCGCGGCACCGGCCGGACAGATGTGGCGTTTTGGCACGTGGACCCGGGACAAGGTGATCTGTGACGGTGAGTACTGGATCTGCGACTCAGCGAGGGCGTTGCTTTTTGATAATTAAAAAAGAACAATGTGCAATGGAGGAAGTGTTTGGATGTGTTTTGATAAAATGTTCTTAATTGGCAATTTTCGGTTCGCTGTTTTGCGAATGTGGCAACATATGTACTGTACTGTACTGTAAAAAGCCTGCTTATGTACTCGATAACTTAGTTTGACCATTGAACCGTGCGGTCGTAGTTGACTTAAATATTTAAGGAAGAAATTCGCAGGGACCATTACTTTCGATGTTTGTACGATCTGTACACTCTTGGTTCAGCCTACCATGCTGCATTTTCCCAGAATATTGAATGACAATTACGACACAACGATATTTGCATACGCAAAACATCCACTAACCGGACGCCACCGTGGCTAAGCCACGCGCAATGCGCAGACAGCGTAGTATTTTTCTTTCACTGAGCACCTCAGTAAGAAATGGCGTCACTATCCTAATTAAGTCGGTAGTTTTCCTGGATTTCACCAAACCTTACCTTACCGAACCAACATATCATTTTCCTCGCTCCCACGACGGCTTCGCCCCACGCTCAGCTGACGCGTCGACCGCTCAGCTGACTCGTCTACCAATCATCGATCAGCGCCATCTTTTGACGCTGTGGCGCGCTGATCCGCCGCTAGCATGACTTTCATTTCCAACATTTTTCCCGACATCATCTCTTTCCCAGTTCCTTCACACAGTCTCGTGGCATTTCATTTTCTTTTCGCCGGCGTAAGATGACGCTTTTTGGCGACATACGCGCCATGTACAGCAGCGTCGGAGTGACACCAGCCCGTCTTGCGTTTCCTCGTGCGAGGAGCTGACCAGACTGCGAAGCTCATGGTCAATCAAATGCTGGTGCCTGTGTTTGGTGCCTCATAATCCGCTTGTTCCGTAGACTTCGCATGAAGCAAATGTCCCGGGGACGAGAAGTTCAGTTATCGGTTCCTGTCCTCCAGAAATGCTGTTCGTAGCCGCCTTTACATCGACGATTACTTGGAATCGGATGACGGCGTTCGAGGGGTCGAGGAGCTGCACCAGTCGCTGTGCACGCTGCTCACAGGTCTCGATCTCACGAAGTGGGTGTCTCCGCATAAAGACCTCGGGCGTCATCCACAGGCAATCTTGGTTGTGGTGACTCGCCCGTTACGACAGATTTGGGCGTACTTTGGGACAAAGAATGCAGTTTATTTTGCTTTAATATGAAACTCTAAATAAGCCAGCCGCACAAGCCGGTATGTTCAGCCGGACTTTTTTGGAATTCGATAATCTTAACCTGATCACATATTTCTACGTTCCCTCGGAATGCATGCTGCGGAGTATGTGGCACTACTCATCCTTAAGGAGATTGTTGAAGGTGACAGCATAGATCCCAGATTTCATCCAGAGTGCGCGCTCAAGGCTACGAGAGTAGATTGGCTGCCATCCTCTCATTGTGGCTGTAGTAGCTACTGCGATATTAGCAGCATTGCTTGCGGTAGATTGGCTGGAGCGCTCGCCGCTCACACAAAAGCGGCCGCCGTGTCACAGGAATATATCGCGCGAGAAGCCGGGCCTGCCGCCAGTGCGCACTTCGGAGTTGTGGAGGAATCTTTTACGAGAAGTCCGTGAAGAGAGTGCTCTAGACAATGTTACCTGACGGCATCAGCGCCGAGACTGTACTTACCGCGATGTCTGAGGCCGAGTGTACGCTGAAAGGTGGACCTCTGGGACACGTGAGACACCACTGATTTAGAGGCTCTAACAACTGCTATCTGCTCACTGAACACGTGCGCAAAAACCTGCTCTGAGTATCCCCACAAACTGATACTTCTGTTGGGAAACGACAAAGCAGATAAAAGCATTACATTCAGAATTGTGAGCTAGGGATTTATCGAATTTTTTTTCCGTTACAGCGGCCATATCAAATAGAAATTCCGAGGCTCTCAGGAACGGCGCTGCCGGTTAACACGCTCAATTTAACCTGAGTGGAAGGAAAAAGGTGGTTGACTGTAGCAACCAGTCCGTTCAGCCCGGGATTTCATAACACCTTCTAGTAAACCGTGAAGTAGGATCTTACCAGCTTCATGATAATCGCTGAGACTCTTGCTGGAGCCATCAGAAGCGAAGCCGTTGAGAACATTTTGTATCTTGCCGTTGTAAAAGTGGTTCTGTGTTAGGAAAAAAGAACGATTTCGTCCGTGGTTTTTACGGGACCAGCCCTGCACGTTGGGTCAGAACTGGTAAATATGCCAATAAGCTTAAATTAAGCGAAATAGGCATCTGAGAAGTACAATACGGTCCGGTCGCTGTCGTTATCTCCTTCAGTACACGCTCCGCACATTTAATGTTTTTTTAGAATTTGAAGTTTTTGCGATAGATTCACAAGATTTCGCTCCAGTAAAACCTTTACCATGAACTATTGGCAGGAAATGAGGTTCAACGGGAGTAGACATTTAGACAAGACAGTGCGGTGTGTTCAGAGTGTGTGTGACAGTGCGGTGTTTACAGTGTTTAGTACAGTTTAGTACAGTGTTCAGACAGTGCGGTACAAAGTTCGGGCATGAAGATATCTATGATGGGAGAAGTGAAATATATATTTTTTTATTGATGTTCTTGTATTATCAAAATAAAGGCTCCAAGAGTGTACTTACTTCCTTTGCCATTATTGAACACACGGCACAAACGTATAATACTATTCCATACGGACGAACTCCGGACAGTCACGTCCGAAAGTGGTCCGCTAACACAATGGGCTGACTACCACCAAGACATTACATCGCTAGGGATGAAAATGCCCTTCTGCTTCAAAATCTTCCACTGCAGTACGTCTTTGTGAAGTCATTTTAACAGCTTCCAAGAGTGGCAATGGGAGCGGCGATTACAGCTGGATCCAGCAATCCGGCAATGCCATTTCTCTATCAGTACACTTTCCTCTTCCTGTCAGTTAACTTTCCACCTCCTGTCAGCATACTTTCCACTTCCTGACAGTAAGCTCTCTACTTCTGTCCCACAGTCACCTTCTGTAACACCTCAGAGCTCCACCTTCAGTTCCCTAAGATCAAAATATTATTTTATTTTCTTCACCACCGCGATTAGAATGAAATTTGATTCGGGTTTTGCTAAGAAGCTCCTCTAAACATGTGCCATCTTAACCGACGCGCACATGTGCCCTGCTCAACGTGTCAGAAGAACGTGCGAACTCTGTAGAAGCAGGCTTTTCCTGCAGACCGGAAGTAAGCACCTTTTGGCCATCAATAAAAGTGAGACCAGCTTGTCTAACGAAAGTTTGATCATATTTAGATGCAGTGTGATTAAACATATATCATGTGTTTGATGCATGCATTCGCCCTTCAATCATACTGACTTATTTCAATAAGTGGCATTTGGTGGCTAGATCGTCTTGTTTTAATAAGAGACTTCCCTGCTCACTGGAAAATGCTCATGCCGTTGGCGAAAAGCTTAACGAGCAAGGACACAAACAAGCGCAAGATGCATGGCTCTATGCGTTGTGATCACATGATGTATCCAGGAAATAGCGATACTGGTAGGTGCCGATTATGAAGCTTGTGGTGTTATTAGGTGGATATTACGCCCGCAAATGCGGCATGTGAGACCAGAAACCGGGATAGTGTTTCCCTGCTACGCTGATGTAACACTGATACCGCATATGCATTGGAGCATTATACACAAAGCTTGGCTGTGTCCCAAAATTGCTTTCACGGATTGTGTTCGGTGTTTTCATTTCTACTAACCTAACCTAACCGAGTATCATTTTTGCCAAGGGCATGTAAGCCATGCTGCTTGTTGACATGCGTGCCCTTTGGCCTATCCAGCCCGGGCAAGCCGCCGATTGCAGCTGGGACATCCTGTTTGCACCGGCCCGCTGCCGCCGCCGCCGCCACCTCCCGAGTCCGATGGAGACCGACGGCGTGTTCTGGGGGGTGTCGCGACCAACGGCGCACCGTCCGGGCCTGGCCGACTGGCAGGTGGTGGCCCAGTCGGCCCGGAGCCTGGCTCGGGTACTGCTCGCTGACCGGCCACCGGCTGCACCTCCGGACGGCCCGCTCCCAGTCCGGCACCGCAGTCCGGCCGACGGCGACCGGCCCGACGACTGCCTCGTCATCGGCCAGAGCCCGTGCCTGGCGACCAACAGGTAACGACACTGTGGGCAGACCGGGCGCACCCTGACGAGGGTGGCGAGCTGTGGGCGGACCGGTCTCGCCCTGACGAGGGCGGCGAGCTGTGGGAGGACCGGGTCTCGCCCTGACGAGGGTGGCTAGAAACCGTGCGGCTCATGTGCTCTCGAATGCCGGAATTGTAATGCTGTTGCTCCACGTTGTGTGTTCGTTCTGCTGCGTCCGAATGATGTAGCTCTCGTTTGGACAGATTTCTATATGTTGTAGCGTTCAGGACGTCATCAGCTGTCTGATATATTCATCCGAATAGTACCCAGTCACTGTGCCACCATTTGCGGCTGATTACGCCGTCATTCGAGACCAAACTGTGCACCACCGTCCACCTGCTGACTGTGCCACCGTCCGCCTGTTGACTGTGCCACCATCCGCCTGCTGATTGTGCCGCCGTCCGCCTGCTGACTGTGCCGCTGCCTGCCTGCTGACTGTGCCGCCACCTGCCTGCTGACTGTGCCGCCGCCTGCCTGCTGACTGTGCCGCCGCCTGTCGGCAGGATGGACCTGGCCGAGTACGAGCCGGTGCGGCAGGGTGCAGTGAGTACCGCGCCATCCAATCCCCAGTCCTCCGCCGACCGGCCACTCGGCGTCGACCTGGGCAACGCTGACGTGCACGCCATCGACGCATTCCGCCCGTCCACCGGCCTGCTCGACCCGTGCCAGCTGGCGTTCGAGATGCTGGACCGCGAGCTGTTCGAGATGATAGCGTTCAAGACCAACGCGCACGCCCGTCGCCGCCGCGACACGGAGCCCTTGCTGCACGACTGGGAGGACACTGACACGGGCGAGCTGCTGCGCTTCTTCTTCGCGCATCTCGTCCTGATGAGCGTGCGGAACACGGCAGTGGCCATCGACGACGCGCTGGTGTTCCACCACCCGCTGATGGCGCGGCTGGTGTCGGCGCGCCGCTTCCTGCAGCTCAGCTGGGCGTGGCGGCTCAAGGACGACGACCAGACGCCGGACCAGTTCGTCGACTTCGCCTGCACGCTGTTCAGCGACCGGTATCAGCGGCTGCTGATGCGGACGCCGCGCGTTATGAGCCTCCAGACGTTCCAGCTCTACTACCATTGTGATCAGCAGTGCGCGCCCAACGCGTCGAGCCGGGTGTCGGAGCTCAAGACTGGCCGCTACGTTGTGCGTGTGGTTTTCCACAAGCGGCCCGAGGACACGGTGCGCAGCGGCAACTGGAACACAATGAGCACAGAGCTGCTGGAGAAGCTGTTGAACGGTGTGCCGTTGACCGGCGGTTACTTTACGGCCGCCGGCGGGGCCACCGTTGACATCGCTAAATTTTTCCATGTAAGTCACCACCAGCCTGTCTTGCTATGTCCGGTGGCAGCTGCTTCCATGTGCGTCATGTGATTGGCACAGCGAACGCTGGAGGGCAGATAGAGTGTGGTAAACGGTGTAGTGAGTAAGCGTTGACAACAGTCTCGCTATCCCTTTCGAAGAGATGAAGGTCAGAATAGCAGACTGATAACCTGCGCCCTCTCGTCGACAGCAGCGGGGTGCCTTCTTCGTCGGCTCCGTGGGTGCGCAGACGTACAGGCTGTTGCATCCGGAGGGCGACGGCATACCGGCGCCGGAGCCGCCCAGCACGGCCCTCTACGTGGAGCCGTGGCCCGGCATTCGGGAGGTGGTTCTGTTGCGGGAGTACTCGCGCAACCCCAACTGCCGCAGCTTCATCGGATTCCCAATCACACACCTGCAGCAGACGGTAGGTTTCGGTCAACAGCCGATGAGTCGAGACTTATGTGCCTGCTTGCCACTAGAATAGGGCTCAGCTTACAGAACAGAAATCGTGGGCATGATTTCAAGTGGAAAAGTGCTTGCGCTTCCATGCAAGAGCCACGAGCTTGCATCAGAACAAACTCAGACTGCATGAGACTAGCAGACTCCACCAGTCTTTTCCGTGATTGCGTGTCCAACTATTTCAGCACCTGATCTGCAACATCGGTGCCGGTGCAACGGTAGCCAGGAGTACAATGGAACCAGTGGAAAAGCCTCAACAACAACGCATGCCACAGAACCTTCGCCACCTACACAGCCTGGCGCTGGCAGACCTCATTCATGTGCGCAACAACAACGTCACGGGCCGTATGCTCCTACGCGGAGGCTGCATGCTCTGGCACCAGCGCGTGCTGCTCCACCTGCTCTTCACCGGCTTCATGAACGGTTGGCAAGCGCACGCGGTCGCCACGGGCCTGCAGCTCTTCCGGATGGAGGCGGCCGACGACATTGTGCACCACCTCACAGGCTTTATGCTCCAGTACGCTCTGGAGTGCGATAAGCCCTCGGTGCGTCGCACGCAGCCCAGAGCAGCGGCCGACAGCGATACCGACGAAGAAGAGGAGCAAGCACCGGGCACACACACCGAGGCACGGAGCACGGCACGGCCGGGTGGTGCACGAATCTTGTCGCTGGCCGTCGGGTCAGACCCACCTGTGTCGGCCACCGCTCAGTGGACGCCCACCGCCAGCACCTTCTGGGCGGGCGTACGCATGATGCCGCCCAGCCAGTATGATATGCCGACGTGCACCCACAGGAGGCACCTGATCGGCCGACGGCACACGGTCTGACGCGCTCAGTTGCGGTCCCAGCCGTGCGACGCGTGTACAGTGTGCATCGCCACCTGGGTTGCGCGGCGTGCGGCGGCCGCAGCCGGGACAGGATCTGGTCTGGTCGCCAACACCGGCGCCTGTGTGGCCGGCATGTGAGACGCGATCGATCACGACACGATCGCTCAGACAGAAACGCCACACAGACGGACCACTCTTCAGGGACTGGGCACGCTCCTTCATCAGGGCCAGCTGCGGCTCAGGGACTGGACACGCTCCTTCATCAGGGCCAGCCGCGGCTCAGGGACTGGACACGCTCCCTCATCAGGACCACCTACGGCTCAGGGATTGGACAGGCTTCCTTACCAGTTCCGCGGAGCGTGCGGCCCGTGGACTGAAGGCCACAATTCCTGTGTTGCAATTACAGCTGTCTACTCTCGGTACCCCCGACGGTGCGACAGTATTTGATCCATGTGACGTCCGTCATCATTGATGTTTGAACGTAACTGACCGCCAATTTTAATTACCGGATGGGGCTACCGATGTCTGTATTTCAGGTCTTTTGCCCCCTTTTCTTGCCCATTTGTTGGTACACTTCCAACGCGGTCATTTTAAACTGGTCCCTTGAAGGCCACCGGTGAAACGGACCTGCATGTGCTCAATAACCTTAGCATGCCTTTCAATCGGCTCAGTCATTCGCAAGTCTTGCTTCTCTTATGCGGCACTCTGTGTGAAATGAGTACGCTTGCACGCGAGTACACTCGCCAGCATGCCTCAATTTTTGGCCATGTATGCTACCAATGGAAGGGTCGATGAGAGCCAGCATGAGATTCATGTATGAAAATAAGGAGCGTGAATGAAGGATGTTTCCCAATGATTCTCCAGAATGCCTATGTCCGGCTTCATTATAAGGGAACAGAAAATGCCGGGCTTACTTCGTTTTTTTCTTGCCTTCAAAGAGCTGTGGCAGTGTCAAATCTCCCAGTGGCGACCGGAGAGTGTAACATATGTTACGCAAATCTACCTGACGGCCGTTAACATATGTGAAGTGGTGCCATATGTTGAGATCTCACCTAAGTCGAGTTAGTCTGAAGCCGTCTGGCCGTGCTGGGGGTGGAGTTTCGCCACGTACTGGTCTGCTGCCCGCCATCAGGCCGTCTCCACAGCGCAGCAGCAGCTGCTGACACCGGCGACTACACCAGGCGCTGGTAGGCTGGCCTCTCACGGGCCTCAGCGGCAAGCCGTTTGTATGACGGCAGTGTACTTGGACGTGACCACGAACGGGCCGTGTTGCGACCGAGGAACGCGAAACCCGCTGGATCAGTACGATTCGTTCAGTACTGCGCGGTCTTACTAGCCGAGTCAGTCCACCAGATTGAATGGGGGTCGAAGTAACAAATATCAACCGTGCGGATCTATGTAGATCAAAGCTTGATTTTCATTTGATGGTCTGTCGATTGGTTTGTAAAAAAGTTTAAGAACCATGCTCTATGTCGGCGCCTGTCAACAACACATTTTAACTGATGTCAGATTAATAATCCGTATCATCCTTTGTCGTAGGAATACACGCATTCCACTTCCAATTGAGCAGGCAAGTATGCCGGATGCGACCGGCATGCCTGTAGCTACACAAATGATCTTATAGCTGTACTTAACGTGAGTTGCCTGGGGGATCTTGCGTAGCTAGTCAGCGGTGATGAAAACGGGTACGGCTTTGCACGTGCGTGGCGTCGGTCATCAGGCTGTGCAAATATTAAGGGAAGCTTAAACCGAAGACAATCCGATGCGAAACATCCTGTGGATCACATGGCTGGATATCTTTTCGATATATTTATCATTGAGAGGGCAAAATTCGATCTTCGCTGCGGCTTGCTACATGAGCTACAAAGCATGTGCCCTCTCGCATTGAGCAGAAATCAACAATAGTATTTCACTTCTTCATGACAAGAAAATTTCAATGACAAAGGCCTTGCCAACCGGCATCGAATTTTGCTGTTCTGTTCAGATGGTGCAGTCACTAGGTAGTGGGTGTATTACATTTTCAATCATATGCATCATTCAGGCTAACATCGTACAACCTGACGAAGGCAAAATTTGAGGATAGATTTCAAAATTAAGCCTAGTGTGAGCTCGTATCATCGGGGCTCGCCAAAGCAGGTAGAGCAATATAAATGCAATTAAGAGAGGCCTACTTTCAGTAGAAAGAAACTGTCTAGAAAACCTCCAAGGTCTATTTTCTGTACGGCACAGACGTCTTGTTTGCCACGTTTGAGATTGCTGCGACTGACTACGTCAAGACAGACATCACGGATCGTGAACCGTCAAAGTCACAAACTTCAAATGTGGACACGCAAAAGTGAAAAACACGCTACTCAACATTTCCGCACCCTACTCAGAACCGTTCAGAAGCTCTTCAGATAAATCTTGGGGGGAGGGCTTCTGAAGGTCCTCTTGTAAACCAGGATTACGGGCTCTCAAGGGCCCGTTCCTAGAACTGGATGTTCAGGCATGCGTTGCTGGACAGTATATGGTATTCATTGGTAATACGCCACCAAATAATCGATATTTTCTTTTGTTGAAAAGGTACACGTAGTTGTATGTCTGCCTGCATGCGTCAGTGTGCTTTTTGCACAAGGCTCTGACGTGGGCAACATGCACAACAACTTTTCCCCGGAGGATTATTAGCCACTAGCCGGCGTGCTAGGTAAGCACGAAGATAACGATACTGGAATGCCGAGTTTTTGTGAAATTACGGAAGCTTCCAAGGCCAGACAGTGTGCTGAAAGTAGAAGCATCAGCGTAAGACGACCCAAGAAGTCCCAGTACGCTGCTTTGTTTAGACAGCCAACCGTGGACGTGACTTTTGCAATCGGTTCGGAAGGGCGAGGAGGGGGCTGAGCTGATGCGATTAACGTAGCCCGCCCCCAAACCTGATGGCCTGATTTCTGCCGGGTTTTTCGGACACTTGAGTTTGCGTCAGCGACGTTTAAATTAAACAATATGCACATTTGTCGATTCCAAAATTGCCTTGCAACCGAAGAATAACTCCATTTCAGGGCCATATGAGGCTGTATTTTCAGGAAAGGCCTAGAAGGGAGTGTAATACCAAGAAAAAAGATGCATTTGTTATTCAAGTCCTTGTGATCAGCGAAAGTGGGTGCCGTTCATGGTTAATCAAAAGGAGTGAGTTACGTGAGTGTGTTACAGTGAGTCAGTTACAGGAGAGTGAGTTACGAACGCCAGATGTGAACAAATTGACAATTATATTTTGTTTTGCCTTGATCACCGCAAGGCCTATGAAATGCAAATATTTGAATGACGTTATAATGGCGTAATGACGCCTGGGGGACCTTGAAATAGTCTCCCCAAACCGGCCACTTCTTCGCGGGCGTGCCATCTTCTGTAGGATCTTTAAGATGGCTGTTCTCGCTCAAAACCCCATACAAATAAGGAACACTCCGTGAAAAACACCGTCACAAACGCTTTGGCACATGCTGGAAAAAGTGGCGCAGGTACGGTGGCGGGAGGGAAGGGGGGGGGGGTTAGTGGCACGTTTCCCTTTAAGGCCCCGAGGGGTCCTTTGGACTCGTGGAGATGAGTGATTGGGGGAGCAAATGGCCTGAGGGGCTGTCCGGAGGCCACATTAGTGGCCCCGGTCGTGCAGTCAGGGCCAGGAAATACCACTCAGAATGCCTCTGGAGCCGATTGGCCCCCCTGAGTTCATGGGGACTCTATATCGGCCAGGCAGCACCAGAACCAAACAGTTGGCTCCGCGTCGATCTCGGTCTGAGAGGCCATTTCTCGAGCAAGGACAAGGCTGCGGCCGTGTTTTACATTGGTAGGGCCCCTGAGTCAATGAGGGCCCAGTGTTTGCCAGGCGTCCCAGTGCCTAGCAAAGAGTCCTGTATTGTCGAGGGGCCCGAGTCGGCCTGGGGCAATGCTGGTGGGGCTCGCAGAGGGGCCCAATAGGCCATTCGATATGATTTTCATTAACCGATTCTGGCAGAAGGCCGACTGTTACCAAAAGAGATGGGTTGGTCATGTTAACACGGGTTGCTGACCCCACTTTGATCTACAGTCAACGCTCACGGGATCCCTAATGTATCTGTTGAGCGCAGAAACCATATGAGAAAACCTTTGAGTTCTATTGGCTTAGAGAGTGTTCACTTAACCATTGCAAAATTAATAGAACTTTGAGGGTATTCCACGCAGTCCTGTAACGCCCGCTCGCTGCAGTTTATTGACTTAATCGAGGAACCTAAATGCGGCGATTTTTGGGAAGAGGTTCTTTCAACATCAGGAGCCTATCGTCCAACTTATTCTCTCAATATTAAAGCTTGGCTACGTCGCTGCCTGAAAGCTGACATAGCCAGACGGGCTTTGAATCTTGGCGTTTTCTGGTGATGGGCTAGGAATTCTCGCATTGAAACTAATCGGCCTCCAGTGTACCAGGAAGTGGCAGTTATTAAGTGGCAGTCATTGTTTAAAAAGTATTCGCTACGCTGAGAAGACTCAACGTTTCAAAGCTGTGCTCGTGGCCAGATTTCTTTGCAAAGGTGGATCAACACCACCCTAATCTTTATTTCATACTAGTTCACACCGCACACAACGTGTTGCCATTGCTTGACAACCGTTTTTGAGCACACCCAGGCAGAGGAAGCATCGCTAAACCGTACGTAAAACCGTAAATCGTTCCGTCCCGCCATCTGCTTGAGTCCGCCCGGGCTGCTCGGCTGGTTAGAGCACCTGCCCTCTGACTGACAGACCTGTGGCTAGGACAGCCTGCGGTCGGTGACGTCACCCGCGTTAGCAGTCAGGTAACATCAGAGGGCAGCGTGACCCATGTCCAGCAGGGCGACACGGTGAGATTACGTCGCGAAGGTCTGCCGTTTTCTCGGTATTTTCGATCGGGCCAGGGCTTACCACCAGCCGGGTGAGTGCCTCTGGTGCTTGTTTCGAATTTCTTGATCACAGGAATACCAGCATACACTTAATTTGAAAATATTCAAGGTAAGAAGAGGTCGATGACCTAAAATGACCCTGATCAACCTTTTGTTATTTTGGAACATTCCACCTAACTTAATCACTCATGCCTATGCTAAATAAAAAACAAAACATTCACGCAGGTTATCATGACCTTACAAAGGTAGAACGTCAATGACCTGACATGAACGCCAGGGACCCTCGGCACAGAACAGGTATTTGGGGTAAAGGCTATTGCACGAGGTTTGGAGGCAATCTAGGTTTTGATCTCAGGTGACCTTATTCCACCCGAAGGTCATGACCTGGGAACCTAAGAAATGACACAACCACATACTGGCCTACCCACTCTGTAAATTTGGTGTCGCTATCTCATCTAGCATTTGAGATCTCAGGCGACAAAATCTCCCCCCCCCCCTCCCCTGCTGAGTACGTTGCATTCAGCCAACCACCCGTGCGGGTGGTAACTAAGTACACACACGCGCATATCATTTGTCAGTCTTCATGTGCACGCGCACCCCAGTCTCCTGTGCTGGTGGAATACACGTTACTGGTTCACGCGTACCTATATTTCGTGCTAGTCTTTTCAATGACCACGATGATCCTGACCTTCGCTTCAACGGAGGCGCAGACGGGGGGACCGGCGATGGTCCGAAGTTTGTGAGGTCTGGGGCGACGGCATTGGACTTCGCCCATGTATTTAAACCAAACACGACCGACCGGAGCCAGCCAGTGAAGCCGAGAGGGCCCCGGTGCGTTGTCGCTCCCGTAAGCTGGACTGAACCCGGGCTTCACGCGCAAGAGGGCCCGCCATGCGGCGCCACGCCGCTCTCCTGAGCCTGCTGCTGGCTGCAGGAGCCGTGGCAGGTGAGGTGGATCAGCAAGGAGCACTCTGTAGAACCAGGCGGAGCCCTCGGGAGATTCGTGGGTGCCTCTGTAGGGTTGGTAGTGTCTGAATTCTCGCTGACGTCTGGACACCCTCGGATTTCGGGGAGGGTGGAGGGTGGGGCGCCTCTGAGGGTCTAGTGCCCACGGCCTATGGGTGCCTATAGCAGGTAAGGGGGAGATGTGGGGGCTATGAGCACTAATGGTAGACGTGGAGGGTTGAGGGGCACCTGGTGGTGTGTTGGGGGCGGTGAGGGGTGCTGAGTTGGAGGCTTATGCTTGCCGATACCGCATGCATGAGGTCCATTGGCGCCAATGCCAGGTATGCAGAGGTAATCGCGGCCTCTGCCTGCTGTAGGGGGATCGTGAGTGTCGGTGCCGGATATGGGAGGGTCATGGGTATCGGCGCCAGGCTTGGGGCGTTGTGGGTGGCAATGCCGGGCGTACAAGGGTTATGGGTGTCCGTGTCCAGGCGTAGGAGGTCTGTCGTTGTCAGTTCTGGGGATGCTGGTGTTGGGTGTGGTGAGTCAAGCGGCATGGTCAGTGGCATGGCTGGTTAGACTACATGGCCGGCTAGTCGATTTTCGCAACATCCAGGGTCAGGCTTGATTATTTGTTACGTTGTCTGACTCACAAGACAACCAAAAATAACAATTTACGAATTTTTGTGATTTGTGATTTATTCAACCATTTCAGACACACATAGCCGAACTCGGTCCCCAGAAGAAGCAAAAGACATGTCCTAAAATCAGTGTTAAGTTGAATAGTCACGTTACATAGTTCCATTATTGTCGGCCTTCGCTCACTGATTGCAGGTCACTTGTTATGCACATCTGATGTGATAGAGTAGTTCTCTTTCGAACGTAAAATGAGGGTCAGACAGGCACGCATAACACATTAAATATGACCATAAACAATAAGTAATTACGAGGGAAGCCACTGGCCGAGCGGGTACTCGTCAACGTTAACGTCTCTGCCGCTGGATGTGTTATAAGCATGTAACATAAATATGCTTTCACATGGCATTTTGATATTGTAGGCCATGTGATAGCGATTGTTTTTGCAATCACTGATTATTACTGTTGTATTACTATTTTGTTGTCTCCATCATTGTCTTAAACTGTTGCTACTTTTGTTTCTATGATTGCTATTATTTCATCTTATTCTATTACCGTGACTAGGAATTGCTAAACCGATAGCGCTGTCGCACTGACTTTCGGGACCAGACCGCGTTTTTACGTAAAGCTGCTATGATGCCTTGTACAAATTGCAGAGTGCGGAAGAGTCTTCGACTTCTACATGACGTTTCATGTCTCGCCTCTGCTTGATGCCAGTGGCATTCCTCTTTGCAGCGTGATGTCGGTGTAGCATATGCCACACCCTCCATGGCTCCTGATTTCGCCCCGAGTAGACAGCTTCGCTGGCTGAAACAAGGAAACATATCCTGACACCTGACTTGTTTTGTTCCTTGGGGCTAGAGCACGTGGCGTCCGTACGAGGGGCACACAATCACTTACACCGACGGATCCAAAACTTCAGACGATGTCGGCTGTGCATTTGTAAGTGGAACCGTCACTCGATCACTCACACTGTCAAGGCACGCGTCGGTATTCACCCCCGAACTGTGGCTATGATGAATGCGCTTTGTTTTATTGAAGTTGGGAATGAGTCCTTGCACCTCATTTAAGCATTCTTTGAGCGGCCTCATTGGCCTTGAGAACTTTCAACCCATCATGTCCCATTTTACATGACATTTGGATGCGTCTCACTGCATTGGACCGAGTTGGAAAAAAGGTGGCACTATGTTGGAGTCCTAGTCATGTCGGTATCGTTGGAAATGAGCTCGTTGACGCAGCCGCAAAACGCGCATCACATGCACCATATGCGCGCAGTTGCTTCTTCCTGCCCGAAAATTTTATCCGGCCATTTTACCTTTCTTGCAACACAAGTGGCAGCTCTGTTGGAATAGTGACACAAATAACAAACTGAAACATATAGAACCCGAATTGGGCCTGTGGTCTTCCAGCCTCCGCGATACGAAGCAAGAAGAAGTTGTGCTTTGCAGGCTGCGTATTGGCCATACGTACGAAACCCACCGATAATTGTTGTGTGGTGGTGGAGACCCCGATGCCCTCGTTGCCCTGCTTTTCTGACGGTGCACCATGTAGTTAAGCTATGTCCACATTTTGCCCGGGAGCGTTTGCTTTACTTTGGGCGAAATGCTACTTCCTTACGCTAAGTGACATTCTTGGTAATCACTCGCAACTTCCTGAAGATGGCCGACTGTTTTTATTCCTTGCAAAAATCGGATTTCGCTCTATACATTCACCTCGTAACTAAATGACACCGTTATGGTCGCAATGTGACCTACGCAGTCGGCGCACCCAAAAACCCTAATTAACAATAGCATTGGGTGACGCAAATTTGCCTCATCCTGGCACAAGTTTTTGGCGCCGTGCATGTACCTTTATGGGCAAAGAGCGGCAGCCGTGCCGGGTGTGCCAGTGGCCAACTTCAACACCCAAAACAACGGCTGGAACTCGTTGTTCCATGGACAATTTAAAAAAGGATGCACAAGCAGCATGATAGCCAAACTTCTCATCAAGTTTCACGACAGTCGCGGTAAATAAGCCGACATAGTTTATAACATTTAGCATCATAACATTTAGCATCATTAAGCATTTAACTTCCTCCTCACCACTATAAAAGTAAAACATTTCATTCGCTTTGCCTTTTCCAACGAGCGTGGTCTGTAAAGGCAACAACACACTTACATATCAATATGTTTGTGTGCTAATTGCCGAAAAGCTTGACGCACTCAATTTAGACAAAAATATATGCGATCATAAGGCTATATCCCGCGAATTCAACAAAACGTTATACTATGGCTTTGATTTTCTCCCCTAAGGCGTCCAAGAGCCAGTGTGGCACACTAGCTCTTTTCGAGGCACCCTTTGGCTTTGGGAATGGGAGCACCACCTAATGCATGTGACGCACTGGTTCAAAATTTGACCAACCAACTTCTCGGAAACAGGCCCTCGCCCACCGTGCCCAATCACAAACGTTCTTTTATTCACACCGGTAGTGGTGCGCTCGGTGTATGCCATGACGGCGGCTTTTGCCACTGCAGGGAAGAAGCGTAGTGCTGTTACAAAGCGTTGGCAGCGTTATTTGGACTACAAAATAATTAACATTGATATCCTTACTCTATCTTGACGGTGCTGCAGTGGCACTACCCAGTGCTATTTTTAGACCTAACTAGTCTTGAGGTTCCGCTGTAGTATGGCTTTCAAACATGTCGCAAGGGTGGGACACGTCGTTTTACCCAGGTTTCCCTCAACGGCGGGACGCGTCTTTGTCGCACGATTAGTAATCGTGGTGGTACTCAATCGCATTTTGAGTGGCAAACAAAACAAGATCAGCGACAGCGGCAGTCATCAGTGATACTGCTCTTACGTCAAGTCGTGACAAGAGAGGGCGCTGCAGAAGTAGCTCCTGGCGGTTCAGGATGTGCCACAGCTGAAGCATGATTCAGGCTATTGTCAATGTCGGCCGATTGTGCAACGGTGATGCGCGCAGCATCCTTAGCTTGCAAGTGGCCTCGAGCTGTTGAAGATTTGCTCGCCTCGTCCATCTGGACGTGGTTCTTGGGGTTATCGCACAACATGAAAATCAGGATGACATGTCGGGCGAAAGAGAGAAGCCACAGTACAGTAGTCTTAAAAGCTGATGCGTACTTCAGCAAAATTAGTTTCGAACCAATCCAGTGAAGCCCGTCCCGTCCTGCTAGAGCCATCCCTCGTCCCGATCCATTCTGTGAAGCCGCCACCAGGGCCGCCCAGGAGTGTGTGTATTTTACGGCAAGTATGATAAGGACACCCATGCGCTCTTAACATTTAGTCCGAACCTTTTTGTTGGATGTTTTCAGGGATGACCGCCCACTCTAAACATTCCTTGTTTGGTGAGCCCCAATCCCGAAGGTAAAATTTCGTGTCACTGGCAGACTTTGCAACGAAAGATTGAATGCTTCCGCAATGCTCGACAGGCCATCCTGCCCTCTGACGTTACCTGACCATAAACGTGCCCGCTGCCACCGGCCGCAGGACATCCCAGTTGGGGAAGACAAAACAAAACAAAACAAAAATGAACGCTTGAATCGACTCAAACCCAACCTCGCCACTGGTCTGTAAAACAGCTGACGGGCGTTTTAACCAGCTGAGATGTTGTGGCAAATATCAGTACATCGAGAGACGGAACAATTTACAGTAAAGTTCGGTGGTGTATCTCTCACCCATTTGTAGCACAAAAATGGTGTTGAGGGAGGGAACCATCATTCTTGTGCGATGTGTTGCAGTGACAGAAAGATTGGGTGGTGTTCATCGACTTTTGCGAAGAAACCTGGACATAAGCACAGCTTTCAAATGTCGAGTGTTCTCAATACAACCAAAGCTTTTTCTAAAACGTAGTTTAATCACTACCTCCTGGTATGCGTCATCACCCCAGGTCACAACGGTTTAAGTCGTTTTGATAGCAAACTCCATTGCGTGTCAAAGCGTTCACCACGCTTTTTAAGACGTGGTGAACGCTCAGGAGACGCCTTTGATGGCCAGTCTTTACACACTGTCCTTTCAGTTATCAAACTGTTTGCTGACAGCTTCGTACAAATTATTAAGCCATACTTTTACATATAGGTGCATCGTGACACCGCATTCAGAAAACTTCCATGGGCTCTCGTCAGTACAGGTCCGGCCATGCCATTCTGTTTCTGTTTGAGCCTTGGGTCACTTTTAAACGATGATGAACGACACCTGTTTTCGGTGATCACAGAAGTTCAGATTGCTCAGAGTTTTTTTCTGCGGATACAAGTCTATGTTTTTCACAAACATGCAGCTACACATCGCCGTGCAGTCGTAAGTCATTTCTCCGCCGCAAAACAGTGTTGGAATCAACGGAGTACTTGAAAAAGGTGTTTTTCATTTAAG